ATAGGGGTGCTAGCAGAAATTGGCATTATCATAAAGGAGGGTTTTAGCTCTAATAGTCAGGCATCAGAGCATTTTTCCATGTACATTTGGTCCTGAGAGTCGAAATTGTGTCAGCCTGTTCGTAAATACTCTTTCAGCACGTGTTTGAGGCCCATTCCTCCGGCTAGCCACTTTCTCTTCTGTCATTGTTACAGAAGGTTTCAGATTCTACCATAAAAATTTACATCCGGTTTTGAAAGGCCGAGGAAAAGTTGCTCAATGGTTAGTAAATCGGGGCAAATGTGTAATCCACCACACCAATATCTTCACCCATTTTTTGTGTGATTTCTCAAATGCATATGCATGAGGGAGTGAAACTGAGTTTCCAGGCACTACACATTTAAGCCCATGCACCAGTTTAATGCATAAAACACAGAGCTGGAAGAGTTGCTTAAAAAATGTATTGTTACAGATTACTGATAAGGCCTACCTTTTAAAAAATTTAATCTGTAACCTAATCCAAATACAGATTAATAATACAGATCAATAAACAATTACTTTTGGATTATATGCCTTTTTAAAGTCATACAATCAGATAAATACCAGAGAAACCCAATTTCAGCAGTCCGACCTCCTAACAAAAGATAAACAGAAATGCACGGCATATAGATGATGTATAATAGTCTGAGCTTTGTGTGCGATGTGCACATCCATTGGAAAAAGTTAATTAGATAACAAAGATAACAAAACTGCACTCACAGAATGACATGGATTTCATCTGGACCTTTCAGTTGATCAGTCTATCCAGATATGTGTTCTGTGTTCTCAACTGTGTTATACTGTTCTCAGTCTCAGTTTCATGTTCTGCGACATGCAGAAAGCTTTTCATTCCTACTACTTTAATGTACCTCTAATCTCACTGTCTTTCTCTATAACTGCAACAGAAAACAGTTACCTTTTTTTTGTATGCTGGTTATGTAACGTCGTTGCATGTATTCTGTTACCACCCAAATCTGCAGTGTCCGATTAAAAAAAAACTTGGTACATTGTCCATGCGTACAGTATAGTACAGTATGTGTTATGTGATATAATATAGTATGGTTATAGTGTTGTTTTGGTATTGAGCATTGTGATACTACACTTGGTGTATGTATCTAAGTATAAAGAATAACTATGTCTTTCTTCTATGCCCACATTTTAAAAAGAATCACTGTGCGGTTTTGTGTTGGGTAGCTAATCGTTTTCGTGGGTGAATTTGTTTCTTAGCTTTAATTAGCTAAAGTTATCTAAATAGACCAGGGTCTTGGAGGGCCAATGTCCAGCACTATTTGGAGATTCCCCTTCTTAAACACACCCACTAAACCTAGCATTTAACAGATGCTTACCAAGCCAAACTTTTATAACACACTTCTATTACCTAAGGAAAGCTCTATAAGTTTGCATTGAAGTCCCTGTAGTTAATCAATAATAAGCCTTGGTATGTAATAAGCCTGGAATGTTAATGGATTATTAAATCAGGTGTGTTTAAGCAGGAAAACCACCAAACTGTGCTGGACACCAGCCCTCCAGTACTGGAATTGAGGGACCCTGAAATAGGCTAACAGAAGTGGTATGGCTGCTACTGCCTTTAAACACAGTGGTAATGACACTGAAGAAGCTCTGGGCCACTAAAATAACCAGAATGCTCTGAATGCCAATGTTAGTTTAAGTGGTTTACCATGGATGGAGAAAGGAACTGGAAAATGTTCTAGGATCCTTTACTTCAAGCGAAGCGGAGGTGTTTAATTTCCAAAAACGAATGTTTTTTTTGTTGGGTAGCTTATTGTTTTTTTTTGTTGTTGTGGTTGTTGTTGTTGTTCTGGTGGAGTTGCTCCTTAACTTTGAATTAGCTAAGGATATCTTAGTAGGCTAATAGAAGGGGTACAGCTGCTGCTGCCATTGAATACAGCAGTAATCACACTGAAGGAGCTCTGGGCCTCTAAAATAACCAGAATGCTCTGAATACCAATGTTAGTTTAATTGCTTTTCCATGGATGGAGAAAGGAACTGGAAAATGTTCTAGGAGCCTTTACTTCAGGCGAAGTAGAGGTGCTTAATTTCCACAAAAGAAAGTTAATGGCACAGTATCTTAATCGCTGATTGCAAAATTATACAGGGTTAAAATGCTAAACATAAAGACTGTTTGAAACATCCCATCCCTACACTAAAATGTATGTCAGTTTGGTTTATGCATTTATGCATTGATGATGAATGTGCTGAGTTTGTTTTGATGGATTTGTTTTCGGCTCAGAGCCGGATACATTTTTCTCTAAAAACAGGTCTGTTTCTGTGCATGTCCCGCATACTAATTTGGCTCAGCTTGCCTACTGTGAGCATCTGTGAGCATCTGACTACTGCTAATCAAGCATTCACCTAGTTAGACAAACATGATTACATCACTTACAGTGTCGAGATGCAGCCTGTTCCTTAAACGTTTCAGTGATTCAGTGACTCTTTCTAGGCTGTAATCATATCCAACACAGTTTAAATTATGACAGTTATATCCGTGAGTGCTTTAAGAATGACAGTTGTCTTCTGTGACAAGGTAGTCCAGAATTTAAAGCTTGACTTCTTCTGCTGTCTCTTTAGTGATAGTGCTCTAATAAGTCTTCACAAAACAGCAGTTGTTACAGTCAGACCTTTGACCCATATGTTTATTAATCAGTTATTAATCATAAAGCAAATTATCTCCGATTTTTCTAAATTTTCATATAATTAATTCATTCAGATATCATCAAAGTCGTTCGGAGTGGTTTAGTGTGACGCGCTCTGTTCTAGAGAAACTTACTGAGTCAAACTTGTTCACAGTGGAGGTGATAGGAACCTACGGAGCCCTGCTGGTAACATCCCCTATAAATAAAAATAATGCGTGGCCATGACATATTAACGCATGGAAATGAGTTCCTAATGCATGGCAATCACTTAGTAAGGCGTGGGAATGAGATAATTAAGTCATGACCCTGACTTAGTAAGGCATGGGAACGAGGTCATGCCTTATTAAGTTGTGGCCATGCATTAGGATCTCATTCCCATGCCTTACTAAGTCGTGGCCACAATGTCATTATCGTGTTCCCATACCTTACTAAGTCATTTTATTTATACAGGGTGTTACCAGCGGGGCTCCACAGGAACCAGACGTCTAAAGAGTTTAACGCCTTTCAAAGCTGCCTTACAGAAAGTTACATGAAATTGTTTCAGATACATCGTCTGATGCCTGAGACATTGTTTTATGATAGTTTTGAGATTTTCTTTAAAGCACATTAATGGCGGTGATATAAATGCAGGGTGCTGTGAGGCAAAATAGTCCTCGTAGAAAACATGTTTTTCAGATTTACCAGTTTTGTACCATTCTTAACATTACATATAAAAACTCATATAAAAAGACAGGCGTAGGTCCACTGGTTGTTTTGGATAGTGTATAAAATGTCTATATTTGTGTTATAGACATTGTGACCCCTGGTTCCTATCACCACCACCGTAAAGAAATCTGAGTCAGTAATTGTCCTTACAATGAACCATTTCACATCAAACCACTCTGAATGACTTTATTTAATCTCAACGATTGAGTTTTTAAACAGTGTACTAATATGGTTCAAGTACATGTGAATCTGTCCTTCTGCTCAAACCGACCAGTATCAGCCATGAATGCCTCACAGAGTGAAATGAGGTGTGTTAAAGCAAGGAAAACTGTACACTGCACAGATACATCTCTCTCAAGCACTGAACATGATTCTGTCTGATATAGAAGATAATCTTTCACTGTATTTCTCACAGATCCTTCTGGTAATCCTGAAGGCACGTGTGATTGAGCTTTATGTCAAGCAGCTCCACCTAGTGAGCATCACGATTCATTACACATTAATTGCAGTACACACTTAAGATGGTTCTTCAAGGGTTCTTTAGCAGAGGCAATGGTTCTATTAAGAAGCATGAGTTCTATATGGATGCATTTCATGTTTAAATGGTTCTTTGCATGGTGAAATGGTTCTTCAGAATGATGGAGAATGTGTTGTGTATGTTCTATATAGCATCATAAAGAGTCCTGCTATTGTTACGGCTTCAAGCTTGTAACAATAGAAGAACCCTTTTTGGTGCTTTATAGAACTACTTTGAAAATACAACATACTTTCCTTCACATCTCCTTTGATTATGATGAGCAAGGCCCTTTATTACAATTAACTCAGAAAGAGAAAATGAGCACTCATTTCATTGTTCAGTTTCTCAACGTTTCTTACGACCAACAATACTGAAATGTAAACCTGTCTGAATAATTACATTTGAATTGGATTTGTACATGATTACACTGCAGAACTTAAGCAGTGGAAAGACAAACTTACAATATACAGGTCATTATTTTTGTATGCGTCTGATGTATTTCAGCTTTGGTCATTTTCCATCTCAGTGAAACTGAATGAACTCAACTTTATTCTCTTGCACTGCAGGCTGTTTTAGCCAATGTCTGCCTTTTCAGCCTGGCCCCAATACCACTCCCGCTAAAGTACTTCTTTCTATTTGGTTATGCACAGAACAAGACGAGTGGCAGGCAGCTGGCTCTGAATTAAAGGAGTAGTTCAATCAAAATGCTAATGTGGCTAAGAAGTAAGGGTGGGTAAAAATATGGCAAAAATGTAACTTATAACATTTGATGTGTATCAAATGAGGATTAAAAACAAGCTGGAATGTACAAAATGCACAAGCAAAACAGCAGTGGCACATTAAAGAAAAGTTATGAAATCTATAAGTACAATATTGTCTTTCATGGTCATTCATCATTTGTTAAACATTTCAGAAGCAACGGAAGAGAAAATCAAACAATCAGTAAAAATAACTTCTAACTAAAATCTAAGATAAGAGCATAATAGGCTGATTATCCAATGACCTGCTACACTGTACTGTTACCATACAGCATGTCCATTTCTAGAAATAAGCAGTATAAGACATCAGAATGGGGCCCTGCGTATATATTTTATTCGCTTTTTTTATTAATATTGATAGGTAAGGTGTGCCCCCTCACCAATCCTTTGAGTGGGATGTCGCTTAGGACCCCAATAGCCAATGTACAGGCTCTCTGTAAATGGCCTTAATCTTTTTATGATACATGTATTTGTACAGTGTTCTACAAGTACTGATAATACACAGGATGTATTTTAAAATATATATACAGTGTAATGACAAAATGTATCATGATAACAGTAACATATTCTCATATTGCCCACCTCTGTGAAGAATGAATGAAGCCTATGAAACATGTCATACTGCTGGTTTTCCCTGTCCTACTTCCATGCTTCCATTTGCTGTTAGCCACATTAGCATTTGATCAAAAAAATCCTTTAGCTGGCTTGATGTAGAGTTCTTTTTGCTCATATTTTCTGCATCTTGATGATGTCCTGAGAAGCAGGATTAACAGCAGTGGTGGCTGAAGACTTCGGCAAGGTGTCTGCTGTGGTGTACTTCCTTTCTCTCTCGTAGGCGGGGTTGTCGTACGGGGAGGGGTCCTTCAGGTGGTGTGTGTCATAGCGGGGAATGCGGAATGATCCCATCACTGAACCAAGTCTTTGTGAACCAGGTCTTTGTTCTTTGCCATTACCGCCACAACTAGAAGAGAAAAATTTCTGTCATTACATTATAATAGCATTATGCCACAACACTGGTGCAGGCAAAACTATGATACTGCACAGTAAGTCTGTCTTATTAGCCCTTAGACTTGAGGTACTGTTGTTTTGATATACTATTTAAAAATGTTATTACATCGTTCCATATTTAATTGTGTTTACATTTCTTCAGCATTCAATATCTGCTGAATAATGTCAAATGCCGAAAATCTGAAAATTACGGGGTTTTTTTTCCACAAAACAAAACAAGAATAACTTTATCAAATTCAAATCAACAAAAAATATCATCTACTTTCCCAAGCTTGCTTCAAAAGGGCATTTGAGCATGCTTTGATCATTTGAGTCTTTGACCATTACATCCTGACACATTTGGGAAATTTGACAACATTGCTGTTAATGAATGAAAGCTACTATGGGCCAGCTGTCATTATCCAAATGAAAACATATACTAACTGGTCCTTAATAACATTCATAGCCATGTTAGCCACAGTGTTTGGTTGGGCAATGCAATTGAAGTAGTGGTGTGTTAGAACAAATAATGTCTAATTATTACCTCAATAAATCCACAATTCTGCATTGCTGCTGTAAAAAATGTGTCTACAAAATTGTAACTTTACTGAAGAAGGTCAAATGTGCTTAAAGCTGCACTGTGCACTGTGTTAAAACTGAAAAAGTAGCATTACTGAGTCAGGAGAAAGAACACGCAAAATTATTGTGTATGTGCGCTGTTGAGTCACCCAGTAAAGCCTGAAATAATAATTTAAAAGTCAGAGGCACCGAGTCGGATTTTGTGGGACTTTTTCGTTCCACGTCATACCTCTTTGCATATTAATGTCAGATGCACAGGCTCAAAAGCAAGGTGCAGCTTGGTGTGTAAGTCTCAAATGCAATATTAACATTATACTGATGAAGATATGATGACAACAGTAGATAATTCACTTGCATCCTCAGAATGTCCTTCACTAAGTTTTGACTGAGTTTTCTTTGAATACTATTTCAACAGACTCTCAATCATCAGATTCATCCCCTTGGGGAAGGGGTCCGAAGCACAACCAATATTGCATGCAATTACACTTTTTCACCAGAGGGATCCAAATCCCCAAATCTTACAATCCTGTAGCTTTAATTTAACATGATTTTATTACTGTAAGTAATTTTATTGGTCCACTGGCATTTTCAAAAAGTTTTTCATGTGACAGCAGCGATACATAATTCAAACGCAGTGATTCACCTACCAGCACAGTGCTAGGATGATGATGAGCAAAAGCAGAGCCATAGCAACACATAGAATTGTTGTGATGACGACCATGGCACCGGACCGCCCAGCAAAACTGTCACTGATACTGCCAGGGTCTTTTGCTGAGGGAACAGAGATGTTGAGTTAAATTATTAAAAGAATAGTCAGGAATAAAAAACACACTGTGGCACTGATGATTTCTTACAGGTGTAGAGAGTAATGTTGTTAGACCACTTTGTCTCTGCAAGAAGCGTCTTGCTAGCTGGATCAACAAGAAGATACTTGAAACTGCAAAGCCACAACAGATCACTGTCAACAGCAATAGTAAGAACAATCATAAAATTCTCATATAATAGAGACTAAATAGCTTTAACAAGCAAACATTACATTACACCTCTCTCTTTCTGGAATTAAACAGGAAACCTGTAAGAACTGCTGTATTCAGATATTTTTCAAATATTACAGAAATCAACTTGCTACATGTTAACACGTTACATGGTACCTTGCAGTTGACCCCTGAGGTAATACTCCATTGCAGTTGGTGGTAACGCAATTGCCATCCGCTCCGACTCTGAAGTAGCTGCCAGTAGAGGAGGAGGGGCAGGGAAAATCTCCCTGAAGACCAGCTTTGGTCAGAAAGTAATTCTTAGGGTTGCTGCCACCGAAAGCCGACTGGTACGGGGACTTGCTGAGAAAATCTGTGCTGGTTTTGTCCGTGTTGAAATTGTTGACTCCTATGACCACGATGGAATGGTTTAAAGGACAATAAAGGAGTATTTCAAGACACTAACATTGCATGGAAGCAAATGGAGATCACTTAGCACAGTGTTTCCCAACCTTGGTCCTGCACCTTTTAGTGCTTTCCCTGCTTTAACACACCCACTTCAGTTCAGTAAGGGATTGTTAATGAATTGATCTGTTGATTCAGTTATGTTGGAAGCAAAGCAGTGGGCCTCCAGGACCAAGGATGAGGAAACACTAGCAAGATAGCAAGATGCTGTTTGTATAAAACACTGGAAAAAGGGGTGCATTAAACTAATTTCACATGAATAGAATATATTACCACCAGTAATGGGCAAAACTGAGTGAACTGAGAAGCTAACCTATGTTGATGTAATATAGTTTGTAATATAGTCCATGTGGAAATGATGTACACATTTGAATTTGTCTTTGAAAAACTGATGTGAATGCATTATTTTTTCAGCGATAGTCTACCAAGGTTGAGTCATAATCGGATGGCTTTAACAAGGTGTTTCATGAATGTTTCAAAATGATGGACATACTTTGATCTAAATTTGCATCGTTGTTACATTTTGGTTAACTTTGTTTAACAATTAATTCCAGAGAAAACATAGTCACCTGTGTCCACTGCAGAAACCAACCATACTTCGCATGTGTTGGAGGTACAATTCAAACCTGTGAGGTTACCAAAGCAACAACTTGGCGGATTAAGGATCACAGAGTTGGTGGTGATTCTCGCCGCCAAGTTCGGTGCAACGTCTGGAACGCAGTCACTTGTGTCTGTTGAATGAAATGAATATAATTAAGGCTTTGCCATTGTTATCCTATTAGTCAATGTTATAGTTAAGACTTGTTTAGCCCTTGGAAGTCACTGGCAATGACAAACGCATAGTGTAATTTGATATAAATTATTTCTCATGTGTAGCTCATTGAAACAAGCACAGAAATTTTGGGGAAAGTGCTTTAATCCATGTCAAATTAGGGTTGTTGTTGTATATGTAGTCTCGTAAAACATCCTTTACAATTGTGCTGTCTCAGCTGTCGACACTGTAATGGGAAGACGTCAGAGCTGTCGATACAGAATGTTAATCGAATGTAAACGTAATTCCTAACAGAACAAACTACAATTAATAATGTAAATGTTTTTGTATGCAAAAGTTTTGCTAATTTTTTAAGTGAAAATAAGCTAACACATCCTCTACAGGCAACAAATGTAAATATAGCATTTTTCTGCATTTTTTGTGCACAAATTTTACTTTTTTGCTAAGCCGAACACGTTGGAAAAAATAGGACATAAATTTCAAAATGTGCTATAACTTTTGCACAGGCTATATTTTATGTTTTTTCTCCCTTATATGTTAATATCAGCAAATAAACAGTAATCATGCATTAAAACATGTGTTCTCTGTATATGAGAATATGTTAACTCATTTTCACATACCAAAAACTTTTGCATACGGTTGTACAATGAATGTAAACGTAATTTATCTTTAGTCATATAATCACATTGAAAGAATATAACAATAATAATAACTCTTGACTTTTAAAGGTTAAATACTGTAACTATCACATTCCACCTGTTTCATCTGCACCTGCTGAGGCATCTGCTCATTGCGCAATGAGAACAAAGCCGCTATGTGGATGTGATCCACTGTGAAGTATGAGAATACAAGTCTAGTCTTGCCTGTGAGTTTCTGTCAGCGTACCATTATAACGGCTTCTCCCTGGGCGAGCGTGAGTAGAGAGTGCGGTTTGACAGATAGTTTTCCACTCCGTTTTATAATTTACAGTTAGGCGTAATCCATAGTTAGACCTAATCAGCTCTCGATTCTCAACTGATCGATTGCCTTCACATCGCAGGTGTCCTTGTTTTAATGAAAATTGCAGGTTTAATAGGATGTCAAGGGAAGTTATGATGAAGGGAGGACAAAATTAGCTGGCATTTTGCCAGACTGAATTCTTTCCTTGGCAGTACTCAAACAGGTGTACGAATAAATTGGACACAACAAGCTAGAACAGAGCCTGTGCATGCCAAGTGATGACTCAAAACTAAAACTAGAACTTCAGAATCTGTTATCTTTAACTGCTTATGCAAATGCTGCTTTCTTGAGAATAGCCTACTGTTCAAAAACATATGTTGACCGTTACTGTGTAGCACTGTAGGCTTATTACATATATTATGCTAGAGCTGTGAGGTATTTCAATGATTGGCTACATCTAAAAAGGAGCATTCAATGGTTCTTAGCAGAAGAACCACCTCTATTTGTCCCTAAAGAGCCTTTCAGTGGATGGTTCTTTAAAATATCCATTATAAAACTAAATGAACCCTTTACTTTTAAAAATAAAACTGTCCAAAAAAGGGCTCTTTTTGGAGGAAGAACATCTATGGGTTCCCTCAGGAAACTTTCAATGCATGCTCTTTAAAACATCAATAAACTACTCCACTCGCAAAAATAAAGGAGCCAAAAATGGTTCTTTGGACAAGAAGAACAAGTTTTGGTTCTCTAAAGAACAGTGGATGTTTCTGTTGAAACCACTTAGCTGAGAGGTTCTGTAAGGAACTAAAAGTGGCATCATTCTACAGAACACTTTTAGGCACCTTTATTTTTTAGTGTTGTAATGACAGGTAAGATGTTCTAAATGCGCTAAATGCAAATGAAAAGAATTTGGAAAAAATGTTCAGATGTAAAGTGTCATTGAAAAAACATTCCAAGTTATGTATTAGTTTGACTTTTTTGGCTAGATATGTTGAATAAGCCAAAAGTATAAGCACACAAGCCCAGACACAGGATGCTAATGCTAATATGTTCATTTAGAGGCCTAAAGACACAAAATATATCAGCTAATTAAAGAAAAAACACTTACTTTGTGCTTGGATCCCAACAGACAGCAGACTTATAAAGCACAACACTATGTAGGCTTCCATTTTGGAGTCTAGTATCAAGAGCACAATATGTTCCTTTCTAATAAAACGCTGTGTGGATGAAACCTGGCAGGTTTTGCCACTTAAAAGTGTCCCAGACAAATATCATCCCACCCCTTATAGAGCTGAATGCAGCAGTCAAAGGGAGTGGAATTCACTCAGTGTGTGTGTGTGTGTGTGCACTGCTATTGGAAACCGGGAGGTGCTCCTAACAAATCAAATGACAAATCAAAGGCTGGTTTAGCTGCTATTGTGTTGCAAGACTATTTTCTACCTACTTCATATTATGTAGACACACTAACAGACCATAAACTTGTAACACTGAAGAATCACTTTCTATATCATCCAAAGAGAACTTGTTTTGAACCGTGTGAACTAGATATTTGACACCAGTGTGGAAAATAATCTATGACTGGGCTAACAAATACCACTGTCAACAACTTTCCAGTTGCGATTGCTATCCTATATGTTGGTGGGAAAGTGTGTGAGAAGCAGTTAATACAGCAAAGAGAGAGGTACATTCACAGTCTTGGGAAAGATGGGTTGGTATATGTTTTATCCAACAGTCCACTTTAGATGCTTTGTAGAAACTTAATTTATTTTTAAATTACATTCAACTAAGTATCTACTAAACTGACCATAACTTTCTTTAACTCTAAACCTGGCTCTAATCCTTAACCTCAACCCAAAACCTAAACCTTAGTTGTTTAAACAGCAGTGGCAGTGGTATTCCAGGTGGTTGCAAGAGTATTGCTAGTTGGTTTCTATGGTTTTCTCGGTTTTTCTAGGTTGCTGCTAAGCAGTTGCTATGGTACTGCAAGTGGTAATTATGGTGTTGGTTGGTGGTCGCTATGGTATCTCAGGCAGCTGCTGGGTATATGGTGTTCCAGGTGGTTGCTAGGATGCTGCTAAGGCACTTGCTGTGGTATCTTAGGTGACTGGTAAGGTGTTGTTTAGTGGTTGATATGATGTTCCAGGTGGTTTCTAATGTGTAACTAGGTGGTAAAAATCAAATCTTTTTTTTTTTACACAAAATTGTTGTTAAGCCGACGCTGTAAAGAAAATGTATAGCCAATCGGCCCAAAAAGCACACGCACACTGATCAGGTGAAGACTCTATAATCCTGGATTGGAGGTAGTGGCTCAAAAGCTGTAGGAGAAGAAACTGTTTAAAGTTTGAGTGTGGGATAATAAGTAAAAAAACAAAGAACTACTAATTAGCAAAGCGTATTACAATCACAATATCAAGAAATCTAAAAGTAATACTCTTTTTTATATTTTGACCATGTCCAGCAGCCCTCAGGCTGACAGTTTATAATTAATGACTCCTTTGATTGGAAAAAAAAAACATGAAAAAGAAGCTGGAGACTGTTTGACCTTTTCTTACAGTTGTAGGTGAAGACTTCACATCCTAGTTTGATGTAACATGCCTGACATTTTGTGAGAATTAAAAGTTAAATACATTGATGTTCTAAAATCTAAATGAGGGTTATGCTTCCATAATTCACAATTCAAGACAGTATGTGAATTATAGAAGCATGTTATTAGAGTTTAATAAGCAAAAAAAACAGGAAACCAGTCAGGCAGAGCAGCTTCGACTCAAAAGGATTTTAAAAAGATCTAGAATTTTTAGATCTTTGGGTGTACCTCCTGTAATAGCTCCACATATTAACCTGTCAGATCAGGCTTTCTGCGTCAGCTGTGCTGCCCCTTAGATGGGCCTGGCAAAAACCAGCTCGACCAGGGCCTGCTTAGACATGAAATGGGTGTTTTTGATGACTCAGGTCTGCATAAAAAGCCTTCAACTAAGGAAAAATCAGTCATAACAATGGTATGGGTTTGACAAATGCAATGGGTTGGTCAAAAATTTTGAACGGACACACAAAGCCATTCTGAAATGAATAGCTAGAAAAAAAAAAGACAGCTTTCATGAGTTCCCCCTTGCCTGAAACTGAACCAGTCAACATCTTTTGGTGTCTGAAGTTTGTTTCTTTAGTTTTGCTAAATTGTTGCATTTTTATTTTTAAATAAACAAAGTTTGATGCAACATGTACGTCTTAAACTTACTATTCACTCCCTGGTTCACATAGTTCATATGGGAAAACTACACCAAAACATTTGATTTGAATTCACTGTTTTTTGTGATGTCACAAAAATCAAAGCATTTACATAGTGTTTCAGCCCATACTGCCTTTTGAATGAGGACAATACAGGGCTGCCAATCACAACAGGGGGGGATTACATATAATGGATTTAAGGGACAAAGAGAGGTTGGAAAATGGTCATGCAGGTAAAAATGCAGGATATTGGCCCTTTAAAACAAAACTCCCAGCAATGACCACCCTCTGTACACATGCTGCTAAATCAAAAACTAAGAGCTGTTCTTTTAATTGCGTCATTTCACTTGAAAACTCTAAAACTGATCTTTCATAATGAATCGCTCTTTTCCAAGCTCCTTTCTGAAGCCTCAAGACAAAACCTCTCTCCCTTATGTCCGCTGGCCCTTCACTGAAAGAATTAACTAATGTTTCTAGATAATTAATAAGATAGATTTTCTGTACTACTTCAAAATATGAGTTTTTCTTGCAACACTACTGTAGAAGGTCCTGCTTCAGGGAACAAATCTCATTATGTCCCTTTGCATACAACTCTCATTCTTATATAGTCCAGTTGGCCCCGAGAAAGCCTGTTAATGTCAGTGAAAAAGAGCCCATATCCTGTCATCACTAGAGTAAGCTGGGTATTTTGCTAAGCTCAAAGGCTCCAGTAACATTCAGACTCTGTCTTTAAGTCTTTACTAAGTGAGTCAACAACCAAAGTAAAGACTATGTTATCTGAACACCTATTATGAGCTTCAGCTGTCTGCGTTTAATCTAGAGAGCTACTACAAAATATACATGTAAACAAGAGCTACTTAAAAAGAGAATTACAAGGTTTCGACATTAAACACTGCTATGTAATGATATGCTTGGCTGATGATTTTGGGGACTATTTGGCTCTGAGTGCAAAACAAGCATAAAACAAACAAATGCAACTGTATGGAAAAGTTTAGACACCCCTGGTCAAAATACTCTATTGATTTTCTAAGTGAAAGTAAATTAACATATCTACAAAACCAAAAACTTTTTAATGCACACTTACTGTTTATTTGTTGAATCTGACATATTGGGAGGTGGGGGGTAAAAGTGATATAGTTTAGGTTTTATTTTTTTTCCCCCATCCATCTTCCAAGCTGCTTATCCTTCTGGGAAGCCTATCCCAGTGCTCATTGGGTGGAAGGCAGAAAACACCCTGGACAGGTTGCCAGTTCATCACAGGGCAGACACACAGACAGACATATACATTCACAAACACACACACACACACACACACACCTAGGGGCAATTTAGCATCTCCAACTAGCCTGACTGTCCTTAAACTATAGAAGGAAACCAGAGCACCACGCAGACACGGGGAGAACATGCAAACTCCACACAGAAGGGACCTGGTCGCCCGGCCGGGGAATGGAACTCAGGCCCTTCTTGCTGTGTGATGACAGCGCTACCCATGTAATTTGATCAGGTGCACACTTTTGCATATGACTATGGTTTCTTTATACTGTGCTCTATGGCAGCAGCTGTTGAGGTCACTTCCACTGCACAACTCCCATTTCCCCTAATCTGCCCCATTCACTAAGACAGTCAGTGAGAGCAGTGGTCATTAACATAGAAAATCAGCATCCAAAAAATGAGCTGTTCAACACAGAGGAGCAAATGACAGGGCAAAACATATCAAAGACTGAATTAAATTGTTGGTTTGTTTTATGCTCTTCACTGACTTCACTGGTGTTCACATACTTTTAGCCATATAGTGCATGTCTACTTTAAATATCCTTTCGATATGCTTTCTCATTAAGCATTTTAATTTAATAGAAAGAAGTGTTAATAATGGGTCAGGTATTTTGTATGCAAATCAAAATCAAAACAATGTTCAAAAGCACTCATCACCAGCCCACAGCGTTAATCTCCTTTAGTAGCAGTTTATTAAAAATATATTATGTACAGTAAAAGACAGTTCAGTCAAATTGATCTTGTCTAAACAGTAATGAACACAATTACATCAATTTATCAAGACCTATTCCTGACAAGCTATGCAATATATACCATCTTGCTTGACTGAAAATACCAGTGCTGTAAGACTCTGACCAGGTCAGGCAAACTTCAACTTTATTCCACGTAAAATGCTTCTGAAAGTCTTTAGCTGGTTTAGAATGGCACTGGACTTAAGCCCCAACACACTGGCTACTTTCACAATGATATGATCACACGTTCTCCAGGGTCACCTCTTCCCCATGACAAAGCTGGGCACCTCCGCATCATCCTCCGCTTCTTGCTCCTCAGAGTCGTTATCACTTGTCGAAGACTCTTCCTTATCTGAGGAGAACAGACACAGTTATTGCTCCCTGGTCTGACCGTGCAGCAATAACCACAGCAAAATATACACTATATGGACAAAAGGATATCCCTCCGAATTACTGAGCTGAAGTGTTTCAGCCACACTTATTGTTAACAGGTGTATAAAATCAAGTGCACAGCCATGCAATCTCTATAGACAAACACTGGCAGTAGAATGGGTTAAACTGAAGAGCTCAGTGACTGTCATAGGATGCCAAAATTTCTAGATCTGCCCTGGTCAACTCCACGTGCTATTATTGTGAAAATAACTTCATATTAATACCCACTATTTTGGAATGAGATGTCTAACAAGCTCATGCAGGTGTGATGGTCAGGTGTCCAAATACTTTTAACATGAGTAACATGAATGGATAAATGGAGACGCAACAAAAGGCAAGAAAACAAACAAGTCAGACAGCCATACCTGATTCTTTTTTACTTTCCACTTTGGCTTTCTTGGCCATCTGCTTCTTCAGTTTGAGCTTCTCTCTAAAGAAAGCAGGACCATGTTCAGGTTCTTACTTTCATACATGCACATACATACTGAAATCTATTCAACCACACACTTTTTAGAGTTTTTTTTTTTCAGCAAAACCACTGAAGAAAAAGATAAATGATCAAGTTTACCTCTTCTTCCTTCTTTTGGCTGTCCTGGCCTCAGCAGCCTTTTGATTTTCCTCTATTTTCTTCAGATATTCTTCATCCATATTTTGCTGAAATAGTTGAGTAACATAAGTTCTAGGGTAGCTGCCTCAAAACATATACTTAAAAAAACAAACAAACAAACAAGCAATGGCAATGCAGGCCTGATACTGGCATTAAGGCCCAAAGACAGCATCTTTCCTGTAATATATTTTTCAGTAATAACACTTAAGGTCCAGTTATTATGTTTGTTTGAATTTATGTACAACAAAATAGTCAGAATTCATTTTAGCATGACCTTTTTCCCCACCACTTTATCCCTTAAATTAAATGGCTATGTTTTACTATTTTTACGGTGTCTTTACACACAATTGTGTGTAAAAGTTTGTCAAATAGAAAAATAAGTAAAAATAACAACACATCTTACACATGTAACAAACTTAAAAATGGCATTTTCTGCACCTTTCTGTATACAATTTATATATTTATGTTTATTTGCTGAGTTTAACATACTGGAAACAAAAAAAGGAAAGGTCCAACAGGCATTTTATGAATTTTTCCCTAATATGTTTAATTCAGCGAATAAACAGTAACTGTGCATTAAAATGTGCAAAAGTGTGTTCTATGTAGAGGATGTGTTAACTTATTTTCAATTAGAAAGCGCATTTTCAATTAGACCAGTGCACCCCAACTTGAGCCTGCGAATACATGTAAATAATGTCAGTTCTGACTGGCTGCCCAGTATTCTGGCTGACACACTTCTTATAACGTCAATGTCAAGGAGCAGAGAAACTGCCGTAGGCAGGTAGGACGTTTGCTTTCATGACATCACAAGTGGATTCAAAATGGGCTGATTTTGCAGCCAAGTTTCAATTTGTGGACTGAATGGATTGGAAAGTAATTTTGGAAAATCTTTGTTTACACACAAAATAATTCTTTCTTCCATGATATATAGGCCCTTTACTAAACTGCTATCAATAACAATATACAAATTACATCCAAATGCAAGGCATAGTGAATAGAAAAGCATCAACAATTGCCATAACTGTACATAAACGGCCTAATAATGAAATCTTCAAATATTGAAGGTATGTGTATTCAAAGGGCTTTATTATGTTTTTATAACATACCATTGAACATATGGAAACTCTGCCGAAAAAGTCCGTTTTGAATTCAATTTGTGACACAAGAATCTATTTATTTACACATATCCACCTATTCAGCCTACAGCAATTTATCCCCACCCATTCTTATTGAAGTTTCAGGGCATGTTTTAGCTTTGAGTGTTTTCTGAATGAGGCACAACATAGGACAGCCAATCAGAGCAGAGCTCATTTATCATCTTATATCAGTCTTTAACACACAGTAACAAAAACAGCCTGTTTTTGGGACAAAGCAAGGTTGGAAAACTCTCATGTAAATTATGACCATTTTTGGTACATAAACCCACACAATTGTTATAAGTGAACCTTAAGTGGGGGAAAAAATTACACAAAAAGTAGGCTATGGGCTCTTGAAGATGCATACATTAAGTCTAACTGAATATGTTACCTATGCCAGAACTTTGAGGTATGTAAAGTGAACAAACCCTTCATCTGAAATACTTAAGGAGATCCAGTTACCTTTTCTGACAACCGGTCCAAGAAGTCTTGTCTCTGATACTCGCGCCGCCTCAAGTGTCTGTACACATGAAACTCCCCGCTGCCTGCCCCAGCACTGGAGCCTGGTGGGAAACAACACTGGTTGAAATGAAAAAAGTAAATGGGCATATTTGCACAAAGTAGGTCCTAAAAATCAAAATTCCCTGAGCCCAAAAGCAGTTGAAGACAAAAAAAATGTAGCTATTGTAACTGTAGAAATGCTCAAGACATGTTCGGTGTCTGAAGTTTGCTTCTTGGGATTTGAAATGAGGCTTCATGGTAGCTAACAAGGTTTGGAAGCTTATGACCACCATTTAGCATGACATACTGTCATCTATAAAAAGGTTCAAACATGAAGCATAGCTAAAAGCAGTTGTGGCCGCCGGGTGAATGCACTTTTGTTCATTTTTATCAATAATGGTATGCCACCCAGGGTCAAAAACACACAAGCAAATCTGTTTGAGATTAGGTTAGGCATGTAAGCAATTAAAATATACAGTTTGTTTGATGTTAAGTGGTAGTCAAAAGCTAATAATAATAACAACTAAAAAGGTGACACATTTAGTGAAACCTTCTATGGGCCAATACTTACCAAGCATTTAAAAGTAAAAACACTGATTTAATATCAGATTTCATCGGCTCGTGTAATTCTCTACAGTGATACATAAAAGCTGTATGCTGACCCCAGATCAGCATTCGTACTCTGATAAGTTTAATAAATACGGGCCATTAAAAGTGAATTCCACTGATTAATCAAAATTATTTATATTTTTTATATTCTCAATTATCAATCACTGAGACGTAAATAAAATCATTCAGAGTGGTTTGATGGGAAATGGTTCACTGTTGACAAACTTACGAACTGAGATTTCTTTATAGGACGCTGCCCACAGGACGCTGTTGGCTGGATATTTTTGGTTGGTGGACTATTCTCAGTCCAGCAGTGAGGTGTTTAAAAACTCCAGCACACAGCACTGCTGTGTCTGATCCACTCAGACCAGCAGAACACACTAACACACCACCACCACCACGTCGGTGTCACTGCAGTGCTGAGAATGATCCACCACCCAAATAATACCTGCTCTGTGAGGGTCCTGACCATTGAACAACAGGGTGCAAGGAGTGAATGAAAACAGCCCAGTAAGTTGCAAAGTGGTCATGTGAAAATGAGTCATGACTGTTTTGGTAAATAAAATCACACCCACGTTAGAAGTGAACCTTAGAGGGGAAAGTAAAAGAAAAATATAGGATATGGACCCTTTAATCACTGCAGACGTCTGGTTCCTATTACGACCAATGTGAACAATTCTGAAGCGGTTACTTTATAACAACGCATTTCACATTAGATCATCCGGAATGACTTTGTTTACGTCTTAACTATTTAATTATGGAAACACTGTTTAGGTGGATTTTCCCTTTAAGTCTGTTAAACAGTATTTACACACAACCTACGTAACCTAACTAGCTAACCTAGCTAGCAAACTTAGCTACACATTTACACACACACGTGACGGATTCACGGGTAGCTAATTATTTTTTACTGGTTTCCCAAAACGTACATTTAATTGTAGCAGGTACCACTCAGCGTGTGTAGAGCTGATAACTGTTCTTTCGGCAGTTATAACCCGGTTCTGTATGATAAACTAACGCTAACAACGAGCGGACCGTGTTTATTACGAGCTCGTCTGAACACAACTCACCCATAACGTCTCGTACAAACTCTGGAGGAGCCCTTGGATTCCATTCTTTAGGTCTTTCAGGTATGGGTGCAGGTTTGTCCTATAAAATAAAACATTTATCCACACAACTGTATTTAAAATCTCTCGTTTTACCGAATATAGCTAAGCTAGCTAACACAGCTATGTTACCGCAGACACCGTGCTGAGTAGCGAGCTAACCTAGCTAGCGAGTGATGCTAACCGGCTGCAGCAGCATCACTGAAAGGCTCGACAAAGCTCAGCTGTGAACACTCACTGGGTTTCGCATTAACCTCTCCAATTTCAGACGCTGCTCCTCTGCTGGAGATTTGGCAATTATTAAAGGCTGCGGCTCTTTTCCGCCGGGTTTCCCTGGTTTAGCGTCTTTCTGAGGGACCGCCATGTTTCACATTCGCCCAGCTTCTTCGGGTGAGCAGATGTTTCTGCGCTTTCTGAGCTGACTGCCACCTACCACCTCACCAGAGCGGTGTCGTTGAATCTCAAGCGGCTTGCTTCAGGGTACGTTTTGGTTTTTCCATCTGAATTTACGTGACCAAATCGTAAGGCAAATTATTCAGTAACTGCATGAAATAAATGTTAATTTTTATTTATTTATTTATTTATTTTGGTTAACAGAACATGCGTTTTATGATCATACACATTTTGCTTACAATTTACGGCTGAAAGCCAAAAATCTTAGACGATCTTTGTATTATTTTATAAAAATAGTTTTTACAGAGCAGATCACTGAAGAGACGCCATCTGTTCATAGTTTATATCCCAGATTTGTGGAAAAATGGGTCGACTTTCAGTAGACAGTAAAAATTGTGAGTTCAGCTTCTTTTATTATAAGTTTTTAAAATTACATTACCCATCTATTTGACTGGAAAGAAGACAGTTACAGCTCTCATACGACACCCACCTTTTAAATGTAGCTTATGAAATAAGAAAGTTATGAAGAATATGACGAAGTGCGTTTTGGAACCACCGGTTCCAAAAACCATCATTTTGAATGAGTATAATGAATAGTAAATGAATAAAATACAAGAAAAATGAAAGATATAGGCCCTTTAAAAGCAGCCCTGTGGTCAGAAACTGGCCAGTGTTGAATGAGTTAGATGGGGCTGACAACATTGACGACAGGGTGGCTGTGCATTGCACCTGTATAGTGTAGGGTAAACATATGTCTTCTCTTCCAGGATGCATCTCCACTTTGGGACCTAAAAAACGCATCCAACTGGGACTTTTGTCTAAGGATTAATTAATGTCCAGGATTGGCTTTGCTTTCAGGTTGACATTTGCTTTCTCCAGTCTGCCCCATCTTGCCTTCCTGCCCCCAGTGTGCTCTTTTACTTAATATACCTATTTGGTAAGTACACCTTGTACACTCACCCACTTTATTACGTACACTTACCTTGTGTCTTCACTCTTTGGGCCTCAGTCACCAGTATCTTCCTAAGTTTTTTCTTAAACATGTTCTTGAAAAAGGTCCTAAGAAGTCAAGTCAAGTCAAGCCAAGTGTACATCAAGTCAAGTGTACATCAGATCCACAGAACTGTTCACACTTTTGTGCTCTTGAGTATGTTTAGATTGTGTTCTCAACCAAGCACAAATTCCACATAAGAAAACATTCGTTAATGCCAGAATCTTCATAAAAACTGAGTTAGTGGCTTTTAAGATGTAATTTCTTCTTAAGAATGCTTGGTGAATGAGGCTCATTGTCCATTTTATCAGCTCCACTTACCGTATAGGTACAGTTCTACAATTACAGACTGCAGTCCATCTGTTTCTCGGCATAATTGGTTATCCCCTCTTTTCCATGTTCATCAATGGTCAGAACGCCCACAGGACCACCACAGAGCAGATATTATTTGGGTGGTGGATCATTCTCAGCACTAACGTGGTGGTGGTGAATACTTACCATAGGTGTATAGTTAGTTACAGACTGTAGCATTGGTCAGTTTCTGACCACAGAAGCGCTCTTGGCTAGATATTATTTGAGCGTTGGATTATTCTCAGCACAGCAGCGACACTGACATGTTATTGTGTGTGGTCTTGGCATGTGTATATCAGACACAGTGGAGTAGCTGAGGTTTTCACACATCAGTGTCATTGCTAGATTCAGAGTGGTCCACCACCTAAAAATATTCGGCTGAGAACGTCTCTGCCGTCTCTGTCTCGGAAGTTGACCACTGAAGGGCTACAGGATGGTTAACATAAATGGAGCATCAATAGCTGGGTTGCAGTATCACATAAAGTTGTGCATTTTTCACTTATATGTGTATACACACACACACACACACACACACACACACACACACACACACACACATATATGTGTATGTATACATATATATACATATATATATATATATATATATATATATATATATATATATATGTATCCTTACATGGCCTTGTTTTTTTGCCCCATTGGACTGACCTAAGTGAAAAATGCACAACTTTATGTGAAAAGCAGGTTTATATTATGATGAGCAAGGGAGTTAATCAGGACAGTGTACAGCTGTGTATGTCCACAGTGGTGTCTCTGTACTCTTGCTCAGCATCTTCCTGAGACCTAAACAGGCCTAAATATTATATATTTAAAGGGATATTCCAGCATTTTGCAACCTAATGTCTAGCTGGCATATCTGTTTTGTACCATCGATTACCTCAGATGAGGTAAAACCTGTTGACTCAAAACTCACTCATAATAGAAGCCAGTAGGCAAAGGGTGAATTTAATAAATCGCTGTTGTCAAAAGAAAACCTAGTATCTCCATTTTTTTACATTTTTCAGTTTTTGACATAATTTGAAAATGCCTGTTGCCCCTTACAATGTATGTAAATTTCATGATGAATGGACTAAAACAAATGACCCAAAATGACTTGGAAAAAATTCTGGTTCCATTGACTTACATTAAAAGTAAAGTAGGTTTTTTCCTTCTCTTGTGAAGTTATCATTTTGGAGATACAAGGTTTTGTTCTGACAACAGCGAAATATATGTTTGAACTACTCGACAACATAATGCAAATTCATTTCATTTTTCTCCCAGAGGGCCTGTTTTGTTTGTGTAGGTCACCAATAGTAATTTATCATAATTTGTTTTTGCATGACCATTTTCCAGCCTCCTTTCTTCCAGTAAATAAAGAGTAATTGTGCCTTAAAATGTGCAGAAGCATGTTCTCTGGAAAACTGTGCTAAATTATTTTCAATGAGAAAATCAATAACAACAACAAAAATGTGTTATTTGACCGGGGTGCCCAAACTTTTGCATATGACTATACACTTGCCTTCATTACCTGAGAAAGGCCAACATTCACATACCTCTCTCAGAGCTGGCTGTATGATGTATTATGTTTTGGCTCACATTCCACACGTGTGGTGTAATCCTTTCTGTGTGTATAAAGCAAACCAGAGGCTGTCGCCCCAGGTGACAATAATTTTTCTTTTTTTCTGCTCTTTCTCTCCTTTTTCTGTCTTTTCTTCTTGCTTTCTTTCTTTCTCTGCCAGGCCTCATAGGAGAAGGAATGTTGCGCTGCGCTTGTGAGAAGCATTGAAATGCCTGTCACACAGAGTCAGCCATTAACGCGAGAGAGAAGCTCCCTTGTGTTAACTTGTCAGCCACTGCCGTGAAACGTAATGCTGTACAAGGGGGCCATGGACCCTTCAGCCCCTGAATAAATGAAAAAGGCATATGTTGCAAAGCGCACACGGACTGTATGTGCAGTCACAGAAAATTCATTGCAATTTTGTTAAAGAAAACAAAAACAATAATGTAAATGCTTTATTCTTGTCTAAAGCAATAGATAAACAACAATAATAACAAAAATTAAATGTACACAGTTTTCCTCTTATGCTAAATGTAGCCCATCAGCCAAGACATGTTGGTGTCCAAATTTCATTTCTTTAGTTTTATCCTGGAGGCTAAGGTAACTGACAAGTAATGGAAGCTTATAGCCACCAATTAGTATCATACAAATTGGCCATCAAAGTCAGATTCTCAAATCAAAATGAGTATAAATAGACTTGCTGATTCCTTTTCACACACTGTATGGTATACAGTAAGGTTCCCGTGCCTTATTGCAGTGCTGACACTATCTGCACATATTTACAGTGGGGCCCAAAAATCTGAGACCTTGTTGAAAATTTGGATTTTTTCATTTAAACCTAGAAATAAACAACAGAATATTTTAGAATTTTGGGAACAGATGTAAACAGAGAAGTTATGACAAGTAAAAAAAAATGAAAATATTCACAATTGTGCACTATTTGGAGGTCATTATTCAAACGCAAGCAAATTTGTGAGATCAACCATGTTAATACCCTAAAAAAGGTCAGATTTTAGATTTTTCTTGCATTATCATATCATTTATCATTCATTTTTCCTTCAAGCTCATGTTCAGACAACTCTCAGGTGGATTTGATCTACTCATCAGAAGCTTTTGCACAAATCTGTGGAGTCTGTGCCAGCCCAAGTGCACACTGTCAGAAAAGCAAAATGGGGACATACCAAACACTAAGAAATTTTGACATCCATGTAAATATTTCAAAGATTCTACTTTGCAGTCACACTGTTACACTGATAATATCTTTTGTAATGAAAAACTATATAATAAATTAGAAAAGAATGCAAGTAGACACATTTTAACTCGTGGAGCCACTGCATGTTTTGGGATTACAGTGTTATTAGCAACACGTATATACCCTATATCCAAATATGTTAAAATTCCTATTGACAGGAACACTTGCCATTTTTTCACTTTAATGCAGGCCCTAAACATTTGTCCAAATGCTGCTACGAAGGCTATTATCACAACAAAATGCAGTAATAAAATTATGATTATTATTTCCCCCTAGCATTAATAAAGAATAATCAGCCGCAGTATTGGCGTGGGCTGCAAGCTATTAAGGATTTGATATTACCCCATTAAAACAAGTGCTCTTAATAACCCATCCTGTATACTTATACTTATGTCTGTCTCAGTGTTATAACAGGCATATTTGTGCTTTTATTTTTCTGTTTTCATGTCTATTCTGTCTGTATTCGAAAGATGAATGTAATATTAATTCTTTATACTTCATTTGTTAAAAATTCAAAACATTGACCACAAAAAAACAACTTGAAATAAATATACATCTATAGATATATATATATATATATACACGTGTGTGTGTGTGTGTGTGTGCGTTTATGTATTACACGGTTAACAAGGTGGGCAGTGTTATTTTTGTGCACAGACAGAGAAACGGGGCGTCCTCAAAGCTAATCAGCCAGGCAAATGAGACCACAACTATAATTCCTGTAGGCGTATGCATGTGTGACATGTACAGTTTACAGTACCGCATGAATGTGTGGGCTTATGTTCACACAAATGCGTCTGCACATGTGTGGTAGCTTGTGTACTGAATTCTGTTCAGCTGCTTCTGGATCTAGCAGGTTTGCTTCATTACCATTGGCGTGGGTCTTAATAGGCCATGGCAGCGCTTCTCACACGCATGCAGGCTCTGATTCAAACAACGGTCCCTCAGCCCCCCCGGTGTCTCTTCTTGGAGCCAGGTCCCTTTGTGCGGTCAGCAGTTCTGTCAATACAGTTTCATTATGTGAAGTGAATGTTGGGGATAATGTATGGTGAAGGCTGCTTTGTTATGTAACATGACACTTGCACAGCAAGAAGGAAGAGAAAAAAAAACATTAGCAGAGAAATGCTTTATGAGATGAGTCAGAGGATATCCCAAATAAGCCGTGCTGGCCTAGTCTGCAGAGGATGTGGTGAAGCTGCAGCAGATAGAGATTTCAGAATGTGCAGGGCGCTGGCTTATGCGCATCTAATATGACCCTGGGGGTTTTAGATTGATCACCTAGCCACCCCCTCTCAGACACACAATCACCACACATAAGTCGCCTCAAATTCCCTACCTCATCCAGTGGGCCTCTGCCATTCCCTTGACAGCAGTAAAAGATCAAAGCCTAAAGGGGGCCAAGCACTGAATCTCCACTCCTCTTCCTCCATTCATTGCCTTTCAGTTGCCCTTGCATTTGGAAGAACCGCCCCTAGGTCCCCACCAACCTCTGAAACAAAACAAAAACCCATCCGAAGGATATCTGATAGGCCTAATGGCCTTCTTTCAGCCTCAGACCCCACCCTCAGACACAAAAACAGTGCCAGGAGACTTGCTCGAATTTGAATATCTCTGCTCCAATTAAACATCAAACCCGTATGTGCATAACTCCAAGGCCCTGACATGACAAAGAAGAAAGCAATCCGCTTTAATAGAGCCCATCCATCTTTGAACTTCTGGAAACGCAGCGGCGGGCATTCCAAGCGTGGCTTACGGGCACGGGATTAGAGCAGGAATTAAACCCAGCCTTCAAGGAGCCCATGGGCAAGCCAATCAATCTGCAGACTCTATTAGCGTCAACTGCTTTTTTGCAGAGAAAAAGGTAACTGCTTGACCAGCAGGGGCTTGTGAGAGAGCCTCAGTGTGGTTCCTTGATTGCGACAGAGCGCACCAAATGTATGGTTTAATATGTGATGGTTCGGAGGAATTCAGCCAACATTCCGCTGGCACAGATACTACACATTAAATGCTGTATTACCTCACGTATTGAATAATGAATTTTACGGGCAACGCTCCATTATGTTGGCCGGCGGCGGAGTAGATATTTATAGGGCCTGTATGGTGATCAAATTAGAGCAGGGTTTTATGCACAAAATGTAGCCTTCCCCTGTGAAGGCTACAAAATCCCAACCTTGTTGTCGCTTCGGTAAGCTTTTAATTAGCTGGATAACAAGTCCAGTCAGTAGTCGCTGCCTTTCTGAAAAGTTTGGCTCGCAGAGATCAGTTGCAGAGGGTACTGTTGTCCAGAGCTGGCTCGCATTTGCATGCAAAACAGTTTTGGGGAGATGAAAAGCCCCTGCCATTCACAGCCAACGGGCTCAAATCCCCGCTGTGTGCCTCCTGTACTCCATTAGCCTTGCTACAAGGGGTTCATTTGGTTAGTCCACTCACAGCCCGGAGCATGAGGTTGGGGGAGGTTAGAAGAGTGGAGGGTCGTCACCCTTCATCTTTCTCCCAAGGGCATCATGTCAAGCAGAAAATGACCATTCTGTCAGGAACCGATGTTCTCACCAGACGGTTGGAAAACAACACAGAACACACAAGACAGAGAAGATGCTGAGGAGAAACCTTCTCAGAATTTGCTTCAGCTTACAGATACAAGCAGGATTTGACCTGAATGAGTTAAGGAGTACACACCAGATGGTGTAAGTGTACTACTGTCTTGAGGCATTTGTTAGCATGTATCTGTGAACAGTATGTAGGCTGCACATGAGAGAACATTCTATGTATGCAGTTCAGTGTCCACACAGCCCTACTAATCAACATTTCCCTATAAAGCTCCTGCCTCAGGCTAATTTACATTTAACATTGACTTTTTACATGACCTAAACGTCTCCGTGCTGAGAGACAGTGCCATTAAAATGCAGTGCAGGCCAGCGCAAGCGATTAGCTCCAGAGCTCCCACTTGTTTGACATTCCTCAGAGGTTCATGTCGATGGTGCTATTCTTTTCAATACAAAGCCTCAGTGAATCTGGCTCTGTCCTAAGCCTCAGGAGCACTGTCCCTTTTCTGCTTCTCAGTCTGAATCTCAAAAGCTTCTTTACTGGACCATGCACTTTTTTTAGAAACACTTACCTACTTTGTACCACTCACTGGCTACGTTAATTAGAAGGTCCACTTACTTTGTAGGTCCAGAATGAGTACAATTACAGACTGTGGCCCATCTGTTGATGCACAATTTGTTAGTCACCTTCTACTTAATTCATCATTGGTCATTTTCTGGTCGCAGGACTGCTGTTGACCACTCACAGACCAGAAACATGAGGTTGGGGAAGGTTAGAGGAGTAGAGGGTCATCACCTTTTATCTGTTCATGACCCTCATGACCAGATAGGATTTGATTGGTGGCTTATCATGTACAGCAGTGACACTGACATGGTAGCATGTGCGGTGCTGGTACAAGTGTATCAGGTGGGGTGTTGGTTGGGTTTTTTCACATGTTAGCTTTACTGATAGTTTGAGAGTGGTCCGGCACCCAAAATATCCAGCCAAAAGCAGCTCTGTGGTCAAAAACTGCCCGAAGAGCTTAAGATTGACTAACAAAAATTATGCCTAACTCTAACTGTGCATGTGCAACTACCAGGGTTCTAGTCTTCTGGGGCCAGATGTAATCTCATAAGAAGAGCACACATCTGGAGGCAACTTGTTAAACTTTTGGTGCAAGGTATACCCCTCTAAAACCAACCCCCAAATTCTTTTAGTCCATGCTCTTTTAATGTCCAGAGTACAAGTGATAACAAGCAAAACACGCTAGCTAGTGAAACACTATCATTGGCTAATGGAACTATATGTTCCTGGCAAGAGGTAATGGTTTTACTGCATGTAATGTGCTGTCCACACATGCGTAACACATCTACATCTTTATCTGACATTTTGGGGGGTATTTTTTATCCATGCTAACTGCAGCAAAAACGCTGGAGCCTGCCTTTTACTGGGACATCCTGATACAGGGTAGGTGATTTGTTTCCCTGGAATTTGCATTTAGCTTTTGTTTACTGTAAAAACAATTTTACTGAAACAAGAAATCTCAGTATTCCTTAGGTAATAGCCATAATAGACACAAGTGTACAAAACATTAGGGATATCTAGATTATAAACCACTACAATTATGAATTGCAGTTCACCTATTTTGGAACCTTAGTTTTAATCAGAAATGAGTTTTGTGTTCATAGTCTAAACACTGACCACGTGCCAGAACAAGAGATGCCACGGCACGCCTGTATGAGTCTAAATCCTGATAAATACAAGGCTTTCAGGGATTTCCCTTGAAAGTCTAAGAGACATGGTGGGATGGGACAGTTCCCGAAAGTGCCTTGATGTATTGTAGATAGGGGAAATCACCAAAAGGGTGGTGGACTGAATCAGAACTTTTGTGTTTGCGTACTCTATGGACTGATGCTATCACGGAAAAATGACTTCTAGGAAGATCCCAAGACAGGGCGTGGTAAAGCTAAAATTGCTTGGTAATGACTGCCTATCTCCACTACAGCTTGTACATTCATTTATGGCCTGTCTAGTTCATGGTGTAATGTAACACTGAATGGTTTGACAAGGTCTTCTGTGAGTTTGTCACATTTGGATGATGCTCTTTTACAGACTGTGGCGTTTGTGGAGCGGAAGATTCGCCGCAGCATGACAAGAATCTTGCCTTTAATTTAGCAGACTGACAGCTACATTTTTGGCAAGCTGAGCTCCTCTCCTTCACAATCTGTTTCCTGAATTGGGACTGGGGTTGTTATAGTGCAGCATTCTCTAGAGAGCTCTGCAGTAGAACAGTAGTGCAAGAGCCCTTTCTCTGTTGTAATAGCTAGACAGTGATCAAACTGAAAATTGAGAATGTCTGCTGTTGAATATATTTCAGAATCAAGAAAAAAAGCTTTATAGTTTGTTCCTTTTTGCAGAAATGTTTTTAATGGAACTGGATTATAAGTGGTAGACTGAGTAATATTAGTTACTGTTATTGAGCTTTTTGTAGCTCCATGTCGCAAGTTGTCTTGATTTAATAGCAGTGGTGAAAGGTGGCTATCAGAGCTAGGCCTTCAATTCAAGCCACAAATGTCATAACTCAAAATATGAGGAAAAAAAGCAACACTGTGATGATGCAAACATTTGCTAGCATCCCTATGGGTTTCCAGTACTTTGTTAGCGCTAAGCCGCTTAAACAATTTTTGACAGATCGAGATTAAGGACAGACGTTTGGAGCTTCTACAAGACAAGTTCTATGATTTACTTCAAGCTTGTACAGATATATTTTACCTTGTAGCGGTTTTACAGTGACTCCTTCAGTAAAGAGTCCTGCATAGAGTCGCTGCTGTTTTCCATTTCTAACAATCCATTGATTAGGCAGCTACTCGTACTCACAGTCAGTGATGTGTCTAGAACTTCCAGAAGGCCTAGAGTGATTTTTGTTTTCCTGCACAAAATTGGTCCTGCCCACTTCGAAATTATGCTGATGGTTTTGGGTATTGGGACTTCAGTTCTTGGGAGTCCTAACCAATAGAGCTCTCTTTGCTATAGGCCTGTCTAACTAGATACCACGGAGAAAAACAATTCCCGACTGGATAAATTTCCGCCGAATGTAACCCTTGTTTCCATCCAGAACTTAACAATGAAACAAGAGTTGGACTGTAATACTTACAAAGTTTCAGTACAAGAATCTTTGAATAAAAATGGACATGAACATGAAATGAAAAATGAAGAGGTATGTTTTTAGTTTCCAGAATTCATTAGGCCTCCTCTCAAGTCCTAGAAGGCCTTGAGGGTTCCTCACTGCATAACAGCTGACAAACATCACTACTACTTTAAAAAAATTCATGCTGCAATGTATCCTTTACCTTTATCTATTTTATAACAGCTAACTTTAGAGTTTATGATGTTTGCGATGTTTTAATGGAAGGTCCACCTGTATTATTGGCAGTAGATTAGGCCATATCAACTGAAGTTAAAGGGACTCTCTGGCCAGAATTAAAGAAGTAACCACCACTACATCATACAGCAGTGTTACAATAGCCCTGAGATTGTGCTTTTCCATTTTAAAGACTAGGAAACCCCCTTCTTGAAGATGGGACGAACTTTTGGAAAACTACAAGCACTTTGGGGTGTGGGCTGTTTTTTTTTTGGCTAATGTAGAAGTCAGATAGCTGACGTTACCACGAGGAAGCTGAATCTCACATCAGTATTTTGTAGCTGTGTATTCATTTCTTTATGGTCACCTTATGGTGTGACTGGGATTCCCAGTGGTTGTATGATGTAATGCATGCTGGGTACTGTAGTGAGAAACATGCAAAAAGGCTACACAACTGTGAATCTGGCAAACTGATGAGGCTGAGGGATATAATGCTGTGTTACAGAGCACTGCATGACACAACAAATGACATGAAATGCTAGTTTTAGGCTGGAATACTCCTTTAATTAGCTAGTGATAAATCTTGATTCAATGGCTAGCTCACACTGCTAATCATAAACATAACAATGTTCATAAACTTATCTTTAACCCACTTCTCCACTTACTAATTTTGTCTACAATAAGCACCAAATGACTTGAAATGTATCAAATCAAAAATATCAATGTAATTGATTGACCACCGTCTCCTCAATCAAGGCTCATGTCCTGAGACTAATCCAGCTCAACATGGTGCAATGTAATTTTCATTATTAAATTCCCCCCCTTTATAATCAGACAAAATTACAGGCTTTGCAGCAGTATATCTATGGCTGGAGTACAATTCCATATGCTTTGGTATGTTTAACCCTTAAATTGAAAGGTTTTTCGCCATCCGTTCATGCATACCAGCAGTTGTTAGCAACACAGCACTTATATCTAACATATAAAATCTAAGTGTGTAAAACTGACACATTTTCTTTTTATGTGTCTGTCGCTTGTCTCAAAAAAATGGACAAGGCAGACGGAGTGAAATGAGGTCATGAGTTTCTCACGACCTAAAGTATGTATTTAAGGATTGGGGCCTAGTCACACTAGTGTTTACCAGCCAATTTTCATGAGCTAAATAAATTAATTCCAGTGGAATTTGTTGCAATGAGTGATCTGGCATCCCAAAGTTCCAGTGCGAATTAATTTATTGTGTGAAATTTTACATCGGGTTCAGCTGGTGAACTTTTACACGTGAATTTCCATCCAATAATGCTGCTCCTTTGGCTGTATTGACCTCTAAAGGGCGGCCCTTCATAGCACTGAACCTTTGAAATGCTAATTTTAGCCGTGTCTAAGTACGACCCTTTAAACTTTTCTTCCCTGACTATAAACAAATACAAGAAAGAGAGAGTGCTAAATTGTTGGAGAGTGAAGATCAGAGTCCAGCACAGTTGGGTTTTTCCCTGCTCGAGGACACCAGCTAGACCCGGTAATAAACTGAAGAATTTAATTATCATGAAGTTGGAATCTCTAGGGACCTCACGATTCAATTCAATTTCGATTTTGTTAAGATTCGATTTGTTTCAAGTGTTAAGATGTGATGCTAAAATTATTTTTAATTTCCATAGCCGATGCTGTGATTTTTGCATATCGTAACAGTGGCTATACAAATATATGCTTTTAAACATGAACTGATTTTATGAAATTCTTTAATCAAAATCACATATTTAATAATATAATACTGAGGCACACATTCTAATGGCTCACTTGGGTACTAATCACACCCCCTGCTGGAGAAATGTCAGACTACCACTCACGTTCTTCTGTAAAAGCGTTCCATAGCTATGTTTTACACATAAAAATGAATCCTTTTTCATCATTACAGCAGAGGTGCTTTAACATTCACTTGGAGATGCCTGTGGGATTATATTTTCAGAATTTTACAACTCATCTTAACTTTTGGGACAGATAGTACAGAAATGGTATGTTTCACTTTGGGAGACCCTCAGCATGCTTTTACTTTATATACTGAAGTGTTACAGTTATTCATTCGGTAAAGCTTATTAGCATCTCCTGAGCTGGTTGAACAAAGCAGTGTTCTTATGAAGGTTATGATTACTTTGGTTTTGGGCCTTTTACTTCATATTCATGAAATTTGTCACCAAATTATGATTGCAAACAAATTATGATTTCTCCTCCATGCCGGGCTGCCATTGTATCTAACTTTATAATGTTTCTGGCTGTGATTTTATTTTGCAGCCTATATAAAAATCCAATGTTTTGCTAATCAATTTAGAATAGAGAGAACTGTGGTTCATCTAAGAATCAACCTTTTTTAACATCCTTAGAATTTAACCAGGTGTGCTTGACCAGGAAGATCACCAAACAGGGTTCCCATCCCTGCTATATATGTTTAAGTCTCTAAAGTGACACATTTCAGTAAAGTGATTCAGCAGGCACTAGTGATGGGCAATATGATTGTATATTATCATTATTGTGGTAAATTATGTCATGATATGCTTCTCTGTATATATCATAGGTGGTGTTATTTCTGACCCTGAACAACCGCATCTATCATTAAAAAGCGACTGTTGAATTGTTGAAAGTCTGTAAACAACAATCAATCAGTGTTCAGTGACTGAATAAACTGCATACTAAGACACATTCCACCATTATCTTAATTTATTTTTTACCAATTGTTTGATTTTTCCTTTTTTTTCAGAGACTTTGTGGCATTTCTGTTTTTCTGGTGCATTTTGTCCATTCCAAAAAACAAAATATTGTGTACTGTGAAAATGCTTTCAAGTATCATGATGTTATATTTTTGCCTTATTGCCATATCATCTTTGCTGTCTATCATATAAAAGATATACTATCTATATTACTTAAAAAATAAGAAAAGCTAGGCAAAGCCCTACATACTTTCTGTTTTTGCTTTTAATTTCCCTTCATAAGCAAACAGACCACAAAAGACCACAACACCCTCACATCTCTCATCACAAATCTCGATCTAATCTGCTATCCTACATCCTTCCGCAAAGCGAAAGTCATGCAGATATTAATATAAGATCATCTTCGTCCGCATAAAGCAAGAAAAACATTCCGCGCCTGGAAATAAAACCACTCTCATTAGTCACGGCAAATAAGCGGCATTTGAAGTCGGCACGAGGCGCTCCATTTTAAGCAGGATTTCCATAAATAAGCAGTCCCTGCTTTCTTTGATATGACTTCCAGTGTCGTTATTGCTGGAACTCACTTGCTTTCGCTTTTGAGGCTAGTTCCAATTTATTTGGAAAGGCGTAATCAACTTGGGCCAATAAAACTGTCTGTAACTGTGGAACAAACCCGCACCTCTTTGACAGCAGTATCCAATGCCAACAGCACAAACAGACTGCTATATGAGACGGTAAAAGGAAAAAAAAAAACCCTTGGAAAACAAAGTCTTACGCAAAGCCTGGACAAACACTCTCAGTGCTAGCATATCATGCTGAATAAATAATAGAATGTTGGACCATCTGTAAGAATGCACTTTTCAAAGTAAAGACTGAGAAAGACTGAGAAAGAGACATTGAGAGATGGTGCAAGCACTACTTAGTTCTTCGATTCAACATTAGTTCCGCTCCTTACAATGCTTACAATGTTTACAGTTCCCACCACAGGACATTTGGCCAGCAAATCTAATGAGTTCTCAGGGAGGTAGAAATGAACTTCAGAACGGCTGCAATATTTATTAATAATAAACATCATAATTGGACTTTATTGATCATCGTCACCATTACAAGAATGCATATCACGAGCCTGGCATTTCTCAAATTATCAATGGCAAAAAAAACAAACAAAAAAAACAAAAACAAACAAACAAACAAACAAACAAAAAAGTCCTTCCAGTCAGAAAGCAGTGTCTTAACAATTCATCCCTTCCCTCACAAAAGCAGCAGCATAAACTCTGCATTATCCCCACAAAGGGACAACAAAACAAGCAACAATGACATAGATATCCTTGTGGGTTTTATATAAAGCAGATTTTTTCAGTTTAGCTGGATAACTTTAGCCCAAAGTGAGGACAGGAATGCTCTGACCTTTCCTATTGGACAGGCTTGACTTTTGGCTTACGCTCTTTACTAGAAACCCCTACCGTTATGATTTCCACCTACTCTATAGGTTTACAATTACAGACTGTAGCTTGTCAGACACCCTCCACCCCATTCAATCTTGGCCAGTTTCTGACTACTGGCCTCCTGTTGAGCAGATATTATTTGTGTTATTTGTATTACTCTCAACACTGCAGTAACACTGACATGGTAGCAAGTATGTTGATAGCAGTCCACCACAAAAATATCCACCCAAGAGTAGCTCTGTCATGAGAAACTGACCACTGATGAAAGCTAGAGGATGGCTAACACAAATTGTGCAACAAAAGATGAGCTACAGGCTCTAACTGTACACAAGCAAGGTGGAGCTACAAGGTATGTGTTTCTAATAAAGTGGCTGACCAGTGTAACTTATCTGGCTAATGTAGAAATCCTGCTTTGTGCAAAACCTTTCTGGTGTAATCAACAGGCTTGTTCACGACGAAGACGAAACATTTTATGGCTTCCCAATCTTATCCCTTTTAGACGTATGAAATTGGCGTTCATGATCATTTAAATTTTTTACATTGACCCAAAGCTTCAAGAGGCCAAGAACTTCGTTGATGGCCGTGGGTTTGTGTTCCTCGTGTTGAAAGCACAGTGTTTGGACGTTATCGATATGGAGGTTCATGCGGGTGTGGACTGGGCCTGTACAGCTGCTGTAACCGGACTGGTCTGGCTGGCCAGCCTGGCAACTGTCCTATCACTCTGAGGCCTACAGGCTGCCCGGGGCAGGAGTGGGGGGCACTGGGCCCCGAAGCCTGGGGCTGGTTTGGGCATGAGTCCAGAGGAGACAAACTTGCGGCAGAAGCCGTGGCTGAGGACGTGGAGAGCGGCACGAGGATGGCTGGCGTGAGGCCGTATCGGAGTTGAAAAACACGAGGCGGGCCATGGGCAGTGATTCCATTGGGGCGGGGCTCCTTTGGTACCTCTTCCTTCTTCCTCCGCGCCTCCTCCTCTTCCTCCAAGCGCTTCCTCTGCTTCCTTTCAGGCCGGTTGAGCTCTTGGATCTTCTCGGCCTGCGCACGGCGGACATGGTACGTCTTCCTGAAGCTCTGGAAGGAGTCCAGAAAGCCCTCCAGTGGGACGTGGCCCTCCATGAACCTCTCCAGAAGCTCCTGTGGAAACCCAAGCGACAAACAAAACAGGTATCAGGGAGCAGGAAGTCAAACAGGATTCGCAAGCATTTTGCATTCAAATACCCTGAACGTCTGACTCATCGTGTTCCAGACCGGGTTTCAGCTATTTTGAGCACCAACACAACAACCACGTAATTCCATTTAGAAGTTGGGGATTTCATGTAAACAGAAACAGCCACAAGAAACAATTCTGGCCAGGGAATGAATTAAGGGGGGGGGTGTTGGGAGAGCTGATCTCCCTAATTAAGACTTTAGTACAGACAGAACTTGAAGGAGGTTCTTAAGAATTGCATGCAAAAAAAGATTTTTTCCTCAGCTGTGTCAGAAAGACTGAGGGGAATTTGGGGAACTTCTGCAGCGGCCCATACACGAGTCTTGACTGCTGACACTCTCGGAGGCTTAACTTCATCATTATATATTCACTCATTGTGAAGAGAAAATGAGACATAAACTAGGAAAAGCTTTTTTTAAGAACTATTTGTGTGTGAAATGCCATATGAATTCATTTGCCACGCCAGTTCACTTATGGTTTAGGTTACTGGTGTACAGTGTGACTTTAATACATATAGCTGTCAATCTGCTAAGCTAGTCTACTTACCTAGCTAGCTGGCCAATAGGTTGCAAGCTATTGCAAAAAATTTAGCTTTACCAGACACACCGTCTTATTGGTAGTTAAGACATTTTTGTCCCCTCTGTTTCTGCCACTAATAGTAAAGAATTAACACATTTTTTATGTAATAATTGCTATTTAAACTAGAAATAGCTAGCAAGAATATCGCTAACTAAAGAAAATGTTTAAAAAAGCCTACGGAATAAAGATGATCCCCCAAATGTCCTTGTATAATTCACATTCCGCATGTGGTCAATACATTGTTTTGTCATTTTGTCATTGTTTCTGTCCAAGACCTGGACTGAATACACCACCATGTCTGTACAAATAAGACAGTTGAGTGAGCATGGCATATGTATAAATTTAACATGATCTTAATGTGTTCCCAGTCTAGTGAGCAGGTGGTAGGACCCCATCTACCTCAGGATGGGGCAACTGAATTATTGATGACGGTCTTGTCTGCACTAGCCCATTCCCCCAGATTTCCCCCCTGGAAAAACAATATAGCCCCTACACCCCTACCGAGGCACTGCCCCTAGCAACCCATAGATTTTTAGCTTTCACCACCTGCCCACATAAAGAGACTCCTTCAGTTGAATCATGTTTAATGAAAATCAGTTGTTCCTTTTACCTTATTACTATTTCATAACATCATTATAAATTTACAGCTCAGTGTAGGAACTGCCTATAGCATTAACCCTTAAATACACACCTCTGATCGCTAGCGACCAGTGACTTCACTTTCCCCATCTCAAAAATTTATTAGGCCATACTTTTGTAGCATAATAAAAAATTTACTTCAAGCATTCTGAAAAACTACTCATAAAATCAAAACAAAATTTCAAAAATACAATTTGAATATATTTTGTTTTGGGTTTTAATTCTATGGGTTATTTTTTATGTTATAGGCTAGTGATACATAATAGTATCATCTTGCCCATAAATTATATTTGTATGATGCACTTCTTAGCTATGTTTATCATCACAATCTATCTACTGCCAAAATATAACGAAATACACTGTATTTAATTATTGTCATTAGGCAATTTTACACTGTCATAGATTTGTGTTGAATACAAGCAGGGCTACACAATATACTGTTTGTTAATTATCGCTATATTGACCTTGTGTAGCAGTGGTGTAACTAAGATCTTAAGGGCCCCAGTGCAAAGAAATGAATGGGAAAGTTATTTACAATTAATAAAAAAATGACACTGTAATTTGCTTAACTTACTACTGTTATATCTCAAACAAGTTGATGCTCAAATTCAAGGCATGCCGCCACCTCACCTACTAGCATGTACGCTACCCTAAACGTTTACATTAGACAACCTATTTAATACAATCTGAAGTAATGACTGTATCAGGTTGTGAAGGATCCATCTGAAAACAATTACCATGGATGAGATGCATTATGAATAAGAGGGAGATAAACAGATGTTAGGGTTATCCGTGTAGTTGATCTTAAGGTATGTTGTTAAGAAATCGGATGTGAGTCACTGGTGTACAGTTGTGTAACTATCTGTATGAGAGGCCCAGCTGAGATTTAAAGGGGCCTGGTCATTGTGAACAAAATTAATAGAGGCCAGTCTTTAACCATGTCACATCAAGCAGTCACTAATGTGTTTCTAATATAGCAGAAGCTATACTGTAATTCATTTATGGGTCTTATGTCTTATGTGTGTAGGTTGTTGAGACACAGAAATGAGAAAAAGGTTCTAAAAATAGCATTGTATATGCATGTTATTTTATTCATGCTTTAAAAAATTTAAATATATACACTGTCAAGTTTCATGTAGCTGTACAACATAAAGGCATGGTTGTATCTAGGCATGTCTGACAGAGTGGCAATAATGGGATGTGCAGTATCTATGGGAAACCGATGGCTTTAATGCTAGAAATAAACAGACGAGTCACATAGATGTTTGAAACTATGGTGATGTTATTCGTTCATACCTGACCGAGAGCTGCACTAGGCACAGTGTGGCTATCCACTGGGCTCGTCCATCAATCAGACCAAAGCGGCCTAACGACTCAAAGTCACAGTGCTATCGATCAAGTCGTATGGGGTGAAAGGCACAACTCTAATTTATGACCTGTAGGTGTGAGCCTTCGATCAATCGTGTTTGGACCTTATCGGTTAGATGAGGTCACAAGAGTGGAGCTGAGGAGCTGGAGAAAGGAGGTGACATCTGTATTACATATGGAATATTACATCTCCACACACTAGGAACTCCCTGCGTCAAAATACCGTAGAGCATTTATTTGGGCAGTAAGCATTTATTTGCTCAAAAAATAACTAATATATTAGAATAAATGAAAAAAAACATTTGACTAACGTTTGACTAATCAACGCTTCATTATGTTAAATCAAGTGGGCTGCTGATGGAATTTACTAAATCCATGTGGCTGGAGACGTCAAAGAAATCTAGAACCAAATTTTGTTCTGCAAACAAGCTCACAATATATCAACTACTTTTTTCAAAATAAGAAATTCTTATTACTTTGTATTGTATTTATGTTAACATGCATCCATTCGAATGATAGGTGCTGTTTTAACACATACAAACATATCTACTGCTGAGATAAATGGTTTTGAACAACGTGCTTAGGTTGTACTGTACATACAGGAGGGCAATGCTAGCTAGCATTTGATGCACAATTACTGAGGTTTTTTCAGAGATAAATGTGCTGTAATATTGTGTTAGATTAGGCAACAGATGGGTCTGACTGGAGTTTTGTTTACCAAGTTAGAAGCAGAAGTGAGTTCAAGACATAAATCTTTTAAAATCTTTTTTCAGCAACATGTTGAGTCAGTTTAGTTAGCAGAAACAAATCTCAGGCATTTAAGCAGAAGCCTTTTCATTACGTCTTTAAAAGTTCCCATATCATGGAAATCCAACAATTCCCTGCTTTTTCTAAAATAAGTTTGATGTAGTTTATAAACAGTGTGGGAGTTTCAAAATGTACCATTCACTTCTACCTCTGTAAAGTCCATGTATGGAACCAAACTGCAAAAACAGCTTCTACGGAATTCATTATTTTTGTGGTGTCACAAAAATGGTCACATTTATCAGCTAACAGCAGCCAAATCAAATTTAACACAGTAAGAAAAACAGCCTGTTTAACTCTAGGGGATAAAGAGGGGGTGGGAATGTAAAAATAAATCATGACTCTTTTTGGTACATAAACTATACACACACTCATAATTGGACCCCAGAATACAAGAGAAATGTAGAATATGGGCCCCTTACGATCATGAGAACATACATTCAATTAGGTATGTCCAAACTTTTGACCAATACTGTATGTCTCCACTGCTTCAGATCATAGCTGATGAAGCAAGAGGAAGCATGAGCTAATGGATAAAGGTCTGTTAACTTGATTCAAAATGATAAGGTCAGCGTCAAATTCAGTTATGTTACACTAGCAGGAGCAACACTGGTTTTCAGGCTGCTCAGCAAATGTAATATTATCAAGTCATGCTATACCCATTGTGTGCTTTTTATCTAGTCCATTACTGAATTATGGTCAACATAATAACATCAGCTTTACAGCAACTGTGTCTCAAATGCTAACGTTGCCCTCCTTTGTATGTTCTGACCTGGGGGGATTCCATGCGTGGAGATGGAATATTTTCTGTGTATGCTATTGCTGCGTATAGAATGACTGACTCGCGGCTCATTGGCATGACAGGTCATGGAGAATGGAGCGTTCTTAATCAGTTATGTGGGCATGTTGTTGGTGGAAACCACAATAAAAGATAATGATTTCTGTTCCATTTTGACACTGACCACTCATTTTAATACCTGGCCTAACAATGAAATGATCACATCTCGGAATTCAGGAGTTCGATGTATTTCCCACCATTGTCAGAGCATGTTTTGCTTTGGTAGTCCTGGAAAGTGTAGACTCTCAGCGCAAGTGCTTTTTCTATTCAAGCCTTTTCAAGTTCAATTCCACTCCACTGCATTTACCAGCGCATGATTGTTCCTCCAGGCGATGCGAGTTAGAACACTAAAAGGAGTGATTCTGGTACTATTGCCTGTGAACAATGTGTCTGAGGTGTTTTTTTTTCTTTAAGTGGAGGTCTGGTGGGTGCTCATTTTTTTTTCCAGGGCCAGCAAGCTCTGACCAGAGAAGCATTAGTCAGTGTTATGGGAGAAAGACGAGAACATTAGCAAAGAAAGGCCAAGTCGGATTTACCTCAGACTGCTCCTCAGCATGTGCTACCTCCTCTTGAAGTAGATTCTGAGCCGTCTGTGGACTGTGCTTCCTCATGTAGGCCTCTGAAACAGAAAAGGAATATTTAAGATTTTGTTTCAGCTCAGCGACTACCACAAGATTTGCATCTATAGGTGCCGCTGAGATATCTGGAGCAATAAAAGTCCGTAACGTGTTGAACTTGGTGGCTGTGGAAGAAATGTGAGATGGATTAAGAGAGTGGGTGTGAAGTGTACAGCTGAAACAAAAGAGCACCACAAAACAGTCATGAGCTGAGGGGGAAGCTTAGCACCAACTTGCTAGTCTTTACCGAGTCCACAGCTGCACCCCAGCTCTGTTTGCAGTGTCATGAGTACCCCTGGGGGAGAACGGAGGAAGCAATCACTTTCTGTTAGCTTGTCTCTGCTGATGGGAGCACAAGGGGCCTGGTCCCTCCAAGGCTGTTGTTCTGGGGTTACCACGGCAACGAATCATTAAGCTAATGTGCATATGTGTCCGAGTCCTCAGGGGGTTTGGGGGTTGTGCCTGGATGAAGAGGAGCTGTGCTAGTGGCCATCGAGAGCGAAGGGGAGGTCGGCACCAAGTCACCCATTCAGGCTCCATGAATTCGAAGCTTCTCGCTCGTTATGAGCCAGTTCATTAAAGATGGCGGACGGGTATCAAGGGCTGGCCTACGGCTACACGTGGCAGTCAAAGGCCCGGTTTATCAGCGGAAAGTAGAGTTTGTCCGCAGGATGCCCCAGGCGACTAATTTGCCTTGTCACGACAGTGGAGAAATGCCAGTGTTCCAACAGAGCTTTTTTGGCAGGTAGCTGATAAACAAGCACCACAGCAAGCCTCAGCTTAACACTGCCTGTACATGCCCTGCCTTTCACCCTTCTATGAATAATCAATGGACCACTTCAGAGCTACGCCTGCCACTTCATCATATGCATGTACTTTACGAATCGCTGCCCTCTGAAGCATGTGGCTAAGAAGAGAGTATGAATGCTAGCCCAGATGCTGGAATAGAAGGTGACAGGCAAAGCCAAACAAACACTTGGGGAGCAGATGCGGGCGACCTACATTCTGAGAAGCACTCGCCCAGTGGCCCCTAGGGCTCCTACGCTGCCTGTGTCCAGGACACTCCTCATGGGTTGGTGGGGGTGGGTGTGTTATAGCCAGCGATACAACCCAGAGGCCAGTGTGAACCAAAAGACGTGAGGTCCACAGAAGATGCTGTAGCAACGCTTTCAAGTAAACATGACATCTGGATGTCCTCACCTCATCACACAAGGCCAAAACAGAAGAGGGAGACTGGATAAAGTGATTTTCCCCCAGTCCACTGAGTCTCAAAGATCAATACAAATATTCAGCTTCTAAAGCTCTCATTTATAACGGTGACTGATCATATCGACTGTGCCACAATCCGTTTTGCAGCAACAAAAGGTCCTTTGCTGAGGTCGGCGTTTATGCACACTTCATACAGTGAAGATTTTAATCACCTTGACTTTTTTACTTTATTTTACTGAGACAATACAGCCTTGATGTATTTCTTAATAGATACTGATAAAAAAAAATGACACATTACTGGCCTTACTGACATCATTCATCAGTAACTACTACACTAAAGTGTTAGGACAGTTATTAATTTCTTTAAAATTTCTAAGGATTATTCATCTAAAATTATGATTTCACTTAATAACAGGCAGCTGATTAAAACAGAATTACATTGCTGAACCATGAGATGCAGAGGGCAGTGTAGAGCCTGTCTTAAGAAGGAAAAATAAAAAGACTACTGCAAACATGTTAAAGTTACTGCACACACCGCACACAATATAGTACAAAGCGCAGCTATAGCACACAGGAAGCATCACAGAAAAGCACCAATAAACATCAAGTTCAAGCTCATTCTACACTCTACTCCTATTGATATAATGGAATAAAACATCCCATCATTTAGTGAATTTATCACATTTTATCTTACCTAACTCATCAACTCTACGCAAACTTGCAGTGTTTGAGCGGAAAGGTATGAGGTGAAATAAGTTACGATGTGACTAGCCTAATAACATTAGCTGATTGAACAGGTGATTAGCATTTGTTATCACCTTGGTTACCCTTCTCTGTGTACATTTCATGCCATGTTACCTACTACAGGTTTATGATCTGGGTTTAACATAGTACAGAAATAGATGCTGAAATTTTTATTTTATTTATTTATTTTTTTATTGTTCATCTGACTCATCTGCCATGTAGCCTTAAGAGTCCTTTGTGGAACTTGCTGCGGGGATAGGATTTTTCAAACATTTCCCAAATAATGCCTTTCAAATTCGAATATCGCAATTTGATTACAAAAAGCCCATCCCTATAACACACAAAGACCACACGTGCAATGGCCACTGGCAAACTGCCTCAGACATAACCACTTGTCAATTACCCAATTACTTAATTACGAGCCATCAATAAGTATCGAAAAGGCAAGAACTCATGCTTGCAGCAAGACTGCCAAAATGCTGTGGAACTAATGAGATTATTTGGGGAGTGATGGAAATACTGGAGGGGCGAGAGGCTTCTGACAGACCAAATTACAGGTTCCCAGCCCTATTTGTAGCAAATAAATGGTTCCTATAGGGTGCAAACAAAACTGGCAATAGAAGGCTGAGAAAGGGGGGTAAAACCACTGTGAAATGTCCGTCCCACTCTTATTCACATGTATTAGTTATCTTCCTTGAAACAGCTTCTTTCCTCTGGGATTTATAATTTATTTTCCTCCAGTGCTATAATACTGTACTTACAGTTATATGTTCAGTTTTGCTCTCAAATGAGGTTTGTTATGAATGGCTGCACTGACTGCGGCGAGTTTCTAGTTCAGGTCAACTCGGTTTACAAGCCACTGCTCATAGTTTGATTAGCTGAAGAGCGACAAAGTAGGTCTATGATGAGTGGCTCAAGACTGGTCAATCTAAATAGTTTACACATTCCACAATGACTGTTTGATTTTGGCAAAAGACAGACTCTAAATATAAGCAGATACACACAGGAAAAATCTGTATTCTCTTTTCTTTTTGCACACATGTGCACGCACACACACACACACACATACACATCCTGTCAAAACACCAGAGCGGTGGGTGTTCTCTTGTGGTCTTTGCAGATAAATACCACCGACTGATTTGCTCTCAGAAGCAAAAAATTAAAAAAAAAACCCTAAAACCCAATGACACTAAAAGGAGTTTGATTGGTGTCAGGCACAAAGCTCCCTAGAAGGTGTCATCTGCTCATGCTCTCACATTCGCCGCCTTCCTGACAAAAGCATTGAGCTGACATCTGCAGCGCTACGGCTGGGTAAATTCTTCGGCTCAACCTCATGAAAGCATTACGGATGCAGGCTGAACGGCGGGGAATGAGCACAGGCACTCCGTTGAGGAGGCTGTTTGGAGGCCAATTTTGGACGCGCTTCCTCAGATCCCAAAGCACAATAAGAGATACTAAAGTCTAAACGCAGAGGATAGAAAGAAAGAGATGCCTAGAGGGGCTGCCGTAGGGGATGTGGCTACTGCCTATGCCAGCGCAGCAGCTTAGAATCTTTTGAAAAATCAATCTGACGCATTTATTAGCTGTCATATTATCAACTGTGCTTGGCATCAAATTTTCTTAAACGTATGCCATATAAAATTGCATTAACCAATGGCTTTCAATTCCCTTTCTTCATCATTACATACCTTAAGAAACCGCAGTGTCTCTAATAAAAGTACTGTAAATGCATTTTTTGATTTAGAACGACGTCCATCATGTGGAAATCGGTCTGCTAGAGCTGGTTAGCGGACATTCAATAAGCCATGTTCATTTTCATTGTCTTTCAAGTTCAACATGCTTAAACCCTGGTGAACTGGTCTGACCCTGGCAATGTTGAAATAATGTATCAAGTATATTATTCTGGGGGCTTTTGCCGCTGGTTTGCCAGATTTGGTCGGATTCTCAGGGGATGGATTTCAAAAGGCTGCAAGAGGCCCCCATTCTCCTACTGCGAGGCTAAGCCAGAGTGTGGGGTAGCTCAATAGCTTTAATCCGACTTTGATAACCACCCATCCCATTCCAAACACTGAGAGGCAAGAGGGGGTTGGGGGACTCTGGGAGTGATTCACATCCTGTTAATTACAAAGTCTCCCACCAGTGAGAACTGTAACAGTCTCTTGAGAAGAACCCAGCCTCCCTTCAGTCTCCAGAGTGCGCCATTTAACCATTTGATTTAGTGGCACTTTCAGATGGAGGTGCCCTTTTCACACTTGACCATTGCTTGCAGCCCCTCCCCCACCAGGGGTTCTTCACTATAATGGCTCCAGATGGGAATGTAAGCCTGTCTTACTTTTTGAAAAACGGGGATGGGTGGAGAGGTTGACCCATGAGGTGAAACGGCAGAAGGGTGTGAGCCTGAGAGGTCAACCGTAGGTTTGCTTTTGCATAAGAGCAGCAGGTCAGGCCCTAAACCAGGGGTGTCTAGCTCTGGTCCTGGAGAGTCAAGCACATTCTGCTTATATTGACGTGATTCAACTTAGCAGTAAGTTACCAGGTTTAGTAGATAATCACAAGATTGTCATGGAACAGGATTGGACGCTTCTGCTCCAAACAATCTGCCCTGTCAAACCACGAGCACTGCTTTATGCTTTGGAAGCAAGAGAAGTGATAATCTAAGACATACCAGAGCCGTGTCACACTCCAAAGAAAAATGCAGGCCAAGAATGTGCTATTGGAAACATGTGGCACAGCAGCGAAAGAACAACAGCGTTAAAAACGCTTTGGCGGAAGTTCTTCAGTGCGCTTGGCATAAGCATTAGCAGCAAAAGAGTGGAACTGCATGACATTACCAAAGTGACAAGACATGGAAAACTCTACAAAACACTTAAGAGAGCTGACTTAAAAGGTTAAGACTCCCCAGACAACCCCAAACTGTGCTGAACCTCTACTGCAAGCATTCATAGCTCTTACTCCCTCTCGACATCGCCGGCGTCTGAACCTGATTATGCAACAGCTCTGCGCTGCAAGACAAGGATTTTCCCTTAAATCTTGAGCCTCATTTTGTACAGGCAGTCATTTTTCACCCTGTTTCTCTCTTTCTCGCATGATTTTCCTTCAGCCTTGGCAGAATGAGAATCAGATGTTTAGGGTTGGAGGAAGGATCTCTCTCTCCCACCCATCCTGCCCCAGGCTGCAGCTGGGGAACAGGGGTCCGCATGTGCAACATGGTGACAGGAAGGTGAACATTCCACCCTCCTTCCGTCACTGGCCAGCTGCTGCTTCTGCTGCGAGTGGGAGAGAGGAGAACAGAGGCAGACTTTGTTGTAGGAAAAGTGTTCACGGCCACGTGGGCTAAGCTCCTTGCAATGCTGTGGAGACTTCCGACATGGGGCACCGCACAGCACTGGCAGACCATGTAAGCGGGCTAGCAGACATCCTCCTGCTGATGTTTTGTTCTGTGGAACCCCAAAGAACTCCCTCACACCCATGACCAACTCCTCCTCTACAACACTTCAATTTCCTGCTGGCATTTCCCCTCAGGAACGCCCTTCTTTCTTATATCAGTTTGTAGATGCAGACAGAGCCATGGGGCGAGGCGTGGGCCTGGGGGTCAAGCCTTTTAACAATTGTGCGAATATTTGGCCCTTTTTCTATGAACGATGCTGGAGGTGGTGGCCCAGACAAAAGCTCTTTCAAATGGATCTGCATCACCAGTTGAGCCCACACAATGGAGGGGAGGGGCCTGGGACAAAGTCAACAAATAATTCATATCGGCCATGCTGGTCTCAGAGCTGGAATGCTAGCTGGCTGACTGAAATGGAATGGGTGTGTTTAAGGGAGAGAGCTAGAGGTGTTTTGCTCATGTGGTAAATGACATACTGGACAAAAGCACATTGCCTGACAACAGTACTAGCAGCCATCCTGAAGCCTGAATTTCACAACAATCAAACAATTTTGTTTTTGAATAATTTACTGAATATTGCCCTGAATTTCTGAGTATTCTGAGAAATAAAAAAAAATAAAAAATACTCAGACAACATCACACTTTAACGATGAATGTAAAACTAAAAGCAGATTTTTTTTCTTGTTTTTTTATTTGATTATTTGTAATTCTGCATGTTATACTAATTTATTTTCTTTCAGTTATTTTTTTAATGAAACCCAATTGAAATGATTACTGACAAATATTTGTAAAAACCTAAGTGATAAAAGATTAATTTAATCTGGGGGACTCCAATCTGGCAACTCTGGATAGGCTGCCAGTGCTGTTCTAACATTGATGCCAGTTATGTGTTTTTTAACCAGCATGGTTCATTGGTTATCTCTTGTCAGTGAGTAGCTATATATATATATATATATATATATATATATATATATATATATATATATATATATATATATATATATATATATATATATATATATAGTGATTATATTTCTAGGTGATAAAGGTTTTCAAACACCATGTTTGATGGAAGCATGCACTAAAGTCATTGTTAGACATTTTATCTAGAGCGATCTGAATAAGTTTCCTATGGCTCGGAGTAGTTTGCCAGTTTTCACACAATCCAGAGCAGTATAAAGCTCATTTGGGCTTCATTGGGCAATTAAACTCCCAATATTGTCGCCTCAAATAAGAGCTCTAAAATCAGATATGAATTAAATCCCTACTAAGGCCAAAGTGACTTAATCTACCAGCTACAGACTGTTGTTTTTGCGTGAAAGGATACTGCTTGATAAAAATGCAACGCCATTGTTTCATACAAGTGAAAAAGTATCCTTTATTTGATCAACTAGTTACAGTAAATATTTCAAATATTCAATTCATCAAATTGTACTCAATATTCACTGCAGCCCTAGATAACAGTATGTTACACTGTCTCAGAAATCCCATTAGCTTTGGTACAAAACTAAACTTCATACACCAAACATATTTTGGCTGATCTGCATTTGGGGTAAGGTTGTGTAAATCTGATTTATTCCCCAAAGTATTGCAGTGGGTTGCTGCTCAGGCAACACCCCTGGACTCCAATGTCCTTCATGTGAATTAAGGCTGTTGGAGGAGGGGTGTGCACCCAAAGGCCTTTACATTACCCCCACCATACATTTAAATCATTCATGTAGGCCACAGTAAGCGGAGAGCATGAACACAACAAACAGAGGTAAGATGGGAGGGAGAGTGGGCGAGAGGGAGACAGATCTTCCTCTGAGGTCCCAGCAGGGCCGTTCTAATTACAGCCTTTTGTTTTTCAGCAAACACCAGGGCAAGCAAGCACCAGGGCAGGCGAGCAGGGCAGCCGCCCCGATCGGACCTGGAGTCGCAGGTCCATGCGGTTTGAACGTGCCCGCTGATCCTGTGGGTTCTGCTTCATTTTACTTGGCCTTGTTCTTTGCAATCGAGGTCACCTCGTTCGCAATTTACATGTAAATCCCATCGTCTCTACTGCCGTTTACTTAATAAAACATCTCCACGGCCCTCAAGCTTAAATTTATATTAGCTGATAATAAGCAAGAGATCCTCGCAGCCCGATGAAAAACGATGGGGCGTGAGAAACGAGTCAAGCTGAGTTTTTAGCCAAGAGAGGAAGAATGAGGAGGAATACAATAATATTTCTTTTATCCTGGCTACACGGACGGAGCACAAAAAAAATGAAAACAAATGAAAACTGCTCCTTTAATACCATGAGGTTCAGTTAGGGGAGTGAAACTTAAGCACCTCAAGTAGCCCTGCTCCGGGTCACAGCAGTTATTCCTGGCTGGTGTTGAAAAGGTGGGTGGGAAAGCCAGGTGGGGACCTCATGGCCTCGGCTCAACCTTTGGGGCCCAATCAGACGGTTCCACCTTGGAGAGAAGGAATGAGTAGTGGACCTGCTCCAGTCTTGAGCCACTGCCATTGGCTCTTTTGCAAAGCTGGATCACCAGTCCAGGAAGAGGTCACCACGTAAACGGCATGCGCTGCACAAATGAGGCGCGCCGGATGTCAGGGCGTGTTATTATGGAACAGAGTTGCCTGGCAATGATGAAATATCAAAGGCAAATGCACAGGCCGAGAGTACCTAGATGCTATTTTTAAACCAGGTTTTGGTCCAAAATCAAAAATAAAACAGCCCATGAAACAAACAATTAAAAAATGTGATTGGTGATGCATTGACCATAACCTGTTAAGTCTTAAAAGGTGTACTTATCACATCTTTCACAAAAGATTTTCCTTTCTGATGGATTTTGGTGGACCTCATACTTTTGAAACCTTGAAGTGAATACAGCCTGTGAGTAACAGTGCATTGCACCGCTCATTGCCCATTCACTTTGTTTTCCCTCAGAGCGTGTCCTGGGCATGTAGGAATGAATGGGGGGAGGGGGCGGGCTATAGTGTTTCTGGGACTAGCCTCGTTCCAGTGAGCCGCATTTCTATTATTCGTTATTCTACTTCTAAAGACACCAGAAGCACTACAGGTATGCACCCAAAAACGCTAATGTTGCCAGTTATGAAAGAAAGCTTCTAAGAACCAGTGAGCACAAAGCAAACCAATTATCAAATAATAAGGACCAATCACAGTCAAAGGAAATCAAAATTTGGATCAACCCAACATGAACTAGCTTTCCTTCACTGTGCAACCATAGTAGTATCTGGGGGAAGTAATCTTTAACCATCTTCTGAAACCAGAGCCCTGGCCTAATCTTGATGATCTATTCGTCATTACCAGCACCAGCCTGTTCAAGATGTAGAAGGCAACGTTGTACTTACCTAGCCGGCTTTGCTTTTCCCTGCAGGCAGCAGTCAACTTCGCAAGCTCATCGTACTTAGAAGCCAATTGGCGCTTGCCATTCTGGAGGCGGGGGCGGCGTGCAAGGCTCTCTTCTGCAAGACTTCGATTGGTTGCTAGTAAGGTCTCCCTGTCCACCTGCAGCTCCTGAAACTGAGCACAAACATCCAATCAAACGCCGAGGCAGGGAACAACAACCGGACAGATGTTAATATTGGAAAGACTGTAACAAATTTAAAGGCCTGGGACTAAGACTAATCAAATTCTAAGGGTGGAAACAAAAAAGCTAATCAGAGTGGACACCAGAGACCGGTCACATTCAATGCCTGGGCACAAAGAGAGGAAATCAGAGTTTGGATCCACTGAACATGAATGACCAATCACATGCCTCACGCACAAATGCTTAATCAAGCTCAAGCGCAAAAGGGGGTCCATCCAGAGTCGTGGGGCCCACGTGAATATGTTAACAATACAACTAGTCAACAGTAATGTCTATCCTTTTTACCTAGAGGATCGGCTTGTTAGGTTTTTGTTTCAAATCACTGATCCAGTTCTACACAGTGTGCATGCCAAGTGAGCATGTTCTTCTCTGAGCCTTCTTATCCATTAGGGGCCAACAAACCTGTAAAAAGCGCATTAACACAGTTCCTCACACGAGACAACACTCAAGGCCTGAATACAGCAGCGCAGGAAATGCTGCCGGAGGCACAGAGCTTGGGTTTTATTCATGTGTATGAGAAAGTGTTGAGGAGAATCAGTAGGACAAATGCAACCCTGCCAGTACAAACGCAAATTGGTCATGAAAAGCTGGTTGAAAACTTAAGGGCCAATGAGGGTTCACGTGACTGTAGACCACCCATGAGCCTATACAAAGCTGAGGTCTTTTCAGACCAGAGTTTCTATCCACCTTGATGGGCAGTGGGCTTGAATTCCAGGTCAAGGCTACAGCACTGCTCGTGTTTCATTGGGCTAGGGTGAATACTTTAGAGGGTCTGGCATGGAACCATATAGCTGCCTGCAGCTAAAACTTGGCACTGACTTGAGTCGAGTGGGATTCTGCTTAGCTTACATTTTAGGGTTTTGATTTTTTCCGCTAGGAGTTGAACTCATGGAACTTGATGTTCCTTGTACAGTGCATACCTCAAGCAAGGAGAACAGCTGCCTGGAATCATCAATAAATACACTGAGCATACTAGATACATCTGTCAAGATTCTCAATGGCTCTCAATGCTGATATTCCAGTGTTTTGCTGTGGATGCAACTTAATGACTTCCATATGCAAGACAATGGGAATACTTTATTTGATATGCTGTGTTTGCCTGCACAAGGAGGGCCAAGGCCTGAGGCTGTGGTGGAGACAGCGTTTAATGAACCAACTGCTTCAGTCTGCCACGTGTTTCTGTAGCCTAGACCCAATTATAAATGTCTGTCACATGACGGAATAATCCTGTACTCGATAGCCTGGTCAACAGTTCCAGCTCATAAAGGCAGGACATCATTTGGTCTGTCTGTCCTCCGCGACACTACCCAAGACCACTAACTCTAGCCATTCAGGGAACAGCAGAGACAAGTCCAAACCAATGGTTCTAATGGAAAGCATTCGCAAAAAGCTCAGACATCCTGAGAAACCACAGTCCCTACACTTTAACCGTAATTGTTCAAGGCAGAGTACAGGGTATGGGTCGCTTTGGAATCCTCCGCTTTTTCCCCCCACACTCGTTTATACCAGAAATATTAAGATGAATTTAGGAGGTGGTCTTAACTGCCAGTTTCATGTGTTTCAAAACTCAGCCGAGCATATAAGAGGATTAATGTTTTGTTTGATCAATGAAAATGAGAATTTTTGCCTTTCTTGTTATTCCGTGTGACTCTGAACGCAGCAGCTGCTATTCCCACTGGAGATGTATCCATTTCGGTATCTGCTCAGAGGAAAAGCGAGAAAGCCAGTACACTCCTGGTTAAGCCACCGATTTCTGGAAAAAACCTGTCATATTTGAGCTGCTTAGGATGACTTAAAAGAGCATGACTGATAAGAAAAGGTTGTTTTATTCACGACAGCTCTCTTTGGGGTTATGTAAGGTTCCTTTTTTGTAAAGACAACTTCTAGCTTCAAACTTTTTAACACCTCAGGGCCACATCCCGCTTTTGTAAATTCCCTGCCTCATTGTGGAGGCGGCACAATAACATTGTGGCAGCTAATTATCTTGTTATTAGTATTCTGCTTTTGACACCACAAGCTCTGTGTGAACATGTGTGCGAAAGGTCAAGATTTTCTTGACGTGTGTCTCACTTCTGAAATGGAGAATATGAGGACAGTGTTTTTTTTTCCTTTTACGATATGAACTTGCTGAACCAGCCGAACACTTCAAGGCTAGTAATCAATTTCTAATTAACGCAATAAATACCTAGGAAGGATGGGCATATTTGTCAAACCCACAGGCAGATTAATGTGGCACTTCTTACTGTCCTAAAACGTCAAGTGATTGCAAATTAGACGCTCCGTTTCTGAATTCATGGCTTGAAGCTTAAGGAAAATTGTCACAGCATGTGGAACAAGCTTTACTAAGACAAAATTAAGACATAACACACAAGAGCACCACACTGTGCTTGCTCATCTTTGAAAAACGTAATCACCTTAGACAAAATTATCATGTTTTGTTATGGCTGGAACCGTAGAAACAAAGCATGTTTTAAAACCCTTTGATTCTCAATTTTTGACATCAGCATGGGACAAATCAGGCCACAGTGCATATCCATTCTGAGCGGCTCCACTATTTCCAGTTTCACAGCCAAGATAAAAGCCAGCACTGTTCCCATGGAATCTCATCCCGATTCTCTAACCGCTCAGCGATAATATGTTGTAAACCGCTAAGTGGGTGTGCGAGCAAAGAGAGACTTCACATACTGATGGATCATCTAAACGTCTACAGATCCTTTTCATGGCGTACCAATGACAAATGGATTGGGTAATGAATGAGTTGTGACCTCAACTGTTTTCCACTGATTTTCACTCATAATCTTGAAGGGAAAAACGGTGCCTTCCGTTCGAGCTGGGCTGCCATCATCTGGGCTGCAAATCTGATCTCTCTTAATCGCTCCTGAATTACGCCACCTCAGTGAGTCTGCATGTGTTCATTTTGACTGCTCAGCAACGTCGTTCATGTTACCTAGTTAAGGTAATGAAAATTGCTTTTTCATGAATATATTTAAGCTCACAATAATAGCAATGTATAGCGTACCGGTTACTGCAAATGTAATATGTGCATTTTTTGGCGTAAATTATAAAAACTACAACAAAGGACACTGAAAACCTTCAAATTCTTCTTCTTAAAGTGCATGCTAATTGATCCTGTTTGCAGTGCAACATTCAGAATAAGGTTTTAATTAGGCTATTGTTCAAAGGCTCTTTTGCTTTAGATGTAGATTCTTCTGTTGTTTTTCTTCTTACTCCTCCGGATGTGGCATATTTACTTGACATGTTCCAGAATGCTGGATCAATATTAAATGAGAATTAAAAATTCAAAATAATGATTCCACGATGTACTCTAACAGCTATGTTATGGGGAAGATCTTTTCTTTTTAATCTTTTATGCAACTGTTGACAGAATAAATCATAACCAAAGGGGGATTTTTGGACCACCCCCTCACACCTACACCTGAAGCGTTCATGCTTTGGCAAAGGATGTGGCTTGCACTACACCACACACACATTAACAGGAAAATTTCACATACGGCCTAGACCACATCCTTAAGCATAAAACCCTGTGAGTGGTGTCTAAGAAACTGAAAAATTCTCCCTCCGCTCTCTTTCCCACTCTCTGTCTCTCACATGCACAGCCACTTTTCCTGAGCCTTTAATAGCCTGTCCGCTGACTCTGCAGCACGTGTCTGTAGTTAAATACAGCTGATAACAGTCCAGGCCCCCTCTTAGGGCTGGGCAATACAGCCAAAAATCGTATCGCAATAGATTTTTCCATATCATTCAAAGCTGATAATTACAGATGATAATGATATGCATTTCCTAATGCTCAGCTGTGAGTCTAAACAGTATCATGAACCCTGAAAAAAACAACAGAAATGAAAGAAAAATGTTACATCTAATTTAAGAAAAGTGAACTGCAGTGGCTGTGGTGACCTTTTTGGCTACAATCCTGAGATATTTTCCTCACATTGTGCGTGGTAAAAATGAATAATACTTGTTATAAGGGAAAAACAATTCCCGTAGCTAACGACAGCATTTGCTAGCTAGTATGTTTTGCTCGTGTTCTTGTATTCCGGACGTTAAAAGAGCACAGACGAGAGGAATTTGGGGGGCAGGTTTTAGAGGGAGTGTAACTCTTGTTAGCAGCAGACTTCTCTGCAATCCAGAAACCAAAGTTTAACAGTTGTCTTCAGACATATATTCTTGTTAGAGAAGACTACTAACTGTCAGGCTCATAACTTTGTGCTGTTGCAACTGAAAGGCTAGACTTCAGCAGCCAGTATAAGTGTACTTGAAAAGAACTCTGGGTGTGTCTTTCACAGGTCCACTAGAGACCTGATATCTTATCTTATCTGCTTAGTTTCCATGACAAATTTAATTAGGACTGAATTTAGGACAGAAGCCATTATAGAACAACAATTCTTAAGATCACAATCTTATCCAACTCCAGACAGGAAAACAGTATTACAGAAACATCCTAACTAGACAAAATTTCCTAAATTCTGTTCTAACTTGATTTAGGAATCCTATCTTACAGCTGAAACGTAAACACGTAATCAAGTTAGTTAGCCAGACAGCTAATGTTAGACACCGTTACTGTTGTACAGAAAGGTCAAATAAAAGTAAAGCATGATAAACTGAAAGCTAGGAATATTGTGAGAGCGCTTCGTGCTGTTTATCGAAGCGCTGCCGCTCTCCAGTTCATTTCTCAAATGCTTTGGCCGAGTGCGCCAACGTTGTTCCTCCTAATAAACAGACACATGTTCAGCTCTGTCTCATTATTCACCACCATCACTGCAATATTTTTTATCTGACAAGTTTTCATCAACATTAACACCCGAAGGTAATAAGAGTGTCTGAGCTCTTAAAATGCTGTTAAAAAAACCTCACAGGTCAAACCACAGTTTTCAGTGTAGATAAATGTAACGTCATTATGCTAATTATAGTGAACTGTGCTGCCTGACACTGCACAGAACAATAGAAACAGACGAGTTGAAACAGAGGTTAAGACGCTCTGGGGTTGTCTTAAAGATAAGATTTGCTTCTGTAATATGAATTTGTGAAAAATCTTATCTTGACTGGTCAGATCTTAAGTTAAGACAAAAAGACAAGGCGTTTATATAATACGGCCCCTGCTTCATACAGTGATGTAGGCAACCATGTGACATATAGACCAGTCGCAGTCATGGATAAAGTGGCACACACCATACAAACTCCAACTATGGTCTAATTTCATTCAAAAGACAAAAAAGAAAAAAAGACACTTTTCTTTGAATTTTTGTTTGCAGTCGAAGTTTACTCCCAGCTTTCCTTCTTTCCTCTTATTTCTCTTGCTGCGCCTAGTTTGTGTCGCCACTTAGTGTACTGAAACAGAAGTTGTTCAAAAATTCAAACCTTTTCAGATAATACAGGATAGAGGAACGCAAGGGCTTCAGTATTTGAGCAGAAATACTTCAGCTGATTGAGGAATAAATGAGGAAAATACTTCATTCGCATTATTGATACTGAAAAAAATATTTTATTTCATTAACTTTTGCTTCCGTTTCATCAACCAGGTCTACCCTCTCCATCCCTTGCCTCTGAGTGCTTACAAAGGCAGTCACAGCGCCAGAGCCTTTGGAATCTCGAGTATTTGGCTTGCTGACAGAAGAGACCGTGGGCTTAGACTCACCGCTGCATCCGTTTTCTCCCTCTCTCTCTTTTTTCCCCCTCTTCTCTTTCTGATTCAGACAAGAGAGCGAATTCCAGCCCAGCACATTTAGAACGCCTCCCGTTTTCCCTAAACAGGAATCGACACAGACTGTCCATTTCCTCTTGCAGATGCCTCAATCTCTGTTTACGCGTCTTGTGGATGCAGGGCCCCTGTGGACCGTGTGGTTTGAGATGATATACAGCCCGTAAAACAAATACAGCAATGTTTACAGCTGCAGATTGGGGGGGAAAAACCTAGTCCATCTTTTTTCATTGGAAATGATAGACAGGGCACAGCGACTTGCTATAAAATTCTGTACTCAGTAGACCTGCTGCAACAGCCAAGAGAACATGCTTCAAACATCCAAAACAGAAAACCTAACAAGCCACGCTATTTGGGTATTGCAGCATACTTCACAGACCAAACAGTCTGAAGAGACACACTTTGAAGTCATCCACTTGGGTGCTAGATAATGAAGTTGATGTACTTTGCGCTGGTTGGATAATGATGTTTTGAGGCATATTATGTCTGTGTTTAGGCGTATTATGTCTGTTTTTTAAGCACTGCATGGGTCTAAAATGTATATTCCATACCTTGTTTGGTGTGATACACTTGTATTCATGAAAAACAAGATCAAGCTAAAAAAAAATGAAAACTGACCAATCAGAAAAAAAAAAAAAATCTGTCTGTCCAGAGGTACTAATATATAACCCTTGACTTGAAAACTGGAACTGCTTTTCCACAATTACAGGTAACTATATGAACAATTTGGGGTTCAATGAACAATTGACTCAGTCTTATGTTAACAAATCTGACATCTAAGCAAAAGTGGAGTGGAAAACCAGCAGTACCCAGTCTGGTGTAGTGAATCCCTATGCCATATTGTATGTTCTAGCATGCTGGGATAAATTACCCATCTTTCTTTATGGGAAATGTCAAGAGGAGGGATCAGATAAATGGTGAGAATGTGGAGTTAGCAGTTAAATGCAGTCAGATTATCTTTGGTGTTTTCATGCCGTCAGATCATCTGTGTCCATTTATGAAGTAGACCGTGCTGCTCCTTTGCCTCAGACCTACTGCTCAGAAAAGAGCCTGGCTCCTTCCTCTTCCCCCCCCCACAGCTAAACGTAGAAGATACGTTGAAGCATTTAACAGCAAAACCAAAACCATGAATCCCTGCACTACAACATACATTCCAGCATGCTAGGACAAGTTATCAGTGCTTCTTTATGGGAAATCCCTAGTGGAGATTTTGGTGATAAGTGGTGAGTATGTGGTGCAGTGAGTATGTGCAGTCAGATAATCTACGGTGTTTAAGTACACTCAGATAACCTATGGTGTACTAGTTCAGTCAACTCATCTTTGGTGTTTTAGTCCAGTCAAATCATCTGTGGTGATTTAAGTCTAGTCAAATCATCTGTGGTGTTTTAGTCCAGTCAAATCATCTGTGGTGTTTCAGTCCAGTCAGAACATCTATGGTGTTTTAGTCCAGTCAGATCATCTGTGGTGATTTAAGTCTAGTCAAATCATCTGTGGTGATTTACGTCCAGTCAAATCATCTGTGGTGTTTTAGTCCAGTCAGAACATCTATGGTGTTTTAGTCCAGTCAAATCATCTGTGGTGATTTACGTCCAGTCAAATCATCTGTGGTGATTTACGTCCAGTCAAATCATCTGTGGAGATTTACGTCCAGCCAGATCATCTGTGACATTTTAGTACAGTCAAATCATACACAGTGTTTATCTATGGTGTTTTACTATAAATCGATCGTTTATGGTGTTTTATTGCACTGAGATTCTTAGACATTGATGGTACTTTAGTACAGTTGGATCATCTGTGATGTTGTAATACAGTCAGATGATTGATGGTGTTATAGTGCAGCCAGAGCATCTATGGTGCTTTTGGCGCTGTCCACTTATGAAGTTGGATGAGATGTTAGTGTCTCAGCACTCTCCACTTGTGAAGCTAAATGATGGATGAGAGAAAGACGCCAGCCTCTCTTCACCGGCACCCTTCTCTCATCCATCATCCAACTTCATATGATAAATGGTGATACAGTTAGGAAAGGGAAAATAGTTTGGATGAGATCTCATGCATCTCCACTTCTAAACGTAGAAGAAGAAAAAAAGTTTTCCACACAAACACTGCCTCAGTCCAAAGTGCCAGACCTGTTGAACACATCCTAGTGAATGGCAAAAGCTGTAAAGAGTAATACTCTCTTATCCACCACACAACACTAATGACCCCCTCACGTGACCGGGCTCAGCCATGGCTGGGTATGTATGATAAACTTTAGCAGCATAGGGAGGGAAAGGATGGGGGGAAGGCAACACCCTTGCAGATTATACACAGGAAACTACTAATCTCCCTGCATGCTGTCCACTTTTGGACATATATGTTTTGTCTATTCTGAATATGCAAATTTGCTATTCACCACCTGACGCAGATTATCCACTGTCTGCAAACAGCAACTTAAAGGGCCCATATCATGGAAAACCATAGTCCATATAGGGAAACTAAGCTGTAAAAACAGCTCATTTTGAATCTACTGCTCATGTGACGTCACAAAATCCAATTAATTTACATATATCTGTCTATTCAGCCTACAGCTGTTTAGGCCTGCACATTCATGCTGAAGTTATAAGAGGTGTTTCAGCCTGGTCTGCACAATACAGAGCAGCCAGTCAGAACCAAGCTTGTTTGCATATTTCAGCTTTAAAGGCACAGTAACAAAAAAAGCCTGGATGAAGGATGAAGAAAGGTTGGGAAATGGGCATGTAGAAACACTGGTTTTGGTACATAAACCAAAACAGACGTGGACCTTAGGGAAACAAATACAATTAAAAGAAGGATATGGACACTTTAACAAGCCAATGAGTTTAAAAAAAAGGAAAGAAACAAATAATAATGAATAAACAAAATGTATTTTGGACTGAATGACAAAGAAAAACTTTAAATGTTAATAAACGTTTAAAAGAAGACAACTTAATATTTTTAGGCCACAATTTGAAAAGGACTGGAAAGACTGGACTGGACTGTAAACATGAAACAGTTTTCTCTGAGCTGAAAAATGAATGGCAGACGTTGGCACTGCCTCTGAGTCTGAGAACCCAACTCCTCTGCTCCAAATGACTAAGCAGAGTTTTCCATGTGAACCACATTTCTACTCATAACGCTCCCTTGATTCATTCACGAAGTCCTTCGTGCTCAGAAGGCAACTACAGTTAAAGCTTTTGGTGTGGTCAAGACTTTCAGCAAGACAAACACCCACAAGTGCATTAACCTCTTCTGCAGCCTCAGCTACACTTCACTCAACGAGGCTGAAGTTTCGAATTTACCGTTCCACCTTAATTGGTGCAGCAGTTACATTCAGGCGCTGCACCATTTAAGGTGGAACGGAAAATTCGAAACGAGAAGCTGGCGGATCAGACGCCAACTTCAGCCTCGTCTTTATTATTAACGTGTGGTCAAAACAGAAACAGAGACCCCACTCAGCAATATCCTGTCCCCCGGCTCCCCAGAGAACATGAGATCAAACTGATAAGGACGAGGCTGCTGTGTTCAGATGGGCTGCTTACAACGAAAGGCGCCACTGGCTACTGAGATAAAATGTCCTGAGGAGGGAAAAGGCTTTCAAACGTGTAAGGTCACGGCATTTGTGGCTGTGAGGGATACTGGAGGCCAGTGGCGAGCTAAGCTATGCGGCGCTCCACTCCACAGTATGGACGCATGTAACACATAACACACAACATGAGGCTCCACTGTAGAAGAACCACAACACACTTATTCTACTGAAAAGGCGAGGAAAACTACATCTGACATCTGACCACTCAAATGAAATGGTAAAAAGAAAAAAAGAGGCAAAAAAGAAGATCCCTAACAACACTCCTGCAGGCGAATTCCAAGGAGGAAATACCTTCTCGTTGAGTCTCACGATCTGATCCATTTTTTCTTCATCCTGAAGAAGCTCCCGTAGTTCGCTGGTGTTGAGGACCCTGTACCCGTCTGGGCAAGAGTTCGCCGCCCGTTGTTGGGACATGGTAGTCCCCGTGGAAACGCTTCAAACAACTCCGTTTGCCGGCCAGCACAGTGCCATGTCGGTCGTCGTGCGAGGCACTGAATGTGAGCGAGCTGAAGAGGAGAGCCGGAGGAGCTGCAAGAGGAGGTCTCGCTGCTGTGGAGGCGCACCGCTGTTTGAGAGACAATGCGAGAACGCTAAGGCACGTTTGCAGCTGCGTGCAGTACCTACAGTGGCCGCAAGTGGGAGCTACAGTGCCGCTACAGACAACTTGTATCTTGGAGTACAGTAGTGTTGGAGCCATTCCCGCCATTTAGAGGGGAAAAAACGTTTTTTTTTACTCCTCTGTTTCAGCCCTGCTACGGAGCCCTACTGGTGACATCCTGTATAAATAAAAATAACGCGTGGCCACGACTTATTAAGGTGTGAGAATGAGATAATTAAGTAGCGGCTATGACTTAGTAAGGTATGGGAACGAGATCGTAATGTGTGGAAATGAGATAATTAAGCCTTGACCAAGGTATGATCTCGTTTCCACGGCTTACTAAGTCGTGGCCACAGGCTAGGATCTCATTCCCACGGCATGATCACGTGTTATTTTTGTTTATATGGGATGTCACCAGCATAGCTCTGTACCCTGCTGGTGAAATCTCATATAAATAACAATAATGCATGGCCACGTTATATTAACGTGTGGGAGCGAGATAATTAAATCATGACCATGACTTAGTAAGGCGTGAGAACGAGATCATGCCTTATTATGCTGTGGTCAAGGCTTAATTATCTCATTCCCACGCCTTACTAAGTCATGGCCACGACTGAATTATCTCACTCCCACACCTTACTAAGTTGTGGCCACGCATTAGTTTTATTTATACGGGATATCACCAGCAGGGCTCTGTAGTTTCTGGCAGCTGTCTGTCAAAATATTGACCTGGCATTTTGAAAAAGTGCCTTATTTTCTCGAAGCATACGTAATATCTTGGAATATTTTTAAGAAAATTGGCTACATTTCTCAAAATACTGACTTAGTATCTCCAAATAATGACTTATCCTCTCAAAATATTGGTTTACTATGTCAAAATAATGACTTAATTTTTCAAAAAGATTGACTTATCGAAATACCTTCTCAAAATATTTTTTTAATAGTCAATATTTTGATTTATTTTATAAAATATCGACTTAGTATCTCAAAATGACATATTTTCTCAAAGTATAATGACGTATTTCTAAAAAAATCACTTACCCTGTAGAACTAATAGCTTGATTTCTCAAAATATTGATTTTTTTTTTTCTCCTCCACTAAGCAGGAATGGGTTTAATTTTAAAATTAAAATCGCTTTGAAAAAATTATTGGTATCAGCCAGATGTTTATATTTGACCAATATTTTAAACCGATATTTAGTAAAACATTTATTGTACCCCAGACTGGAAGAGCAGAACATAAGGCACTGCTGGGCTAAAATGTCTGCATTTTATTAATTTTACTGCATTTGTAACCAAAAATCATTATTTATATTTAGTTATATTTCTCCGTAATGCTAATCAAGGTAAATATATTCTTAATTTCTAAATGTAATAAATATGTGTGTATTAGCATTTTCAGATGTATACATGAAAAAATATCAGTCATCGGCATTAGACTACAATTCCCATATCGGTGCACTTCTAGGCGATACCACTAGTTTTCTTCCAATACAAATTAATAGTAACTAGTTTCCTGATACTGATACTTTTAAAAGTCTTCTTCTGTAAACATGAAAAAGGGGAGGGGGGATTCTTTGTGATTTCTACAGTAAAAGCTGGTAATTGTGGTCTAAATTATATTTGAAAGCCTTTGCATTAGTGGGCCTATTGAATAAGCTGCCACATTAATCGTTTACTGAAGTAAAATAACTGTAAGTAGAGAGAATTTGCTGCTTTCTTGTGGTCTGCCTGAGTGTTTGTATGAGAGAGGAAGAAGAAAAAAGTAGTTTATATCCTACACGGTGTTTTCCCCTTTTCAGCATCAAAGACACATTCAGTTCCCTAAAAGATTCAGTTCACTGTTCAAAGAAAATGTTTAGCATTGGTAATTTTGTATGAAAATTGATTCTTAAAAACAGACATCAGGACTGAAAGCTCCAGTCCTATTTAAGATTAAGGGACCCTTATTAGTCCCACAATTGGGAGATTTCACCTCTACATTTAACCCATCTGTGCAGTGAAACACCACATACACACTAGTGAACACACACACTAGGGGGCAGTGAGCACACTTGCCCAGAGTGTTGGGCAGCCCCTCCGCAGTGCCCAGGGAGCAGGTTAGGTACCTTGCTCAAGGGTACTTCAGTCACAGACTGTCGGCTCAGGGGATCGAACCAGCAACCTTCCGGTCACAGGGCTGGTTCCCTAACCTCCAGCCCAGGACTGCTCCCAATTCAGTCATTGACGTAAGCAAAGTAACTCTGTGGTTCGTTGTGAAATGGTGCACTTTCAAGAAACCTGGAACCAGTTGCAATGTATACAATGCAAATATAGCCATTCATTCATGATCCAAAACCACCAGTGAACGTGTATGTGTCTCCTGAGTTTTATATGTAATGTTGATGATGGAAAAATAAAGGGGAAAAATCAACATTTTCTTTGAGGACTACTTTGCCTTATAACATCCTGCATGTATCCCTCCGCCATGACTGTTTTTTATGTCTTTTAAGCCCAAACCTTATCATAGATTCTCATAAAGAAACTTCTCAGGTGTCAGGCAGTGTATCCATAACCATTTCCTGTAATAACAGTCTGTGAGGGAGCTTTTAGAGACATTAAACTCTTCAGACGTTTGTTTCCTTTCATCACTACCTGGAGCATTTCGCATTTCACATTCCACATTCCACTCCGAATTACTGTTTACATCTTATGCAAAAATGTTGAAACATTTTTAAAAAATTGTGTAATTCCCCTTTGCGAGGGGTAACAATGTCGCAGTGGTAGTTCAATAAATGAACATTTTAACAAAGCATAATCTGATTTAGCGCAGTGGATAAATAGAGTAAACAGAGCATCACAAGTCGTTTTGAGCGATAGTACGTCTCCGCAAATAATAACAAAAAACTACAATTCCCATGATCCTGCAGTGTTGGCGCGAAACCGTCAAGCACCTCGCTAATTGGTGGAATTTCCCGGAGTCATCGCCAAGCGACCGCCACTGACGAAAAACATGGCGTCGCTGTCGGGCGAGCGTTGGAGAGAAGAGCTACCCGGCCATGAAATTATTAAAAAACTACAAGATAGGCTTCATTTAGAGCCTCAGGGCACCAGCAGAAGAATAGCGAAGAACCTTACCTTCTGCGTGAATGGGGACTTTTTCATATGGGACAATGTAGAGAGCGTGTTTCATACAACAAACCTCCGGCAGCTGAACTCGGAGGAGGCTCTGGACAACAAATATCAGGTCAGAAACACCGCCTGAGTTTGTTCTGGGGAGACCTAAGGATGATGAATCTGAAGTTAGACTCTTATTCACTATCTTCTTCTGTTTTTCCGTTCTACCCCTAAACAATGTAGTAGTTACAGAAAGTAACTGCTACCACATTTAAGGTGGAACGGAAAGTGGATGAAAATGTCGCTCGGGGTTTAAAATGTAAGAATAGATTCTTCAGTACATATAGGTTAGGTTAGTCAGTTATATTGTTGAGTTTGTCTTTTTGTCTTAAAATTGAGTAGTAGCAAGTCGATGAGCAAGTGTATTTGAGTATGTAAGTAAAAATAATGTTTTTTTTTATATATATGTCTCTGTATAATATCTCTATAGATACCACACAGAAATCAATGCAGAAAGCACAGTTCTATAAGATATTGTCCTTAAAAAAAATTATATAAAACTGGCTTGTTTTTTTTTTCATTTATAACACCTGTCTGCATGTTGTGTAAAACATGCCCCTATCTTACATTTTGTTTCTTGTTTCTGTGTCCACTGCGCTGCATGTAGCTTTTTTTATGCAAACACTGTTTGTAGCCTCAGTTTACACACACATATATATATATATATATATATATATATATATATATATATATATAAGATAGATACTCTTATTTTGTGACTTCATGGATGCCAAATACATTTAAAACAGGCTGATTTGCTTCTATATATGTTGTGAATTGGGGAGTGAATGCTAAGTTCTGATGAATTAACGAAGTTTTACATCTAACATCAAGAATCAAGAAAGAACAGTTTATTACCTAGTATTTTAGCATGTAAGCTAGATGCACTAAATGTATTGTAACTCTGTTATAATATGCTTTGCCTTAAATATTTTCACTGTCTTTTTTGTCCTCTTCACAGACTTTGCTGTGTATCAACCCACCCCTGTTTGAAGTGTGTCAGGTTCTGCTCAGCCCCACTCAGTATCATGTGGCTCTCATTGGTCAGCGCGGGGCCACAGTGCTCGAGTTGCCACAGCGCTGGGGCAAGAAGTCAGAGTTTGAAGGTGGACGCCTTGAGATAAACTGCAAGTGAGTTGTGTTGAACAGTCAAACCATTTGACCATTTGAGTGGCTAGATCATAAGGAGCTCTGGAGCATTGAGGTTTTAGGCTAAACTCTAGAGGTTTTAGGGTAAACTCTAGCTTTAAGTAGTTTGGTTTTGTTGACCTTGGAGCCATACTCCTAATTCTTATGCATATTTTTCTTCTTCTCAGGACTATTCCTGTGGCTGAGCGCTTCTTCACCAGCTCGACTTCTATAACCCTGCGGCAGGCTGCTTGGTACCCCAGCGAGACAGAGGATCCCCACCTGGTGCTTCTGACCTCAGACAACACCATCAGGTAGCCAGAGGAGCTGTCCAAATGTGTTAACATGAAATGAAAGTAATTTCTGACATTGATTTCTTTTAAAAGAGTCATATATGCCAACTGAGTAGCATATATAAAGCAACAGAAGAAGTGTTAATAATGTTGTTTGGTGGTTTGAAACCATGGAGTGACTAATGAGGTGCTGATGTTTTTGTTTATAGATTCTACAATCTCAAAGAACCTCAGACCCCTGCCAGAGTGCTTCCTGTGTCTCAGTCAGAGGAAGAGACCAGCGTCCACACAAGAGGGTAAGAATGCTGGCTGTTACTCTAATCTGCTTTGCTGCTTTAGCTGTATAGTAGGTGCCGCCCATTGAAAAAAATAAAGCAGTACTGTGACTTAGTCTTTTTATTTTTGTGCTAATTTCTGACCTCATTGTGATTTGGTTTGATTAAGATTCTTCAGAAAACAATTCAGTGCATCATGAAATGTCAGATTTCATCACAAGCCAGTGCAGTTATTTTGGTGCATTTCATAATTAGTATGACTTGAGAAAATAGTACCACAGTGGTGGAAAATCGACTGTAAGAACAACCAAGCTGAGCTCCCAAGTGGCACTGCTGTCTGAGTATTCCTTATGAGCCGTATTTTCAGGAGATCTCAAGTTCGAACCCCAGCGATCCTCAGCATAATTGTCCTCACTTTCTCTGAGTGGGTAGGATGACTTTCCCTTTCCTCCATCACTCAGCGCAATTTTTTTTTTTTTAACAGATCAACAAAATGATTTTTTAAATGGGTCAAAATACACTTTGGCAGATGTCCATAAGCCTATAACTTATGTGTGGCAAACACTGATGGCAGTAAGTGTGTTTGCCAGTCAAGTACCATCTATCTTCAGAAAGTTAAATACAGTAAAAGCTCTCTTTTCCTACTTTTTATTAGTCAGGAGACATATAAAGTTTAATCTGGATGGTCTTCTCTTCTAGACGCTCCTACGCAGCCTCTCTGGGTGAGATCGCCGTGGCATTTGACTTTGGCCCACTGGTGGACGCCCCCCGCCAGCTAACCAGCCAGCGGCTTAAGGAAGACCTGCTGGTGTTCCCCTTATACATCCTCTACGAGAACGGAGAGACCTTTCTGAGCTACACATCTCTCACTCACACGTAATGCCACCCTTCTGCAGTAGTGCACACACACACTGCCTGTCTTCTTTTGATATTTGATTTTTTTTTTTTCAGTTAAGTGAGAAAACGTAACTGCAAACATACTGGTTTAGTTTAAATAAAACAGCTAATGACTAGTTTTACTAGCAACTAGTTATATTTTACTGTACCAGATATCTGTACTGGGCTGATATCAGCAGAAAATGCTGGATAAAATGTTAGAGGGAAGAACATGACTCTGGTCAAATCCTGTAAGAAGTCTAGCCTGAAATAGCACTTACTCACACTGCGTGATGTGATCTTGTTAGCTATGTATTTCTTCCTGTGGGGTATTTTGAATGTAAAGGTCCAATTTTAGTTAATCTTAAGTGAAGTGAAAAAAAACAGCGTATTTTACAGCTTAGTAGTTTTTAAAGAAAATTGTCCAATTGGCATCTCTTTCAGGCAGTGTTCAAGGTTTCAATATCAGTATCAAAAAGGAGAATTGCGACATCTATAGTTTAGTGTTTTTTTCTTTTTTTTTTCTTTTTTTTCTAAATAATGGTTTGTTTTCTTTTCCAAACTGTTGTTAAAGGCACACATTGAAACATTTTGCAATGGTGGTTTAAACATAAAATGCATGGCCTTTCAAAGTTAGCACTGACCCTAATATGGTCACAGTGCTTGCATGTCTGTCTGCCAGTAAACTAACAAAGAAAATGTGCTCGTTTATATTCAAAACATTTGTGTCCTCAAATGTTTGACAGGCAGTTTAGTACTGTTTGTCTTATGCCCTCGTATTGCTTTAATAAAACTGTATTTCCTATGAAGTCTTTCACATGTGCAGGGTTTTCATTGGTTTCTTTTTGTTGTCCGGTCTGTGTTAGTAATCTGGGGAAGCTGCTGGGTCCTCTGCCAATGTACCCTGCTGCTGAGGATAACTACGGCTACGACGCATGCGCTGTGCTCTGTCTGCCCTGTGTACCCAATATCCTTGTGATTGCCACGGAAACTGGCATGTTGTATCATTGTGTGGTGCTGGAGGCTGAGGAGGAGGATGATGGTGGAGTAAGTAACCACCTGCTCGCAATATCCTGCAATACTGATATAATATTGTTCAGTCATGTAATACTGTATTTATCTTACGGTTAGTGTGTCCATAATCTGTGCTGTAATAGTACGCTGTAGTGAAATGTTAAGTTATTGCTGTCAATAACAAAAGCACAGTGTGATTTTTGTATTCATTATTTCTCACTTATAGCTCAAAGTGCTGATTCTAATCTTTCCATCAATGCCGCATCTGTAGAAGAGATCATTATTTTTTGATAGTCTTGTTTTTGTAGAAAGAAGAAATATGTACGCAAATTGAATGTAAATGTAGGTCATGTAATTGGCTATGTATTATTAATGTGTATTTCAGAAATGTAAGCAAAATATCAGTAATAACTCATGTATAATACCTCATAATAATAATAATTGAATAGTTTCATGCAGTGTTGTAATTAGATTGTTGGTAATTTGTATGGTATTTCATTGATATTTTAATTATTTTCAGAGAGATTAGTGTCTGTGTTATGATGCTGTGTTTGTTTGTGTGTAGGCAGTAGAGAGGTGGTCTCGGGGCTCTGAGACCGTACCTTCACTCTACGTGTTTGAGTGTGTAGAACTGGAGCTCACTCTAAAGCTGCCTGCCGGAGAGGAGGAGGAGCTAGCAGAGTCGGATTTCACCTGCCCAATCAGATTACACAGAGGTCAGACGACCACATTAGAAAGTTCACATCCAATTTGTGGCTTTTCACTTAGCAGCATAAATCGCTGCTTGCATACAGTGTTATTGAATCTTATTGCTGATGAACCTATATTTAGTGATTTGCCATGAACCAGTGGCTCTTAACTCGCCCAAAGGCAATTACTTCAGAATTCCAAACAAGTTTATGAATAGCTAAATACTAAAAGACATACCTAAATACTAAAAGACATTAGGGTTTCTGGCCCACCTTTCTGCCTTCAGTTTAAGACAAAAACATATTTCTTATCGTTAGTGTTATGCAATCAATACTGGCAAAAGATTAAAAAAATGTACTTGGTTTTTGTTTCTTCAATTTAGTCATGGCTAGATAAGTCTCCTACATCAGCTGATAGATGTCTGTATAGGTTGATGGTGGGAGTTGCATGACCATCCTACCGACCCAGAGAGTTTGAGGCCCATTTTTATATATATGGGCCTGTAGCCTGCTCACTTAGTTAACCTTAGGATGGCTGATTAAGCTACAGATCCAAACACCACAGAATAGGTTTATTTTTTTATTGCTTGACTTCACTCCCTCAGATTTGAATCTTTATTATATAAACTTGTGTCTATGCTTTAGTGACCTAGAATCAAGCATGTTCTGTGGTTATCATGTCATAACAACACTATGCAAGTGCTATGCTGGAATAATTTTTTTTTTTTTTAATAATTTTGACTGGGTCTCAGATGCAGTACTTGTAAGCCTGAAACAACAGATGACTTGGAAAATAAAAGCACACTGCTGAAAGTTCAACTGTAGTACACACTCCTGACCGTTGAGAACCACTGCCCAAACCTCTGATATGAATGATTCCACATTGTCTGCTTGTTTCTTCTCATTATTGATCATTTCTGTGTTTCAGATCCTCTGTGTCAGCATAGATATCACTGCACTCATGAGGCAGGCGTTCACAGCGTGGGGCTCACATGGTTTAACAAACTCCACAAATTCCTGCAGTCAGGTCAGTGCTGCCTTTCCATCCAGTATTCTGGTAGACATTTAGGTGCTCTTAGAAAGCTTATTCCTGAATAGGTCTTCTTTTGAGATGCTTGAGACAAGAACGTTCAGCTCTAGTCCTGGAGCACCTCAGTTCAACATAGTTTGGTGGTTGACCTGCTTATATACACCTACTAAGCCTAATAATTAGCTGCTGAATTCAATTGGGTGTATCTGAGCAGGGGAAACAGCAAACTGTGCTGCATTAAGGCCCTCCAGGGGTCACTCTTGGCTCAAGGCTAAGACTTTGGCACTAATCCTAAGTAAGTGTAGAGAGGAATGTGCAGGATATTAAGTGGTGTGTATGTGTACATGTGTGTGTAGATGAGGAGGATAAGGACAGCCTGCAGGAGCTGGCAGCTGAGCAGCGCTGCATAGTAGAACACATCCTCTGCACCAGACCCCTATCCAGCAGGTAAATATGAAAAACAAAATTATAATGGCGTAATATCTCATAATGTAACATGATCGTGTAATGCCTCTTTCATAAAGTTATTACTACTGTATAAAGACTATAGGTTGCATCTCCAAACCCTGCGCTCCATATTTATTTTCTCTGCTCTAACAAATAGGGCTGGTGGCTTTGCTCAGAAATGTGAGAAAAATTTCCAGTAATTTTTTTTTCTTCAGATATTCATATTTTAAGTGCATTACTTTTCAAGATGCAGAGAAAACCCACATTTCAGACTCTATCCAGGCCACAGTACTGCAGTTTTAAGGCCTTTACAGGTGACATGAACTCACTGACCAATCTCTGTCATTGGCATGGCAGCAATCAAGATGACAGATCAGTTATATTCTAGCAGCTAGAACTTTTTCACAAATGTCAAACGGAGTAGTTTGTCCTCTGCTTCGTCACAAGTGGAGCTAAAACTCCAGAAGCAGCTCAGACTGATTTACATACATCTGAGCCATGTAGGAAAGCTTTCATAAAGTTTCAGCTCTTTATCATGGCGTTGAAACTCTCTGTCCTTCTTTTGTTTATCGCAAATCAAGAGTAGCTTGCCCATGGACACAATTTGCCCATTTTGTGAGGAGCTAAGGGTATATTTTTGCACTTCAAAGCATTCAGCCCATTTGTTGCCTATGCAGTGGCACAAACAGAACTGCAAAATGCTCTCAAAAAATTGCATTGCATCGGGTTTAGTGTGTAGTGGCCTTTAAGTGCTCTCATTAAACACCTTATTCAGCTCATCAGCTAATTAATGAGGTCTTCAAGAATTTAATTCAGGGTGTCAGGGAAGGGAAAACGTTAATCTCTGAATTGTGACCCGGAAAGAAAAACAATTTGGACATGCCTGGCCTAACAAGTATATAAATAAAAATTGACGAAATGGTAAGATGTGACTACACCACTGAATTCATTGCTATAGCCATGGACATTTTATACTGCTTCAGCTGCTGCAAGATCCAATTAGTCAGATAATTAATAAACTCTTCCTGAGTTGAATCAGATGCATTAGAGCAACACTTAAATATCGTCGCTGTCCAATGAAAAACATGTATCTCTATTTTTTGTGATTTTTACTTTTCTGCATCATTTGAGCTCAGCAGCTGTCCTTTATATTGTGTGAAAATTTAATGATGATTAGACCAATAGAAATGGTCCAAAATTGCTTAGAATAAAAACTTTTTCCATGAACTTACATTGAAAGTAAAGAATGTTTTTGCCCTCTCCTGTAAAGTTACCATTTTGGAGATACTTGTTTTTCATTGGACAGCGATGATATGCAGGACAGGTATACTCCAGGACCAGGTTTGGAAACCACTGGCCATCTGAACCTTTCGATTTTTCACTAAAATGTGCATTCCATGACTCAGAATGGTTATCATTTGTCGACATAGTATCTGTAAACAGTTGACTGTTACGTCTGCCTGTAGTTGACCATCTTTTTGTTTTAGTTTGCCAGCTCCAGTGCGAGGTTTCTGGATTGTGTCTGATCTTTCATTGGGTGCCACCATGATCTGCATCACCAGCAACTACGAGTGTCTGCTGCTCCCTCTGCTGTATGTGACCCCTTGCTACATGCTATCCAAGCATCTTTAGTTATTACGTCTGAGAAATATGAATGTCTGACTGTGTTACTACATGAGTAAAGAACTACATATACATACACACTTTTATTAACAGTGATTTGAGAGCAACTGGATACTAGTGGATTTAGTATAAAAACAAAATTTTTCATTGATGTGTTAAAATCCTCTTTCACCTTGTAGAAGTTCTATTCGTCCTCCATCTCCTCCTCTGTTGTGCTCCCGTGTGGGGCTGGGCGAGGGGTCTGGGAGCTCCCCCCTGCGTGGACTGGCCGATGACTCGTTCGAGCAGCACATCAGGAACATATTGGCACGCAGCTCCACCAACCCACTGATGCTGAGGTAAGACGACAGCAACAGTTTCCTGAAACTACATACAAAAAACTGTCTACTACATGCAGCCTCCTCACTTCAAAAAAGCCTCAAATCATATTTTTGTATTTGTCTCAGTTCTGCAACTTTTTAAAATTGCTCTATACTGTGGAAGAACAATATTCAATTTGTTTATTACCGCAGTACTAGCTTTAACAAATATATCTAACAAAGATATCGCAGAGGGCTACAATATGCAAATGAGCTTCTAAACAATTACTTTTTTTTTTTAGTTAGTGTTTATACTGTGTGCTACAAGCAACGTGCCAAATTACAGTACTAGATGAGTGTTTCTGTTGCTGTTTTAATAAATCAAGGATTCATGTTCTCCAGCAAACATGGGTTGATCCCCAGCAATGATTCAGCCATCCATATTTTCGGAGTCCAAGAGAGCATTACTGACCTCACACTCTCTGGAGGAGGATGGCCCTCCCCCTCCCCCATCACTCAGTGTGATGCTAGCCAATGAAGACTTCTGTTAGCTGACATAACAAAATTAGCAGTTAGTGTTTTCCGCCAAGCGTGTTAAGCTGTCCAATGACATTGCATTAGCTGTAGTTTGTAAAGATGCAATGATGCTGACACGTTTTATGGAGGGAGCATGTGCTAGCCTTCACCCTCCCAACTTGGTAGCATCATGTGATAGGGAAAGACCTAGCTAGAGGGTGGAATTGGTAATAACTAAACTGGGGGGGGAAACTAGACCAAAAAAAATAAATAATAAAAAACAAGAAAATATTTCAGTCAAAAAAGTGCATTTTGATTTATAATATTCAGGTAAGCTAAGCTATAGTTGAGGTGCATTGTGTAGTTTCAGTGTTTCATTATTGTGTGTTTCTTTCAGGTCGGGGGATAAGGACTCGTCCTCTCCCACTCCAGAGTGTTTGCAGCTGCTGAGCAGAGCCACACAGGTCTTCCGTGAGGAATACATACTCAAGTTGGACCTTGCCCGCGAGGAAATGCAGAGACGGTAAGGTGTTACATTTGCAAACACACAGTGCAACCAATGAATGAAAACTAAGGTTGTCACGTTATCATGGCAGCGTGCCACCCAGCAGCTTTGACTGTCATTCAGTATCGGCTTTTATTCAGTATTAAACATGTTTTCATGTTAGTTTTATGTAAAATTATAAGAAATTTTATGTAGTATATCTTTTAGGAACTTTAAGGGGGAATTACACCAGTGTCATTGTAGAACCCAGTGTCATGTTTTGATGTGAAGTTGTTTATTGTAGAGAAACTTACAGATACTGATTTCTTTACAGTTGTGGTGATGGGAACCAGGGGTCTTGATGTCTACAACACAAATACAGCCAGTTCATTTACTGTCCAGAATGACCAACCTTCTTTTTTATAGGCAGTGTTAATAAGGGTAAATTAGTGGTAAATCTGAAAAGTTTTATTTGCCTCACAACACCGTGTATGTAGCTCTCTTTTTTATATATAAATAAGTAAATAAATAAAAATACTTTTTAGGTCAAAATATTATGTCAGACTATCTTAAAACAGTGTACCTGAAATCAGACAGCATGTTTATAGCAAGAGCTGGGTAATATGGTAAAATATGAAGTTTTTGCAATACATAATATGTCAAATATTTTATCTGCGATCTGTTAAGTTGGAAATGACAAAATAGTGCCACATAAAAAAAAAAAATCTATATAACTATAAATTCAGTGATTTAGTATTCCCTATTTGACATACTACGCTGCACTAAACACACATGAACAGGACTAATTATGCTCTTTTTTTTAATCAAACGTGCAGTTGGGAGGTTTTAAGTACATTCATAACCATTTCATGTAATAATTTTCTGTAGCTTTAGACATTTAACACTTCAGACATCTGGTTCCTGTCACCACCACTGTGACAATTCTGAGTCTCTCTAGAGTGGAGCATTTCAGATCAAACCACTCTGAATGACTTTGTTCAAATTGTAACCAATTTAATTATGCAGAAATGTCAAAGAATAAATGGAGTTCACCTTTAAAACGGCACTAGAACTGTTGTTTTGCTAAATATGAAAGTTGCAGTACTGAGTCAGTAGGGATAAAACATGCTAAAAATGGTGCTTCAGCTGCTGCAAGTAATTCATTTAGAAGTCTTAAAACACTTGGGTTGGCTTGGAAGGGAGTTTTTCTGACTTTATGGGCCTTTATGAATTGATGCCACAATATTGGGCTCAGAAAGAGGGTCTGGCTGGATGCCCAGGTACTGAAGGCGTTATTCACAATGCTGTGAAAAATAACTGTGTAGTATTAGCATAATGGATAATACCATTCAACAACACACAGAAGATAAAAGACTTGATTCCCCTTCCAGGCAGCAGCCACACTGCTGTACCAATAAGAGTCATCAAGATAAACTCGTAACGCTTCATTAATCAAACTTAAGTAACGCTGCTTTACCGTTTCATTTCATTGAGGTCCTCTTTATGCAGAGGTTTTGCTTTTGCCTGCGGTTGCTGTGCTTCAGTACAGCAGGGTTTGTATTATAAGCCTCATTGCTTTAGTCTGGCTCTTTTGGCTGTGTTTTAATACTTGTCTGTTTGTGCCACAGAGTCAAACTGCTGACGGGTCAGAAGAACAAGCAGCTGGAGGACCTGGCACTGTGCAGGGAGGAGAGGTAGCCACCACACTGCCTGACTGAAACATCTAACGAAACAACTCAACATCAGCAATATAATATCCTCTCACTCTTCACCTCATAAGTTAGATCTCCTGCCTGCACAGCTGTGTTTTATTTTCATATCCTGTCTTCATAACGCGAGCCATTATTATTCTGTTCACGTCTAATGCCCTAATTCAATTAAGCGAGAGAAATGTGACGATACTAAAAATAAGCTGATGTGCTGCAGGGCTCTTTTTAATAAGTGGGTCATTTACTGTGCAGTCAACAAATAAAATGCATGAATGCCCTTCGTTTACATGCAGGCATCAGCGTTGTTTCACATAGAGTGAGTTTCATGTTCCCAGCAGCAGTCACGCAGCAGTAAACATTGTGTGTTTTGCTCGTGTTGTTTGTTTTGAGCAGAAAGAGCCTGAGGGAGGCAGCAGAGCGTCTGGCTGACAAGTACGAAGATGCCAAATATCGGCAGGAGGCCATTATGAACAGGTTCCTTTGCTTTGCAGTGCACAAACTTTGTCTCTTAAAATGAAAGTGTCAACAGTGTTTTCTTTTTTTTCCTAGACTGCTTCTTTCCATGCTTTTTAGCTGGTTTGAATTTGATGGTAAACTAATTGCCCAGAGTTTTCCATGTGTTGAATATTGAATAAGCTCTGACTAATATGAATATTTAAAAAAAAACGTTATAAAGGTAGTGCAATCACACAATGCCAGCCTGGCTAACAGTATTAAAAGGCCCATGGCTCTTGATACTGTATTTCGCACCCATGGGCCAGTAGTTGCTGGCTTTTATAAAAGAATTGAAAGTTGTTTTGTTCTCCCATAGAAGCTATTCAGTTATCTATGTCATTTATCTAAGCATTATAATATACTATATTCTATATAATATATAATCTTGCACTGTTTATCTCTTCTGTAAAAATCTGTGTGTGTAGGATGAAGCAGGTTCTGGGCAGCCTGCGCAGTCAGCTTCCTGTGCTCTCTGACAGCGAGAAGGACATGAGGAAAGAGCTGCAGACCATCAATGACCAGCTCCGTCACCTAGACAACAGCATCACACAGGTCGGCTACCCTGGATGTAGAAAGGCCAACTTTCTATTTTGTGTTTCTGGCCTTTAATTGTGTGACAGTAGACTCAAATCTCACCAGCCCGTAAAGAAGAAGCAGCATCTTCTGTATGGAAATACTTTCAGCATGAATAGGCAGAAATGTCAGTGCATTGCTTTTCCAGACTTCACAAAAAATGAATTAAAAACGAGCTGGTTTTTACAGCTTAGTTTCCATATACGGACTGGAGAGTGAAATGTTAAGTGTTAAAATGCTGCTACATTCAGCTGTTTTTAGTAGAGGAGGGCAATATGGCAAAAATCTAATATTGCAATATTTTAGGAGATTTTGGTAATTTATTTTCAGTCATTTGATCAGTTGGAACTGAGAAAAAAAGAACCAGTGCTACATTATAGTGCTACATTAAAAAAAATACTATCAAAAACTGTGAACATTATTTTAAATTCAGTATTTGGCATACTGTGTTCTGCTAAATCCAGTGAGACTAATTTTGCTCTCCTTATAATGACACATGCAGTTGGTCAGTGTCTACAAGTGCTGACGAAATCCATATGTTCAGGAAGGTGTAATGTAATTGTGACAGTTTTATCACAATAACAACGTCAGATTGCCCTAGTTTTTATTAAATAAATTAACTAACTACAGTGTTTTTGTGATATGAGCCCTTTAATTAAACAGTGCAAATCAAACATAACTCTGAAATTTTGAAAAGAAGGCAAAATCTCCCAAAACGTTTGATGGACAGTGTTCGTTGGTCATCAGCTCACCTTAAGCGTGGTGAATTGTATTAACAGGTCAGCATGAAGAAGGAGTACCAGACGAAGCAGATGGTTAAAGGCTTGTCTCCAGCTCGACCCACCATCACGCTGAATGCCCACCAGAGGAAGTGTATTCAGGGTGTCTTGAAGGAGCAGTGAGTGCACAAATTAACATTCAAATGTCCCCGTTAACATGCCTCCATCAGCGTGTGTTCAGTTCATTTGAAGTGACTGATTACACTAATGGAAGTCTTACGTTGAATTTAGTTGATCCAGCAGTGAACATCATATCAATACAGAATATTACATCCAGATAGTTATTTCCAAAGTAATAAACTGAGCTGAAACATATTTTAATCATGCGATGTTCACATTGGAATTGAAGTCAGTTCAGTGCATCACTTTTCTGTGTGTGTCCTGCTGATGGGGATTGTGACGCTGTGGTTTTGGCTGTTATGTACAGTTCATTGTGGCTTTTTCTGTCTCTCTTCTCTATTAGGGGTGAGCACATCGCTGATATGATGAAACAAATCAAGGACATCAAGAACCATTTCAGTTTCTGAAAAGTGACCAGTGATCGCTGACCACATCCACACAAATCCACTTATGAACCCACGTTACAAAACCCACATAGGAATATGTTGCCAAATATATTCACAGTACAATGTATTTGGTCCACTGTGCTCAGATAACAGTACAGTCATTTCCTGTTAGGGACAGTGTCTTATCTTGAACTGTCGAGAGGGTATCCTGAGGCCATAAGACAAGCTGACACTTCCCCATACAAGCAGATTAAACAAGTTTTTATACGTTTTGTGCATCTCTTTGGAGAATAAAATGTTTTGTATATTTGAGGATGCTTTGTGGTCATTTCTGGACGACTGGTTCATCTATGAAAGAGAAATGGCACAATAGCGCCTTTTCTTTTAAAGTACAGGTACTGAAACCTGCTGATATTGATATCAAGAGTTTAAAATGTAAAATAAGGTAATTGGAGCACTTTCACTTAAAGAGGACTTCCACCAGTTTTTAAAATTTTGGCAGAATTAATGTCGGTAAGAGTGGTTTGATGTGAAATGCTTTGTTCTAGAGAAACTTTCTCTGTCATGATTGTTCACAGTGGTGGTGAAAAGAACCAGATATCTGAAGTTTCATCCCTCTAAAAGCTCCTTCTCCAACACACGATTACATGGAAAGGTCCTGAATATCTGGCGTGATGTCTGAAACACTGGTGTATGATAGTTTTAAAATAAGATTTTGGCCTAAAATATATATTTAGAAATACATTTATAGCAGAGAGCATTTATTTTACACTTATTTTTTTACTTTACATTTAATTTTTCTTTTTTTTTTACATTAAATTTACATTTATAGTCCTCAGTAAACTTTTTTCACTGTTTTACCAGCGTCCACATTACATATAAAAACTCTGGTTCGCTGGTCACATAGCCAATGAATATGCAGAACAATTCCCCTTTAATATGAACACCTGACTCCCATGTTCAAACTGCACAAACTCTAGATGACTTCACTATGACTCTTTTGGAAAATTACTTAATTTAAAAATAAAAAATATAAAAATAAATTCTAGTCTACTGCACTTTGCATTTTGTGGCACAGAATCTTTTTTCCTCCAGATCTTTCTGCTGGAAGTGGCCCAATACTGATACTTGGTTATCTGTTTATCTCTACCCATGATGAAATATTAGTTCAGGCAGTGTTCATGTCGTCACTTCCTAAACCTCAAAGGCTGAGTGCCATACATTGCAGGATATAGAGTATAAAAGCAACTGAAAATGACATCAGCTACTTATTCTTGTGTTCTAAGTGATGACTTCCCGTACTTCTTCCCCCGACCTTAAGGACTGTCATTGTGCATCAGAGTGGGGGGGCTCTTCAGGCAGGATGTGGTCAGATGTTGATGCTTTCTGGACACGTTTGACACCTCTCATGTAGGGCTATTATAGTCAATGTTCTTTAAATAAATTTCCAGCCTGCCTTCAGTTGTGGTTTCGACCTCTACAAACAGCACTTTTTTTTCTTTGTCCCTTCCGCTTGCCCAACTTCCAGTTGTCTATTGATCTGGCCCCAAACAAAGCCACAGTTAATTCTCCCTTTCAAATCACTCACCCATTTTACTTTAAGTACAATTCGGTTTATTAGATATATACAGAGATATGTACACAATACAGTATAGAAACTTCCAAGGGCTTCTGAATTTGCGACACAGCATGCGAACGGAATCAGAACTGTTAATGTCATCTTCGAACAAAGATTCTCCACGAGTAGATGGTAATGTAAATTATACTGGATGAGAGGGAAATGGTGTAGATCTCCACACCTTCTGATGTTATGTGGTTTAGAGTTCCATCAATATTTAGAGGTTTTGAAAACTGTAGTTAAAAACAATTCACTGTCTTGTGGTTTGATGTTCCTGCTTGCAAAAACTGAAACTACCAACAGAAGCAGCACCTCCAAAAATGTAACTTCTATGTAAATGAGTATAAACGGTGCTTTTTGAGTGTTACAAATGCCGAGAGAAGACCCTGCAGCCCACATGTAGAGGTCAAAATCAGAAAGTGAGAAAAATGGCACATGGCACTTATTCCTGCTACACAATGCTGCCCAAGTTTGCCATTTTCCAGCAGTAATTCATCGATAGCGGAGCAGCCGCTGCATAAACAAAGCACTGATGTTCTCAGGGTTGAAGTTCTCATCTACACATTCTCATTTTAACATTTCACATCTTCAGGGAGTGTTTCATCAGCAGCTTTGCTTACATAGTCTTGCGCAGAGTATGTCAGTTTAGATGCCACTGGGTTTCAGCTATCACAAACTGACTCATCCAAACTCTGCCCACAAAAATGTTCTTTCATATTTATAGTTGTGAGGTTGGACAAGCTTTACAAGTCTCACTGAACCTGAAGAGAAACTGTAGTGCACAAGTTTGGGTTTATCAAAATACTCAGGGTGTGTTATTCATTTTAAATGATTTTGAAATTATGCACTGAAAGATTAGTCTTAGTCTTTTTTTTTGGGTCATGAAATTATCATGTCAATTTCTATATCTTGCTTCTAACCTGCCTAGTTGTGATTAACAACACAGTCCAGCTTGACAGCAAAGCATTTTAAACCAAAAACTCAACCCTTTGTAGCAACTGTAAATACTGTAGCATTTCAGTGCGAATAATATAAGCAGTTTGAGGTGCAATAGAATTTATCATGAGGCTGAATGGGATTATTTTGCTACAAAAGAACACATTTGTGGACGAAGCCTGGAGAGGTCGATTCATATAAGACATGGCAAGGTTAACAGTGAAGATACTTCTACAAAATGTGGTTGGTTCCCAGTGTGGCTGCATAATCTTTTACCAAAACCACCAAGTTTTAAGTGGAATATCTAACTTTAAATGGTCGTCACATGCACTTCTGGGACATGTACAACTGTGTTTTTAAGCACAACTGCATTTCCAATAAACATCAGTAGCACGAGATTTATATATATATATAAAAAAAAAAAATATCTGACTTTCCAACAAACCTCTCCAGATTGGAAAAATTACGACCATGCAGTCCGGCCAAGATCAGCAGGGTAAGAAAAACAAGCCATGTGCCATTTCACCTAATGTGAACTGTGAGGGAAAAACAAAAAGTACACTTAATAATATCTAGTCTAAAAGCACTTCAGCTGTCAAAAATGCAGATGATCCAAAAACAAATGTCTCCTCATTTGTTAAGTGTTTTGAGAAGCAGCCAGATGACGCTCTGTGAGCACAAGCCACAAGACGAGATACATACACGCAGCCATTGTTCCTTTTAGTACACTTTTTTTTAAACTGCACTCTCCTCCCTTACTCCTTACTTTTTTTTGCTACTCAAATATGTTGCCCCAAATAGTCCAGGCGAACATATCACTTAACTTTGGTTCAGAAAGATTTCATATGCAGTTTTAATTCATCTTCCACTGCACATGAGACACATACACAAAGATTAACAATCTGTCACCATGGTGAACACACAGTATTCAACTTGATGAGCCTTACAGTTGCACTGGACGCTAAAGATGAAGATAGTAGCAGCTAGGCTAGACGCATAGTGTACTCTCATTGGACAGCAAGTGATGCAGATCAGTGGCATCAATGGGAGTCCACTGAAGCTTTTTGCATGAATCTTGGTTAGTTGTGCAGCAATGACAAATCAACCAAAGCATTTCCGGCTTCACAAACGGGGGGAAAAAAACAAGTATAGAAATATCATCGGACCACCAAGCACAAGCTGACAGGTAACGGAAAAAAGCCATGTTGCCAAAAACAGCACTTAATACCAGTAAAGAGAAGCCAGTCGGCTGAAATAACAGAAAAAAAAAATCACATATTTTTAGCGAGGTCTTGGAGGTCCTCAATTCGTCTGTGTGAAATCTGGCTAGGTAAAGAAATCAGAGCGGTTTAAAACTCTCTCCAATTTTGCTGAAGGTAGACAAATGCACCAGAGAGGGGGAAAAAAGAAATGGGGAAAAAAGTACTGACACCAAAACCGGCAAGAAAACTGACATTTCTATGAAATGAATCACGGACCGAGGCAAACACAGGGTCTGGAGGGGGGAAGGAGGGAGCACATATACTTAACGAATTAACTTAACTTGATGCAATATACATATATATTCTGTATACATGGTTATGTACAAATACTAGAAGTGGGTCTGTCTCCTTCATTAAGTCCCTGCCTTTAGGCTCAGCAGACGGGGTGGAAGTGAGGAAGTAGGCCAGGAACCAAGGGGGAAAGAGAGAGAAGCTTGATGGCATCACAGAACTTTTTTTTTGTTCTCAGTGGCCACATTATTAGATCTCCACGGAGCCCGTATCTCAAATGACCTGGGCCAGTTTCCCAAAAGCATCTTAAAGTTAAGATCATCCTAACTGGTAGAGAGAGAGTGTTCAGTATGATACTCTCTCTACCATTTAAGAATCATTTTTGTGCTAAGGTGCTTTTGGGAAATCCAGCGCTAATTAAGAAGTTGAACTGCGAAATAAAATGGGAGAATTTTAAAAGGCTACAAAAGCTCCATGTTAGATGTTTAGCTGCATCCCACATTTCTCCAATGGCATCAGTCCATTTCTCAGGTTGAACTTCTGATTACGTCCTCCAACAGCAGCAGCAGATAGTCGTAGTGTTTCTCCAGAACTTGCAGCCTCAGGTCTTTTCAGTGTATAGTTCGCATTCGTTCTCTGCTTGTTTTTTTAGGGACAAGAACGAGTGTTTAAAAAGCTCAGGCCACTTCCAGGGTCCCTGAGTCTGTCCAATAGGGATGGAGGAGACACTGATGCGTTGGGGCTGGAGAGGTGGGGAAAGGAGAGATGACCATATATGTGTTTATGCAACAGAGAGGAAGAGGAGGAGGAGGATGATGATAACGAATCATGGGTGGCAGTATCATGTCTCAGGGAGCTGGCTGATGTCTGTCAGGTTGGTGTCGTTTAGGATGGCGCGAATCCGTTCTAAAGAGTCCGCCTGCCGGATCCTCTCCAACTGGACCTGAGAGAAAACAAATGAAAATCACTTGAAGTTAGAGGAAGCAGTTATCGCCACTGATAACAAAAGTATGACATCATTTTACATCACAACTATTTCTCACTCGTAGCTCATTCAAACACGAAGGGAATAAAAACCAGAATGGGAAAGTACAAACTAAGTCAGCTTGACAAAGCCAGCTAATAACGCTTCAAAGGTTAAAGCAGTTTCAGAGCACTGTTTGTTTTTGACAACTTCATTGTGATTATATAGTAATTCAGGTAGGTGCTATGGTATTCCAGCTTGGTGTTATGTCGTTGCTTGGTGGTTGCTAAGGTGTTGCTATGTTATCCCAGGTGGTTGTAAAGGTGTTGTCAGGCTGCTCCTAATGTGCCATAGGTGGTTGCTAAGGTGTTACTATGAGATTGCTATAGCATTCCAGCTTGTTGGTAGATGGTTGCTAAGGTGTTGCTAGGCTGTTGCTACTGTACCCCAGGTGGATGTTGAGGTTTTGTTAGGCTGTTCCCAATGTATCATAGGTGGTTGCTAAGGTTTTGCTATGAGGTTGCTATGGTATTCCAGCTTGTTGTCAGGGCGTTGCTTGGGGGTTGTTAGATGGTTGCTAAGGTTTTGCTAGAATGTTGCTATGGTACCTCAGGTTGATGTTAAGGTTTTGTTAGGCTGTTCCTAAGGTGGTCGCTAAGGTGTTGCTAGGCCAATGAATTTGGCTGACTGTGGTTGAATAAGAGATGGAGGTATAAGCATTATGTGTTCCATATGTGGAATAACTCTGGATGTTTCAGGATGTTGAGCATTCCACCTTTCATTCCTATGGAAAAAATATGTTTGGACAAACGCTGTGCAAACACCATCAAATCAGTTGTAGAAAAAAAAAAAATAATAAAAATAAAAAATGATACAAACGAAAAAAAAGCAACCCATTTGTGTTTTATGGTTTTAGCTCAAAAGCTACAGGAGTAGCACTGGAGATTTTCGACTGTTAAATAATAATTTGAAGAAAATGGAAAACAGTAAATTGGCTTTTTCAAGCCAACTTAACTAAACTCCAGTGGCTGGTTTCCAAGACTCAAATTTAAGTTTAAGTCTAAAAAGAATTTCCAGTGATGATTCACCATTGGCAGTGTAATCTAGGCACTGTCTCACAAAGCTGGATTTCTTGCTTTGCCCGCTAAATTTATCCACGGATTTTCTGTCTCACTGTGATGGGTCACTTTTCACCAGGCTACATCACCATGGCAACTTGTGCTGCATGGCTAACCTAATTCGTGGTTTCAATTTGAAGTTTGTGATTTCCAATCATAAACCGCTCTTCAACCAGGGCCAAGCTTCTGACCCATCTGGGACAGCCTCTCTGTTTAAGTTGAAGGTACTTCATGACACTTGTCTCTGGTCCAAGACTAGGCTTAATCTATGCCAGAGAAACTAAAGAACTTCAGAGTTTCACACAGATGACCTCTTAAGTTCAGGTAAGTCTGTCCCCCTCCATGCTGTGCCACACATTCAGACCCTTAAACAATAAACAATTTGTTTTATTTGTTCTGTTTTTTTTTCTTTTTAAAGTGGAGCTCCAAAGTTTCCTTAGAAAGTATTTACCTGGAGAGTCTGAGACAGCTTGACAAAGTCTCTTTGGACCTGCTCGCTGACGTCCAGCTCCGTCTGCAACCGCTGTGCTTTATCTTTCTCATCGAACACCTGACTCTCCAAAGCGCTCTGTAACACCAATAACACAGCCAATTAACATCCATCTATCTTACAATCTGACAAAACTTAGTGACAGGTTTCAAAAAGTGAAAGTAACTTTAGTGTTACTCTTTACTCTACTTTAGTGTTTTAGTGACTCCACTATACCCATAATCATTAGCTACTCGGTTTAAAGGAACAGTTAGTTCAAAAAAACACTGTCAATATTAAACCAAATATAGAAGGGATCAGTTAGTAACATGCACATGACCTCATGCTAACTGGTTCATGTTCTTATATAATGTAAGGCAAATGTTTGGAGTCTTTCAAATGTTTATTTAGGAAAACAACAAAGCAGTCTACTTCAAAATACATTTTATGAGTAAATTCCTCAAATTACTGCTATGATTGATCTGTGGTCATATGATCATACTTTGCTGGAGAGTGCGTCTTTGAGCTGCTCCTCCAGGCTACTCTTCAGGCTCTGTAGACTCTCTAATGCCTGGCTTTTCTCAGCCAGACTGCTCTCCATCTGTTCAGAATGGACAGGAACAGACAAATTCAATCAGAAAAGGGGTACAATCCACCATCCCATTATTCAGATGATCTATCCATGCTCTCCCCATAAAAGCGTTCTTTTGCTGCAACTGCTGCTTGTAGGACTGGGAGCACTTACTGAATTATAAATAATTGATAACTGCCATAAAATCAATGAGTCATTTTTTTCTTTCCATTTTCTAAGTGCAAGGGATCTACACTCTGATCTGTGATCTGAAACTTCTGGTTTTCCTTAATTAAAGACAATGATAATGATGAGAAACGCTTGTTCATTTTTCCTTATTAATCTGTCTGTATAAGGAAATAACCATCAAATATGAAATGCCTTTTGTCTTCACCCGTGATGACACTTAGCAACTTGCTGACAGAGTGGCAGCACTCATGGCTGAGGAGAACAGGTTGTCTATAATAGAATTAATTTTAGTGACACGAAGCCCCTAAAATGAAATAGTGCACGTCTGAAACTTACGACGTATGTCCAAAATGTACACAGACAGTGGGGAAAGTCAGAGAGATAGAAAGAGAGTGAGTGCGAAGAGGTCAAAACAAGTTAGGATAGCTTATAAATGTCAGCGTGGCCCAGCGTTCAGCTCAAATACAGTGACCTGCCTGGCAATGACAGCAGTAACTACCACAGTATAAACAGAAAAATGAGTCCATTTCCCTTAAGTTCATTTTGGAGAATGGATATTCCATGCTGCAGTCTTTTCCCCAGCCATGATTGGCTCAAATCTTTCTCTCTTCGTTGTTTAACGCATGTTTTTTTCAGGCAAACATAACGCAGAGGCTTTTTTGTTGTGCGGCTTTACTTTTTGCCATAAAAAGATGGGCAAGCAGAATGTTGTAATTTTCTCGCACTGCAGATCTGCTGAACATCTTTATCGTATAATCTGACCTGAAGCATAACTGAATTCACAGTCAGCCATGGAATTTGGCCAAGATAGCATTTTGTGTGCAGTGTGACAAGCATTAAATGTTACTGCACAGTCTACAGTGGGCTTTACACATGCTGCAGTGATTAGTCTTCTGAGTGACCCAAACACGTTTCAAAGAGAAACGCCACCAGACACTGTATTTTTCCATTCTTAATGTTAATATAATGTTTAGTTCTCATTTTTTATAGACAAAAATGCGGATGTGATTTTTAATGCACTGAAGCTCTCAATGCTCTTTTATTAAGCACTCGTGTGAAGAAGATAAAGGAAAAAATATACATACACTGTAGTAACAGTCTTTTAGCCAGTGCGACTCAATGACACAGTCCATTCAACACCAACTCACAGCCAAAACTCAAAGCAGGCAATGTTTATCGATAATTTATCAATACTTATTCTTAATTTTGTCCCGATTTATTGATTTTTCAAAAATGCTTATTGTCTCAACCATAGTTGCTAGGTAGGACACGCTTTATGGAAAGTTGGCAAAAATTCTCATTCAAGATTGTTTCCAGTTTTAAAGTGCTGTGCTACTGAGCCGCGCTATAATGCTTTTCAAAACTAGGCATCAACAGCTGTCCCATCATGCTAATATTAGCTTGATATCTAACCCACCCTAACAGTGTGACCTTTCACACATATACAAAATGGAATTGAGTAAAGCTCGCCAACCTGTCCACAAAAGAATAGCTGGGAGGGCAGAGCATAGATAGGCCAACTGTTCATCTATTTAAGTGAGATGATTCTATACCTGCTCCTTTTCGCTCTTCACTCGTTCCAGCTCTGTCTTCAGGCTAGAAAATGATGCTGGAAAAGGAGACATCAGACATGAAACATAATCAGACAGCAGACAAAGTGTTCAGCATGTTGACATTGAACTGCCTTCAAGTGCCATTAGTACTGAAGACAGAGAAGGTCCAGCTCCTCTCTCTGGCTGTTAACACTAAATAATTCAGTTGCACATTTCACTGTTAGTGCTACCTAGTCTCACAACAAAAAAAATGCCTTCTTTAAATGGTGGCGTGTATGTTAACAGTGGAATTAAACAAGCTGTTCCATTCAATGACTTTACCAGTCCTGGATTTAAAGGAATATTTCAGCAAAAAAAAAAAAATCAAAATTTCCCTTTTCCACAATTGCAGTCAATTAAGCAAGCACAGACAAAAGTACAGACAAAACTCAGGCTTCGAGACGCCTGCTACTTCTGTTTTTAGCAACATTCATTTGTATTGATAACACATAAGCACCTCTATTTTAGATTTCTTAAAAGGGAATTGCTCCACTTCATAATAATTCCTTTATAATTCAATACTTAAGAAGTAAACAATCATTCAGAGTGGTCTGATATGATGTGCTCCATTCTAGAGAAACTTGCCAAGTCAGAACAATAATGGTGATGGGAACCAGATGTCTGAAGCATTTACAGCCTCTAAAAGCTACATCAACAAAATGTATGACCTGAAATGGTTATAAAAACTTTGCCTGATGCCCGAAACATTGTTTTATGACCTTTTTGAGATGAAAAAATATGTTTTAGGCCAAAAGCTTAAGTTCACTATATAAGGTTACAATAGCTGTGGATGGTAAATAAAATGGCTATATCTGTGCTGCAGACATCACCACTCCTGGCTATTTTTCACCACCACTGTAAAGAAATAAGAGCTGGTAAGTTTTTCTACAATGCAGTTTCATGACCTTATTTAGATCAACAACTGGAGCGTTTTTGAAAAACTGGTGGATTTTCTCTTTAACTACTCCAGTGTAAGTGTAAGGTTTAGGCATGCAGTCTGATGACTGATGGGATAGTGGCTTCCATTACTGGTCGAGCTTTAACACTAGCTCTGTATCTCAAACACAAAACTAAAGAAGCAAACTTCGGACCCCAGACATGTTTTGGCTGATCAGCAACATTTGGGCTAAGGGAAAATTAATTAGTTTTTTTTTGTCAAACTATTCCTCTTGTACAAGCACAGGAGATGTCATCAGGCCAGAATCATATCTACTCATCCTCATGAAACGTGAGTTAGATGTTTCCAGTGATGTTACACGATTCAGACAGACAGACAGACAGACTACCACAAAACACAGAACATGCTATGCAAGGTTCTATTAAAACATTAGGACATGGTCTATATACACAATCATACATCTACTACTACATATCTATACTGACAGAGCTGTGATAAAGTACAAGCAGTGCTGCTGCTACCAAATGCAGGGTGCTTACATGGCGTGAATGTTTTGTTACATTGTTTACAGTGAGTGTTAAAATGACATTAGTACTACCGGTGGAGACAGACAGCCTAGACACACATGGACTACAGTCAGCCAGTGAATCATACCTTCCAGGATGTCTGAACACAAGTCACCAATGCAGATAGAGGGAAAGGGGGGGGAAAAAAAAAGTTTTGAATCAGCAGACAAGAGGAAGTAAATCTGCCTTTGGAGTTTAACATCAAAACAAAAAACAAAACAGAACACATTGCTTTTCAAATAAGCCTGGCTTGACCGCAACCTCAATAAAAGACACTGGACTCCAGCTAAAACCAGAAGATTTTTCTCTTTAGGACTAAGGAATTCTCCGTCTCAGTGCCAATTCAAACAACGTCTCTTGGTCTGACTGCTGGCTGGATTCTGAAGCTCCTCTTCATTCCTCATTAGCTAGATAAGAACTTTTTGGTCACTATGTCTAGTCTTTCAACCAATTTCCTGACCCATAGCCAGCCCCAGCACAATGGCATCAGCTAACCTGATGGGTATTTCACAAAGATGTATTGGTCTATTAGCCAGAAAACTTAAAGGGCCCATAGCCTACATTTTCTGTATGTACTATGACAATTTTCCAGCCTCTCTTTATTCCTTAGAACTAAACAGGTTGTTTTTGTTATTCTGCCCTGAAGACCGATATATTTAAATCGTTCTGACTGTGGATGGGCAGGGCTAAACTGTTGTAGGCTGAATAGGTGAAAACAAATAAATACATTGGTTCTTGTAACCATTTCAAAAAGAGCTGTTTTGCAGCTTAGTTTACTCTAATTTAAAACATGAAAATTTAGTTTTCCATGATATGGGCCATTCAAGCTTCACTCTTTACTTAAACTACGCAGCTTTGCTAAGAAACGTTGCTCTGTGATACACTCTCCATGGCTACAGAGCCTTGACTACTTAGCTTTGGAGCATCAGAAGTTGTAACAGAACAAAAAGGTGGACTGGATAAATTCCTCTGGTCTAGTATGTTGAGGCAATGACAACTCACCTATTTCCTCTTTGCATCCCTCAATTTCCAGCTGTAGTGTGTCCTCCATGTTTTCTTTGAGACACTGCTCTGCCTGGATCTGCTCCTTTAGGAACAAGATTTCTGCCTTCAGTTTCTCCTCAAGGTGCTCTGCTGCCGTACGTGCCGAAACTATGTCTTCCCGGAACTGCAGCACCAACGACTGTAGTTCCTAAAGAGAGCAGATTCTTAGAAGTGGAGTTTTTTGATGTAAGGATTTTTCTTTACTGCAGGAAGAGTAATAATTTAAAATATCTGTTTCAGTCCGGCCAAAAATCAAACTTACACAATTTTCCCCTCCCCAAACACAATCAGCCAAGACATGTTTGGTGTCCAAGGTTTGTATTTTTTTTTTTTGTACTAGAGCAACAAAACTAATATAACATAACGAGGCCAACAGTAAGTCATACAGTGTCAGAAGCTACACAAGCAAGTGTATTTGAGTTTACTTATTCTGACATAAAACTAGCATTTAGTAACTGTCTGAGGCAAATGTGTGATGATTTGTCAGATGCTAACTGGAAGGCTATAAACCTCCCTCACTTGTTAGCTACTTTACTCTAAGAGAGCCAGTGCAAAAATCGAAAAGCAAACTTAAGGCACCAAACATGTCTTGGCTTATCAAATACATCTGGAGTAAGGAAAAAAAATTGTGCATCACTTCATTTTTTGTAAAAGCGATGGTTTGACCTGAGGCAATGCAGCTCATATGACATATTGTTTATTCAGTACAATAAAAGAAAAATTATCCAATATAATAAAATGTTTATTGAATGCAAATGCTAAATAAGGTAGAAGCAGCTAAAAGCCAGAACTAGTTTCATCTCCATGGTGTTCTGCAGTACCTGGACGGTAGTGGGCATGTGGAAGTCCTCTTGCTGCTGCAGGGCGATGTGCAGTCTGTGTTTGCCCTGTAGACTCTCATTGTCCTTCTGCAGCCTGCTCAGTTCCTCCGCCACCTGCTCCCGGGACTGCAGCAACACAGACTGAACACATACACACCACAAAAGATCAGCTATACAACCGAAAACTTCAAAATATTTCAAATGGAAAATGCCATTTGGCCTTAAAGGGGCATTAGTCTCAGTTGAATTAATTTTAGGCAACTGTGTGTCTTCATTCTGAGGACAAGACCCTGATATGGAAAACTGCATACGTAGATTGTAACTGTGGCTTCCACTGATGTTACTAACTAAGAGTCACACATATGCTAAAAAACACTACAGGAAAAGTGTTGCATTTTCACTTTGCTCCACCCAGACCTGTTTTGGATGCCAGTGTCCTGGTATGTTTGCGCCTCTCCCAGCAACAGAGCCTGTGATGCCAGTTAGTGAGCCCTTTTCATCGTAGAGCATTACCTGGGAGTGTTTTTTTCCCATTAAAGCAAAGCATTATCATATCTGCGGTATTTAAAGTATGGTCTCCAGAGGCCTTTTTGCGAATTACACTACAGTTGACTTCTCTTGTTCAAGAGAGCTGAACAGTTTTGAACATACCAAAAAACAGCAGCAAAGTAGACTTTTCAATAGAGTTGCACAGCTTTTCTGTGCTAAAAAGTAACACCAAACTTCAGTGTCTGATGAAAGGCCTCTTTTGCACTGCAGGGCCAAACGGTTATGAGCACGTAGATTAACCGATCCCCTGGAATTTCTACATGAATGCAGTTTGCAGGTAATGCTTTCTCCACATTAGCCACCTGCGCTCGGGGCGGCAGAACCATTCAGTGGGATGACTTAATGGCCTCTTTTCCACTGTAGAGCCAAACGATTCTCAGGACCATACTATGCCCATTCCACCCTGATGCAGACCCATGAGACCGATTAAGGTTTGTTCTTCCATCTGCTGTGCTGGTGCTAAATCAGAACCAGAACGTACACATACACACGAATCATGTTTGATTCCGAGCGTCACTCCAACACCAGTCACTCAGCGTTGTGCTCTCAGATTCTTTATTCTCTAAATGTCATCGGCATCAGTTACCGAAACCGGTGCTGCTAACTAGGAGAGAGAAGCTGGTTAGCATTAGCATGCTAATAGCTCTGCTCACCACAGAACAGGTTTGACTCTGACTCACAGAAGCTACACTGAAACAGGTTTAGATGACAATGACTCAAATTTGAGGAAATAAAGTCAAGCACAGGAGTCCACACCAACACACAATGGCAGAATACGGCCATGAGAACCATTTAAACAGCTTTAAAAATTTTCTAAACCACTACTGCAGCTAGGGTAATTAGCTTTAACATGAGGTAATGGCTACTTAATGTTAGATAGCTACCAAGCTGTTGTTATAGTTGTTTGGTTATTCATTCAGAAGCCTCTATCATTTATAACATTAATACAGAGCTCCAACAAGACGTGATTAATTTTAACTATGTTAGCTCGCTAACTGCTAGATAATGTTAATAACAGCCTGCATTAGATACTAATTTGGTTATTAAAGCAATAATTAAGGCTATTAATTTGTTGCCTAAAAATCAATACTGTGCCAAAGTGTAAAATTCTGGTATCAATTCAACACTACTTTTTTGCCAGTCATCTGCGCTTATAAAAGCACTCACTGGATTTGGAGTGATGTTTATCTGGAACACGTATTGACAGCAGCGGCTCTTACAAGTCAGTGATCTCCAAGCCACAAAAGTAACTCTGCAATTAGCTGTATATTTACTGCATTCTTTACACACCAGCATCTAATAAATCACTTTTATGGGTCTACACCAGATTATAACCAGATGCAACCCAAGCAGTCCAAGAGAATGAAAATGGCTTTCCATCAAATGTGAAAGCCAACAAGCGTCCGCTGTGCTGACTAACAGGTGGTCAGATGATTTTATATATATAAATGTCATGCATGTAATCAAAATGTGACCAAACTGGGTCAAATGGTTACAGACCAGTTTTCATCTTTTATACCTTTATACACACTTAAAAAAAAAATGCTTCTTCAGTATTTATTTTAATAAATGCAACGTTCGTATTTACAACTTTGAGTTCTATATAGAACCATTTCATGCTTAAATGGTTCTTTGCACGGTGAAATGGTTCTCCAATAATCTGAAGAACAATTTCACAGAACCACAGCCTTTACTAAAGAACCCGTAAAGAACAATCTTTTGAACATGATGTGTACAACAGCAAGAAAAAATTTAAACTGAATCAGAAGCATCATAACATGAGCACAGCTGTGTTTCTTTTTTTAGTCACTGCAATGTTAAATCAGTGTGTGTGTATATGATCTTGACATACCATCTGTTCCTGAGTGTTCCTCTTGGCCTGGCTGAAGGCTTGCTGGAGAGTACTCAGTGTAGACTCTGAGTCCTGGACTTTCTGCATAAGTGCTGTGACCTGCAGAACATGATCAATATAGACATCATTAGTCTAAACTAAACTAGACTAAATCCCTATTTGAACTGGGTTAGTTTTTACCTGGGAGGATACTGTAATATAAGCGATTACTGACAAGATCTATGACTTAAGTCCAGTATGAATTTGCAGCATAATTTTTAGTCTGAACGTAATAAATGTGGAGTGATTTTAATCCAGTATAAACCTGCAGTATATATAGCTTGTAACAGTCTAACAGTAATAACTGTGGAGCGACTTCTGTAATTGGCAAAGACCGCTAATAAAAAGGTAATGTGGTGTCCTGTGGTGTGATGCTGACAAACATGGGAATTTGGAGAAACCATTTATTCTGTATGAATCAGCCAGTCAAGTCCTGCTAACAAATTACATTCATTATAGGAACACCTCTGGCAAAAATAATCCAGTAATCCACTAAACTTCAATGCTTATGACAACATTGTGCATTGTGGGTGTATAAGATCTAATTACTGCTAACAAAGTGGTCAGAGGAGACATTCCCATACTGCAATTATCCAATCTTTTCTTTTTACAGCTAATGTTCAGAATGGGTCAACTGTATCTGCTGAAAATGTTGTACCTTAACAGTGGTTTCCTCATTGCCCTGCTTCACTGAGTCTTCCAACTCCTGCTTCTCATTCATCGTCCTCTCCAGCTGATCGTTGGCCTGCCGAAGCATGGCTTGCAACTTTTTCACCTAATGGAAGCAAAAAACTTGGACTGACTCAACAATATACAACCCCAATTTTCAATGTTGCATGTGTAAACAAACATGATTCATATAATCAGCAATGACAAAACAAGTTGTAATTTGATATAAATTATTACTCTCTCATAGCTGATTAAAAACAATCATGAGAAATTTAGTCTGAAGCACTGAAGATTCTAAAATTTCAGTCAACGCCATATTTGTGTTTGTAAATAGAAGGAGATATTTTACTATAATTTAAATTTTGTAAAGTTAACATTGTGTGTACATTCTTGATTTGCAGATAAAAAACACTGCATTTTTGCTGTTTTGATCAATGTTTGACATCAAAATAAACTCAAAGTGCAGACTCAACCTGTTGATACAGAATATAAATCAGATGCAAATTTAATTCATTATGGAACTATGTATAACTTTGTAATTAAGTAATTGCATTGAAATAATACAGCAAAACAACAATAATAATAATTTCAGGTTTAAGATAACATTAGCTTAGTGTGACCTCAAGGTGCATCTTAAACACACAGCTGGGAACAAGATGGGAGTCTTCATTACTTTCTCCATCTTTCTCTTTGCAACGAAATAATTAAGATACATGTTTTTTTCTCTCTGGGCATCCAAATCTATAAATCAACAAAAGGTCTCAAGTTGCTCGTATGAAATATGGCTGGCTTCTCCAGTAAATGGTGAGCAATAAACTAACCTGATCTCGTGTCTCTGCCTCCTGTCCCTGGATGACTTGAAGCTGTTTCTCATAGTTGGAGCACATGTCGCACCGCCGGCCCAACTTCCTCCCTGCGTTCTTCAGCTGCATGCCAAAATCACAACACATACACATACGCGCACATGCACGCACACAGGCACACACACAGACACACACACACAGACACACACACACACAGACACACACACACAGACACAGACACACAGACACAGACACACAGACACACACAGACACACACAGACACACACAGACACACACACATTAGAGAAAGCCAATCAACTGAATATCCAAATCTGTTCCTTTCAATTACACTTCACAAAAGGCCGAGTGTGGGTCTGAAGTTTCAAGAGACAACATACCCAGTTCAAGTAATTACAGTTTTCATTAATGACAAGTATTGCTTGAACGGTTGACTCGAGTGTTAAACTCTGGTTAGATTCAAGACCCAGCTGTCATGGGTAATGACTACTGTTCTCTCCAAGAGCTCATTTGGCCAAAATTAACTGCATCTTCTTCAGTACTAACTCTTCCAATGAGCTCTTAGGCTTGTTTCACACATAGTACCTCTGAATGGCAGGAGCACCACGGCAACATGACTTCTACACCTCATGGTTATTCACATATACAGCGTTTATGCTACGGAGCCACAGCAAGCAAGTTCTACAAACATCCTTTTACCAAATGGATAGAGAGTCAAATCAGTTACACTGCTCAATAAAATATAATTTGTAAAAGGGCATATAAACACACGTGTTCACAACACTACACATAGTATTTCATTTGCACACAGTCAAGAATTTAAGAAATTGAATTTACATTCTGTTTTCTGTTTCACTCATTGATTTTCATAACGTAGGCTCCACATCTTAGGTTTAAGATAACATTAGCTTGTTAACATAAGCGCCAAAATGAAAAGCAACACACAAAGGTAGTATGTGTGAAACAGGCTTTTGAGGGAACAGTAGTTGTGACTTATGTATTTGTACTTTTTACGAGGACACTGAGGAAAGTCAGTCTAACTGGTGTACACCACATGCATACCTTTTTTTTTTTGTGACCAACTGTGTCTGAACACATTGGATATAGACCTCCGCATTTAACCCATCCGTGAAACACCACATACACACTAGTGAACACACACACACACACACTAGGGGGCAGTGAGCACACTTGCCCGGAGCGGTGGGCAGCCCTATCCACGGCGCCCGGGGAGCAGTTGGGGGTTAGGTGCCTTGCTCAAGGGCACTTCAGTCACATACTGTCAGCCAAGGGGATCGAACTGGCGACCTTCCAGCCACAAGGCTGGTTCCCTAACCTCCAGCCCACAACTGCCCCCTACATACAAAGCTGGCAGTAACATGCAGCTCTTCATGTATATATGTTTATATGATTCCACTGAGGAAAATGTCTGGCTTATATTTGGACTGCAGAAAAAAATAGAAAGCCCCTAGTTTATATTACCACATGGAAGTTTGGAACTTCTGTTCAAATATTACAAATCCATTCTTTCCATAACAAACAAACAAACAAACAAACAAACAAACAAACTGCAATACAAACACTAAATTATTATATGTTAGTCCTGTACAGCATCACCAACCAGATGCTAAAAAGAGCTGCAAATGATTCTTAAATGACTGAGAAAGCTAAAACATCATGAAGTCACAAAAAAAGACTCCCAGAAGAAGTGATCAAATCTTTTCTAGAGTAACTTCTTGTTACACAATGATTGAAATATTGAACGTAACATAAAAAATGATCACTTATTATTGCACAGAAAATTAATATATAGGATAATACATAAATATATAGAAAATATATTGACAAGTGTTTCCAATTTTTTTGAACAGCAATACTGTTTTAGTAAGTGAAATTCATGCTTGACTAGATGGTTCAGGTGATTAACTTGGCCACTGCAGAACATTCCACTTGTTTGAATCCAGAAAGTTTTGGGTTAGTTTCATAGTATGCTTTGGGTTACTTCCATCTGCACTGCAAAGTCTGGCTGGATCTGAGGAGACAATAGAGCCCTATACACTTCAGACGTCATCCTGCCTCTTTTGTCAGCAGTCATATCAATAAATTCAAGGGAATTAGCTCCTCTGGCAACCACACATGCCAACGCCATAACACTACCTCCACCATGCTTGACAGATGAGGTAATATGCTTTGGATCATGAGCAGATCCTTCCCTTCTCCATATTCTCCTCTTCCCATCATTCTGATACAAGTTGATCTTTGTCTTAACTGTCCATATGTTATTATCACAGAACCGCACATGCTTTTTTAGCGAACTCTTATCTGGTCTTCCTGAGGCTCACCAATAGTTCACATCTCGTGGTTTAAACCCTCTGTATTTACTCTGGTGAAATCATCACTCGATTGTTGACTTTGACACAGATACACAGACCTCCTGGAGGATGTTCTTAATCTGGCCAACTGTTGTGAAGGGGTTTTTCTTCACCAGGGACACACACCACCACGTGGTCACGCACGACAGTTGTTCTTTTAATTTGAACTATAATATGCTGTGTTAAACAACTAAAAAACTTTGTCATAGTCCAAGTATTTATGGAACTGTACAAATTTGAATTTTGTAATCATGTTCATCACATACATTATTTGTATAACAGATTATTCTATCAGCCAGCAACATTGTACCAACCCAGACTTTATAGTGAACAAGCCCCTTACCTCTTGTTGAAGCAGATTCCACTCCGTCTCGCTGACCAGGCGGTAGCCAGCCGGAGGCAGGTACGCTGTATCTGGACAATGAGAGATGCTGGAGAGCAGTGAGGCAGTCTCCTCCTGCTCTGGAGTCATGGCCTTGATAGCCTTCTCCTGGTCCTTGGTGAGCAGGAAATGGCCCGGAGTTGGCTGCAGTGAAGTGATGGACGAGACGTCGGGGCTCTCGAAGCCTCCGCAGTCAGCACCGACCAGCGGCCCAAAGTCCGACTCATCCAAGTTGCTGGCCGATTTGGCTTTATGGTTGTGACCGCCCAGGCCCTGGGGCTGCAAGACACTGCCAGAGGAGCCCAGGCTGTCCGTAGACTGGACCCGCCGCAGACCGTCTTTGTAGGGGTCGGACGAGTCCGGGCGGCCTGGGGTGTCCTCATCCAGTGAGTGTAAAGAGCTGTGGATGCTGTGATTGAGGTGAGACTGCCAATGAAAAAGACATAAAGAGGACATATGCTTTTAAAAGAATGATATAATATCGATATCAAAACAGCTGCATTAGTCTTGTTTAAAGGAATTGTTCAATGAAAAATTAAATAGACTAAAACCTAATGAGCTGAAGTCAAAAAATGTCTTTACTGATCAACTATGTTTGGGGTAAAAGTGAAATAGCAAATTTAGGCAAAAAAAAACATTAAGGCATGCAATTTAGAATTAAGCATGTATTTACATATAAGCTTCCATAATTTATCAGCTATATTAGCCTTGTAGCTCCAGCGCAAAACTACAGAATAAAACTTCAGACACCAAAAATGGCATGAAGCTGACAAACTTCATTTGCAGGACAGGATAATTTTAATTTTCTGTAAATTATTCATTTAACCTGAGAAGGGGCCACAAACTAACATGGGTAAAAAGTAACATGGATATTTTACGTTGTTAAAAAGGTTCACGGAGAATGTGCTTTTCATGATGTTCTCATATTCAAATAGTAAAGCCATCTTTCTTTTTTTTTTTAAAGTAACAGGACAAATATTTTTTCAAGATTTCACTTTTCAAGCATTTTGAAGTTACTAAGTTGTTTGTGTAAGTCACGACTTACATCTATATTATTTTAATCTCCCTCTCAGTGGCTGTAAAATAGCTCAATTTTTTAACATGTAAACAATTCACAGTTTAACCTAGCCAGGCTGTTTTTAGTCCATATCCACCCATATAAACTCAAAACAGTTTTTTTTGGAAGTTGTTAAGCACAGATTCATAAAAAATGCACTATACTTGTCATGTAAATAAAATGTATTGTTCTATTTTTATCACGCTCATGTTTTCTGTTCTACATTGTGGTCAAAAATGAATTCGACACATTTGACACTGCCTCTTCTCACTGATCATGTTTACTATTTATACATATTTAGGTTGGAAAGCATGTCTGGTTCAGAAAGTTTTTGGTTCCTGTTATAAGCAGCCCTTCATCTGTTACAATTAACACTCTCTATGGCGTGTGCTGTAATGTTTGCATTCACTCTGCTTTTGAAATAAATTGTTCATAAACAGTAGGTGCTGAAAACAAAAGTTTAAATTTATTTGTAGCAGAGATGTGTAGGTTGCTTGCATATAAAAAAAAATTCCTCAAATATATTTAAAATTAATTTAACAAAAAACAAAACATGCCAGGTTGTGTCCTGCTTTCTCCTACTTGGCAACGTTTGAGTGGTGTGTTACTTTTTTGGTACCTCCTCTATGGAAAGTCCGAGAAGGGAGTCCTCTGCTGCCTCTGCATGTTCTGTGCTGTCGTCCTCACCGGCCTCTTTAGCCTGATTTATCCGCTGCTTCTCGTCCTCCTCCTATAATGACATTTAGGACACACACAAACACACATATGTATATTTTACATACATAAATACGCAAAAAATTAAAGCACAATTTTAATACATTCAAATAATTCACAGAAATGAGAAAATGTGGTTTGTCTGTTTTTTTTAAGGGTTCCATGTTATTCCTATGGGTGTAAGGTTCTAAGGTTCACTCTGAAGTTTTGGATTATTTACATTTTCAGTTGCTATCCATACCCAGCTCAGCAACTGTTCCATCTTTTGCATGGACACATGGTAGGCATGTTCTTTGGTGTGCATTTCAATCTATGTGCTTTTTTTGAGGGTGCTTCTTAATTTTGGCCCACTCTTGTTCAATTGTTAAGTTAGGAGGACAGCACACATATGATGGAAGTATGCCACAATCAATAATTAATGCTAAAACTGGTTTCAATTTCAAATTTGCGTGTTCCTCAGTTAGGGGATTTCCACTCAAAATTAACAAGTAAAACTGGTTGAAAGGGAAAGTATTTAATGGCTTAAGAGAACACCAGGCTAATTAGCACAATCCAAGCATTGCCAACTAGTCTACCAGTAGCTTATATATGTAGTCAACCATATTACCTTTTCTGAGTAAAATATCCCTCACGCCACACTTTTCTTGTATTTTATCTTTATTTCTGTGATTTCCACATACGACATCTATGTACTTTTAGGTACCAAAAACAGCCAAAATTCACTTGTACATGAAATTTTCCAACCTCTTTAGCCCCTAGAATTTAACAGGCTGTTTTGTTACTGTATACTGTACAGTGCTGCAAAAAGCATTTCCTGATTTCTTCTATTTTTACATATCTGTAACACTTTAGAACCGTTCCAGTAATCCGAAGTGCGTGTCACTAAAGTATGTCTCAACAAGCAGCACACGATGCCACAATCAAAAGAAACTCCAGAAGAGTTGAGAAAGAACAATATATCAGTCTGTAAAGAGTTACAAAGCCATTTCTAAGGCTGTGGGACTACAATGAACCACAGTGAGAATCATTATCTCCAAATGGAGAAGAGTAGTGAACTTTTCCAGAAGCGGCCAGGCAAAATTCCTCCAAGAGCACCACAATGAGTCATTCAGGAAGTCACAAAGAAACCCAGATGAACACCTAAGGAGCTAAAGCCTCACTCACCTCAGATAACATCACTCCACCCTTAGAAAGAGACAGGGCAAAAACAGTCTCCATGGGAGAGCTGCAAGGTGAAAACCACTGCTGACCAAAAGGAACATAAAGGCTCGTCTCACATTTGCCAAAAAACACCTTAATGACCCCCAAAGCCTTCTGGAATAACATTCCATGGACTGATGAACTGAACTGTTTGGAAGACAGGGGACCCTGTAATATCTGACAAAAAGCTAACATAGTACTCTTCATTCAAAACTTCATACAGTCAACATAGCGGTGGTAGTGCAATGATGTGGGGAAGCTTTGCAGCTTCAGGGCCTGGGTGAGTTGCCATAACTGATGGAACCATTAATTCTGCTCTCCAGCAGAAAGCCCTGCAGGAAAACATCCAGTCATCAGTCTGTAATCTGAAGCTCAAGTGGGTTATGCAGCAAGACAACAATCTGAAGCACAAGAGCAAGTCCACCTCTGAATGGCTCAGAAGAAACAACACTAAGATTTTGTAATGACCAGACCTGGACCCCGATGAGATGCTGTGGCAGGACATTAAATGGGCAGTTTAGTCGTAGGTGTTGCCGCTAAAGGTGGCAAATCTACTTATTGAATTAAATGGGGCCAATTACTTTTTCACAAGGGTGATACAGATATTGCAAAACTTTTTTCTTTCAATAAAAAAAACGTTTTCTGTTTTCTCATGTTCTCCTTGTTTTATATCACATTCTATGTAAAGGTCATTTATTGTGACAAATTGCAAGAATAGAGGGAATTAGAAGGGGGCAAACACTTTTTCATATCACTGTATGGAAAAGCCTGATATGTAAATCACCTCTGTTCTGACTGGCTCACTGAACTGTGCCTCATTCAAAAAGTAGACTGGACGGAAAAACAACTTAGTGTTAAAGATAAATCTGCCGTGAATGGGTGGAGCTAAACTGCTATAGGCTGAATGAGTGGTAATATGTAAATGTGCTGGACAGGAGCTGCAGTTCAACTCTAAAAGAAATAAGTCCTTCCACTAAAACCCTCACGATGTCTTCTCTTTTAGAGCTAATCTGGAATCAGTACCTGGTCTCTTTTCTTCATCTCCTCGACCTGCCGCAGCTGTTCTGAGGACAGCACGCTCTCGATGCGCTGCATGTCCCGCATGAGCAGCCGCTGTGACTCCAGGAACTGGTCGTTGGCGCGCTGCCAGGTGTGCTTCAGCTGGTTGTGCTGCTGCCTCTCCAGCTCCAGCATGTGACAAACTGTACAGAGACACATCAACTAGGTCAGACTCCAACCCCGGGGATGATCTACATTTGATCAGCAGATGATAAAGACGCACTGTGGCTGTCTGGCATTCCGTATTCAGCTGCTTACTGTAAATTGATTACATGCATGCGCAGACATTTTATATGTTAGATCTTTCTATGCAGTTATTCGGGAACATGTTGTCCGAAATTAGGAGATTAGGTTGACTTTACAGTGAAGTCTTTTACGCTGTAATGTCTGCATTTCAATAATGGGGCAAGTGCATAGCACTGTACACAAACACAGTGGTCAGCGATATGATCTCAACTTAATATCACAGAATATCACAATGATATCACAATACACCAAATAAATAATACAAAAACTACGCATAATAACATTCATAATTATTTAACAACTACCAGTATTTTAATCATTACCGTTAATAATAATAAGTCATTTTATTAGCAATATTTTAAAGCATTAAATTTAAGTTTAAATAATAATAAATTAAATTCAAAATAATAAAATCAATATTTATATATCAACAATAATTTTCAGAAGCATATAGGTTATAATACCTATTATTATTAGCATGGCTACTATTATTTATACACTAAAGTAATAAGAACAACAACAACAACAACAACAATTCAAGTTTATGCTGAACATGTAATAGTTGTTCAGGTTTATGTTTACTTTGACTCAAGGGTGCTGCTGTTTGACATTTCTGGGCTCATTACAGTATTAACAATCTTTATGTAGAGGAATATATCTAATTGCTGACCAATACAGCAATTATTTTCTATTAGTTTGACTAATAGAAATGCCTTTTATTGCCAAAACATCCAGCACATTAAGAGCTTCCGAGCGTAAGGCTGATGTAGTGCGCCGATCCAGAACGCTAGTTCATGTTAAGGTTCAATTTCCTCACTTGAAACTTGTTAAGACAACTTAGAATAGTACAGGATATGAATATAATTGCAGTTCTTGTTATTTTGACATAAAAAACAAATAATCATTTAGCCTTATCAACAATGTTATAAAATCTATATTATAGGGCAAGGACAGACTGGTATTCACTTTTATAATAAAAAAATAAATAAATAAATAAAAAAAAACTGGCATACTGTCTCTCTTTAAAGCTGTGGAATAAACTGAGGGAGGCAAACCTCAAAGAAAAGGCCATTGCAACAACACTAACTGTGCACCTTCATGGAGCTCTTTCCGAAGTTTCTCCGCATCCTCTTGGAGGACAGATTTCTGGGTATTGAGGACAGCCACGTACATCTCCAAGTCAGTCCGGCACGACTTCTCCGCCTCCAGAACGTGGTTAAGCTCCTTCACCTGTGAGGGAAGACAGATGAAATTGTATTATATAGTCAAAATCACCAAAATTATTATAATACTGACAGTTCAAGTTATAAAATCTGTTTGGCTAAGCCACGTTTGTAACTGCTGTGAATTACTCAACATAAACGTGTGTCCAAATCAACTGAATTCTGCACTAATGTACCAAGTTACTACAACAACTGTGTTATTGATGGACCAATTTTCAATATTATTTTGCTTAGCAACCATAGTCTACTGCTGACAAACTACACAGTGAACCAGAACTGTTTATTAAATAATTTTTTAAACATTAGTGTATTTCATCATATTGTATTTTGTTGCTGCTTTAGTATGAAGCAATAAGTTAGTTAGGCAAAAAGTGAGTGATTTTACCCCAGTTTTGCTTTGGGTTTTGCTCTGCTTTGCATCATGTGTAACATCCTTTATCGGTAGGAACATTTGTAATGCGCAGCTTTGAGCAGCTTATTGCTTTACTACTTCTCACACAAATGTATTCCTACAACTCCATTCTGTGGAACTGAACCACTGGTATGTTTTGGCAATTGACACATTTAAACTTAATACTTTTGAACAAGAACTCTGAGGAAACTAAAAAGAAGGTCAAAACAAACATGAGCTGCAAGATGTTTCAAAACCAAATGAGCTGGTGAATACATCTAATAATAAAGCCATGAAAAGAATGTCTGACTCTCAGTTCCTCTATGCGACCACTCATGCTGACCTTGGCGGCCTCCAGTTCCTTCACCCGGTCTTCAGAGCTCGTCAGCTTGGCCTTCAGTGCTGCGATTTCATGCTCCATTGGCATCACCACAGAACGAAGCTTCTCTGCGTCTTCCTGAGCCTGAGGGGAAACACATTCAAAACGTGGTTTCCACTAAATCGCTCTTCGTTGTCTGTAGACAGTGTTATTCTGAGAAAACCTGTCTACCGTTAAACCAGTTTCTTTAAAAGTGCTTTTAGTGGAAACACATTACACTGGTCAAGCTCAATGCTGCAACAAATCCGGAATAAAGTACTGAAAAAGGGGGGAAAAACTTTAATCAAAAGATTCAAGAGATTTTCACCACCACCACAGTTACATTAACAAAGCATGACTTGCAATACAAAGTAGGTTTGTACTGATTGATGACGGTATCATGAATAGCATAACGATAATAAGCCACAAAGACAAAAAGGTCACCAGAAGCAGCTGTAGCAGTGACTAAACGGCCTACCAGCTGCTGGAACTTTCTGACTGGTCCTTTAATCTTTGTCTAAGTGTGGTTTACCGAACAATGATTAAGTGTAGTTATTTGCATTTAACCTTTAAAAGGCAATTACATCAGTTTTCCCAATGCTTACAACCCAGGCCTCATTTTATACTGACTTATATTTATTTAATTTCAAGTAAAAACAGCCTTTAAGTACAATTAATTAATTTTCAGGAGATATTTCCACCCTTGCTTCAGAAAGAATCCACAGATATTTTGTGCATCCTTCCACTGTGCGAAGACAACTCAGTGCTATGGGCCTAAAAGCCTGTGTAGCGGTCAAGAAGCTGTTACTGATAAGGAAACAGACAAAAAAGGAAGAAAAACTGCAAATCAAACAAAGAAGCTGCTGGTGTTCCAAAACAATGAACTGGCAACTTGAGTCCAAACATCAACATTACTGAAAGTGTTTCTGATTGTTGATCATGAGAAGCAGAAAATGCAACCAACTTTTAAGTCTGAACTTTGGAGGTGTGGAACCACAGACAACCACAAACACAAAATCTTTTTCATTGAACCGTGAATCATAAAAATTATGACTTTATAAATCATAAAAATGAACAAAGAACTGAATGAACATGAAGCTGAATGCTGTGGACAGCCACAGCTTGTTGGCTTTAACGGTCCTGTGTAAAAAGTTATTCTGTGGATGCAGTGTTTAGCTACACTGCAAGGTTTTGTTCTATTGTATACTTCACTTCGTTTTTATAGTCCAGTGCCTTAAAATAGGGTCAGCTAGTCACTCTTTAGTGGTCTGCGGGCCCAGGTGGGGGGGGCAGCAGTTCGTAGACCAGTAACAGCACGACAAGTCATAACATTTGTGAAAAACAAAAAAGTTAAAAAAGTGGACAAGTGATTCCATTAATAATAAAATGAAAAAAAAAAAATCAAATCTGAAACAATGTAGGTAGGCTAATCTAAGGCTAATTAGAAGTCGTCAGTTTGAGACAACACAGTCACCGACGTGCAAGTTAACGTTAGGCAGACAGAGATAGACAACTACCCAGTGCAGTGTGGAACTATCAAATGTTTGGCTGTCTACTCCACTCATACTCAGGTCCACACTTAAGTCCTCCAAAAAGCAACATGTCTTGGTCCACTTCTGCATAAAACCTGGTTCAGTTCTCTGCTGTTGGGAACGCTTTTCTTTTTTCCCCACACCAAACAACAGAACTCAACATCAGAGTATGCTTTCCTCTTCTTACCGCAGCACGTATGTCTGCATGATCTGCCTGTATTGGCATCTGATGGATGTCGTTCCTAATTATAGTAAAGATGAGTAATAAGTTATAAACAGGTGGGCCTTGAGGTGAAAATAGGTGGTTGCACAAGTCTGTGCAACCATAATGAAGACCTGGGCATGGTTTGAGCAGGTTGAGGGAAGTTCTCGGGAACGTATTTAAGAAAAAGATTTGGGTGACTATTGACTTCTACTGTTTGTTAGCAACGTTAGCTTTGTAGCTTCAGCACTAAACTAAAGAAGCAAAATTTGGACACCAATCATATCTTGGCTTATTCAGATCATTACAGTCCAAACGTAAGCAAGCTGAAGTTCAACTATGCAGCCTTAACTATTCAGGATTAAAGTGTCTTTCTGTCTTAATTTAAAATGTGTCTGGGAAACAACCTCTGGCCTCTATACACAACGAAGAGTAATCAGGTGTGTTAAATAAGGTAGAATCCTAAACGCTGCAGGGCTATCTAGGGCTAGAGTTTAACTCCTCTGTTAGTCAGTGACAAGATGAAGGATGGACAGACCTTCTTCATCTCATTCTCCAGATTCTCTTCCACCTGGCCCTCCAAGAGGCGGCGACGGAGTTCAGCAATCTCTCTCTCGGCATTCTCGCGGTACTGTGCCCACTGAGTGCGCTCCTGATCCAGCCGCTGGTGGAATCGCACCTCATACTCCCGCACTGTGTCTACACAAAAAAAAAAATTATAAATAAGTAAATTCACAAAGTGCTCAAAAACAATGTCCCCTGATAATGTGAGGTCAATACAGGGCTAAAAGCTGCAATCAGAAACATCTGTGAAGTGTCGGGTCGATCTTTGTTTGCAACTTTGGAGTAACTGTGGTGAGGCTGCATCAATTTATGACCAAATTTATGACCAAACAAAAATGTGTTGTAGCAACTGTTGCTAGTTTGAACAAGCTTGACACAATGTTGGCAAAAATCTCAATTAATCATAAGAGAAATTTTAATTTTCTCAAAACTCAATTTTTGTCAAAATATTTTGTTAAATAAGTGCTACTAATTTGAAATTATTTTTATTTATTTATTTATTGTGTGAGAAAGGTCAAAGTTATGCCGTAACATCAGTATATGGTATAAGTACAACAAGGAAAAAGAAATGTTATTAAATTACTTTGCAAAGTGTAAAGTAATTGCACCTGCAGCCATGGCACAGGAGCTAATCACATAGGCTACAAAATCAGCTTAGCTATTTAGCAATGAAGGTGAAGCAGGTAAAAATTTTGCTTAGTGAAGCATGGGGATGTTTATCCCTAAAAACCTTGATTACACACAAAAATAAATCAATCTATCAACAGTGTCACAATCATGAAATTTTACCTGATTATTAAATGCCATATAATAATTGCAATGTAGCGGTCAAAAGACCTAAACTGGTCAAACAGGCTAATTAGCTTCTCGTTCTTCCTAGCTGTCAATATGTAGCGTGCTTTCCAATGAGTGATACAGACCTATCAAACTTCTTTAGATCTGTCAACAAATGAACAAATGCTCTTTTAAGCGGCCCTTGGTTCAGGTTGAGGCTGGTGGGAAAACATTTTTACAAATGATCCATATCAAATGAGGTAATTCAGCGCAAACTTCCTCTTCCCCTAACTGCACGTGAGTGCCCTACAGTCCACATAATCTGCCAGTTTTAACGTCTGACTCTTGCCAGTGGCTCATATTGTTCTTGCAGCATGAGCTGTTGCTAATAATGGCAGAAGAGCAATAAAACAATGGCAAAGTAACTGACTTTGCCAAATGGATCACAGAACCTATTTTTTTTTTTTTTAAATATGAACGTATAATTCCATGTTTCAGACATTAACCAGTGGTTTTTGAGTAGTGTGTCTGACTCCATGAAATGCTGGCTATCATACGTACTTAGGTCCTGCCTCTTAAACTGTAAAACATTGGCCATCCTCTCCACGCCCCCCCCACCATCTAATCATGTTGAAAAATGTGGAACTGCATCCTTTTATAGTGACAACAGAGTAGTGTTGCTTTCCTTACAGTAGAAAATGCCACCAGGGCTGTCGCAAGGACGTGGAAGTGTGAGATTGGTCTTTTATATTTAACATTTATCTAACATTTCATATATTTCCATTAAGGAAAGTTTTATTGCGATAACTTATCGTTGTATTGCTCAGTTCTAATTATTACATTGCTTTGATTTTAATAAATAATTCAATTCAATTTAATGTTAAGTGTATTTTAACACAAAGTAGGAGTCGGATAATACGTTTATATATCAAGAATATATGTGAGGGTGGCACAACCGTCTAAGTGTTGGCCCTATCATCAGGAGATCGCAAGTTTGATCCCTGGTGATGCTACAGCCATCTATGGCCAGAGTCCAAGAGAGCACAATTGGCCTCGCTTTCTGGGTGGGCAGGATGACCCCCCTTATACAAGCAGCTGGAGTTGCGCTCTGTAAATCTTTTACAATCTCATAACAGTTGCTATACAAGAACACATTTGTGTGTGAAAGACGAACAGGTCAACTGATCGATACCATGCATGATCAAATGGTCTTTGCTTGAACTGTCTGCAAGTACTTGTGAACTACTAAAATCGGTAATTCAGACAACTGCATAACCTACTGCTTTGAAAATAAACCAGAATCCCCACATTTACTGATGAGAGCCAACAAACAGATCAGGCCAAAGTAAAACAAGAAGAAATCCCACAGAAGCATTACCTGATTTCGATGCAGACTTACCCTTCATGATGGCCTGTAAGGAGGCCACCTCCTCCTGCCACTGCTGCTTGACCTGGTCAATGGCCTCCTGCTTGGTGTTCTCAGAGACGGTGGCCACAGCTTTGATGTTCTCCATCTCTGCTTTGGCCTCAGCCAACTGGGCCTGCATCCGGCTCAGCTCTGCCTGGGCGCTCTCCAGAGACGCAGCCTGCCGCTTCAGCTCCTCTGAGAGTAAAGGAGATCCAAAAGCAAGTATTAGGGAGGGGCAGTGCTGAAAGTAAGCCAGTTAGACCTCAGAACCTCAAAGTTCGTCTGCGTTTTACAATTTTATACATTTTACATCTAACTGTAAGTTTAACTGAAATGCATCATTAAGAAGTCTATCAAGGATTTTTTTGAAGCCTATGCATTTACTCATTGCTTACAGCAACTATAAAACTGATGCTGCAAAACTAAACAATGTACTGAACATGGTGTGAATTTCTACAAAGTAGCCAGTAATGACAGTCACAACACTGACAAAATTCAGAGATACACAGTCACCTTCTTTAGACAGGTAGAGCTCCTTGAACTTGGCCCGCTTCTGATTGAACTCCATCTCCAGCTGCTGTTTGAGCTTCAGGAACTCAGCCCGCTCCGATTCTGAGAAAGTAATTTTTCTTTGAGGAATACTTTCCCTTACAATACATGCACCTCTTCTCCATGAATGTTTAAAAAAAAAAATGTTTTGGGCAAAAACTCTCAAAACTACTATAAAGCAATGCCTCAGGCATCCAGCAATGTATTTGCAACAGTTATTTGTAATACATGTAGTTTTTGGAGGCATTAAATACTTCAGACTTCTGTTCACCATCATTAAGAAAACATTTGACTTGCTTAGTCTAGAATTCTCCATTTCACATCAAAACATGTTTAATACATTTGGTTACATCATAACTGCTTTATGTAGATATTCAAAGGAAAGAAACCAAGAAACCAAAACAAAGTTTGCCCACCATCACAATATATTACCCTGGTATATGGTTTTGGGTTTTTTTTGGTTATAAAAAAATGATTCCATGTTTCTGTAGTTATAAAACAGTAAGCTGAATATTTAAAATAACATTTTTAAAAGCATAAAATAACAAGGAAACAAAAGCAGAAATGTTCCATTTTACCAGTTGATTGCACTGTTTTTTTTAAAACCTTGCACTTGTCAGTGGGCCCATCAGGGTGCCTGCAGCATGCTAGGAAAGGGGGCTTCATCTGACGGCAATCAAAGAACAGATGACAGAGCAGAGCAAAAACTAACACATCTGCTCCCACAGTAACATTATTGAGACTTGAATGTTTATAATGTTAATATATCACTCAATAAATGTTAAACCACAGTCCAACAACAACTGTTAAGCAGTATTAACTGTAACAGTAGATTGGGGTGGTTCTGCTGCTAGTACTAGCAGGCTAACCACTCCACACACCTCAGAATGGATTTAACTCTAGCACCAGTCACTCAACTCCACTCCTTAAAAATTTTAGATCCTCCAAACTTGCGCCAGTGGTGCATGAGTGACACAAAGTCAGACCAGTCCTGCACAGGTGGAGCTGCTAGCCTACTAGCTAAGCTAGCTTTAGTACAACCAACAGAAACACTCCACTGTCCTTGACAGCAGTGTTGAAAATCTACCAGTTATTGTTAGATCGATGGTTTAGCCTTTCGCATTTGTTTACATAAAATAAAAAACAACACTACACAAGCACAGATTTGCCAGACCACCAGGCCACACACTCTCTCCTCTACAACTTCTGGTAAAAAATGCTGGAGGGTAGCAGACATTTTAAAAGTAAGGGGGACACAGTTGTCAACCCATGACACCCCTCAAACCCAACACCCCACACTTGGAGACTCAGTATTACTATTGTAAGGCTGTAGCAGTATGTGCATTTTTACAATCAAGCCAATTTGAGTGCTTGGGGCAGCAATAAACAAACATAGCCCATAGGGAAGTTAACCAGCTCCCAAACATATGGTCCAAAATTGGCTTTTTAAAATTTTTAGCTAGACATGCAATCTGCTCCAAGAAAATAAAACTATGCTTATGTTCCAAAATAAGAAGCTGATGCATCACTGACCAGCGGTGAGGTAGTTACTCGAAAAACGAATCTGTACCAATCTTAAACAGACCATCTCATCATTTAAAATGCCTCTCACCATCTCATAAGCTAAATCCAGTCCAAGAAAGCAAATCACTGTTAGCTGGCCGCTGGGTGGGGGAGCAAGGCTAATTAAGTGATTGTTTAAACAAGGAATGCAGTATTAGCTACCATTCATTAAAAGTTCACTTAGGGGCTACTCTCCCCTTAATTACGCCGACTCGAACTCTTGCCGCCCCTCAGCACCAAGGGTGTCGGGCATCAGACTCTCGGCACTTGGGACTCAGGCACCGGCTTCTCATACCACACAGCATTAGGTAAGCTAAAGCTGTGGCGTTTAGCTTACCTAACGCTGCCTTTCCTCTCTGCCGCTGCCCCTGCTACACTGCTTGCAAGCTAACGCTAGCTATGTTACTTTTTCTACTACTTTGTTTTCTTCTATTAAACAAATGCCGGCTGGCAGGCCAACTGAGGACTAGCTACGTTCCTCAACAGTTCGTCACTCAGTCAGTGAGCAAAAACGCCTCTTCAATCATGCTAAGAATGTATTTGTCAGTTTTAATAGATAGAAGTGTAACAGAAACTATTTTGAAATATGTCTTAATGCCACAACGCATATGATTAGCCTATGCAGGCCCACCAACCAATCATCATTCCCCATTAAGCTTCTACTGTGGCAAGAGGCAAAAAAACTAAGTGAAACTAAACTGTAAGCACACTGCTACACTGGCTGCTGTATGCGCCTGGCATAAAAGGCTACATCAAGTAACACAGAAAGGTTAGAACACATCACTTTATACTGGCAACATTTTAGGAACGTGCTGAATAAGCCAGGAGATATTTCCTAAATTGGTAGACTTTTGGTGATTTGCTGTAAATGTGGCTCTCCTTTTCTGATTGTGTGGCTCCTTTGGACAGATCTAGCAACGATTTTTTTGCCTTATATTTTCCTTTTTTCTGTTGTTTTTTCTGCAGCGTTGATACACAGTCATCAATTTTTTTGACTAAATGATGCTCCTTCTCCCTCATCTTGGTTTTTGTCTTTGACAGAGCTTCTGCACTTGGTGCCCCAATAAAACATCTGTCAGTATATTCATTTTTGACTTCTTCGTTTATGTTAGCTTGCAGCTCAAAACAGCCAATAGCAACCCTCTACACTCACATACAGACAAGAGATGTATGCCAGTGTGTTTAAAATTCCATAAACTTTGATGGAAGGAATTCAGCCTTAAATAAAAAAAAAAAAAACTCTATTAATCATAATAATTACATTAATAGTCAATTTCTGCAGTGATTAACTCTCCCTTGCTTACTGCCGCACTGCTGCAGACTGGTATCAAATCCACCATCCTGCACTGGTTCCTGGCCCGGTAGTTGGGAACATCTGGTCTAACACAAGCTTAAAGCGTTACAAGGCAGTGTTTAACATCTGTAATGATTATGAATGGTTTTCATGCAGTCCTACTCTTTTTCAATTAGACATTAATTAATCTAATTAAGGAAGAAGGACACATGGACTGCACTGTTTGTACATAATTAAACTAAAGCAGGCCGCCAGGTACTGTGTTTATAGAGCCAATGATTAACCAAAGGCACACAAAAACCACTGTTAAACATGAGATACCTGCATCTAAACCACCAAATCTTAGTTTAGTTTAACTTAGTTTAGTTTAAAATGCAAACTATTAACCTGGCTAATAAGTAGTAATAATTAGCTATTACAGAAATGATGGTCATGCAGTAAGGCTTGCCGACACAATACAGCAACAGAGACAATCTAAAACACAAGTCTAAAAACACTGCACCCAAACATACCTGGTACAGCTGTGTATTCCTGTATAGGTTTCCAACAAAAATGTGGCAGAACAGGGCCCCGTAGAGCAACGCAATGCATGCAGCTGACAAGCACAACACCGGTTAGTGGGCTATTGGTCAGGTTAGGTTTACGTTGTACATCAGCTTAATCTAACAGGAAAGAAACTACGCATAAGCTTCTTCACAGTAATACATTTGCATTTAGCCTACATTTAAATTTAGTCCGTTGACAGGTACTGTTATCAAGCTTGACTTGCAAAAACTGTGCAAACAACAGATGGCAAAATTGATAAAGATTATATTGGGAATCTAAAAGGATTTATAACAATAAAGACCAGAGTGCTAGACTAGTTTATGCACTTGATCAAGTGTAAAGTGGATTCAGGCAAAGAAACTTTTTTTAAGTGCAGCAGTGTAATAAACGCGACAACCCAGCTTCATTTACATTCTGTGAATATTAGTGAAAAAGAAATGGAATGAAGAAGATCACAAACATACTGGAGTAAGAGTGAAACTGACTCCAAAGATTAGCAAGTGCTTGAACATTCAGTTAGTGCATCTGCACTGACAAAACTGCATTAACAAAGGCACACAGTACCACTGTAGATCAGGCTTAGTCAAGGAATACATAATATACTTTTATCTGTCATTCCAAATGGCATACAACATTAATTTCTGTTATTATTAAACAGGTTGATACAATTACCTTATGAATGTGGTTCCATTAATAACGTTCCTACAAAAGGCTCCAATATTCAAAAGACAAGCTGTACTACAGTCATTCTCTTGTATGTAGACTACTTTGGCATCTCATTATACTGATGTGATAAAGCATTAAACCAAGCAGAGGCAGAGGTTTCAGATTTTGCGGATACCTATAGGTTTCGCTTGTAAGACTGAGTATCACGTTAGCGATCACATGAATGCAAGTTAAAGACAAGTCAAGGGCCGTTAGGGCAATTTAGACAACGAGCCACATGAGCACAGGGAGGCAACCTTAACACGTGTGCCATTCTTATCAATGTCACAACAATGCAATCAGCAGCACACTTTATGGGCTGAATAACAGAGTGCAATGTACAAGAGAATGACTGTTCTGCATGTTTTCATTATTTGCCTTGCAATAGCAGTGGTTTACACTACCAGAGGAGGGCTGACTAGCCTAAAACCTTCCTCAGTTGGTTTTAGTATTGTTCCTCAGTAACAGTATTCTAACTTTATGAATTAATGACAAAAAAAAAAAAGAAGTGAAAGTTGCTGGCAGTCTATAAAAAAAATATATTGAGTGTAGAAGTATGAGGTGAGGAAATTCCTTAAAAGGGCATTTTGGCCTATAATCCATATTTAATATGTTATTTGTCATGTTATATACAATCCTGTACTGCAGCACTGCATCCCTCAGTCTCATCCATTTGACAGAATAAACAATTGTGTGTCATTTTTATGTTTTTCTACCGTAATGTTTGCTCACAAGAGTACCTGGCATGCATTAAACACAGATGTCATATGACCAATCCACCCTCAAGTAAGTACTAGACTTCAAGATATGTCATTAGAAGGGTGACATTCTTAGTTTTTATACTGAAAAATCTTGCACTACAGTCTTTACAGTTTATGGAGGTGAAAGCTGGACAATAAACAAGCAAGACTGGAAAAATATAGACTTAGAACTTAGACTTTTGAGAGCAACTTGGACGGCAAAGAAAACAAACAAATGGATCCTCAACCAAATCAAGCCTCACCTCTCACTCAATGCCAAGATAACCAAACTAAAAGCTGTCTTATTTCTGGCATATTCCAAAAAGAATCAATTCACTGAAAAAGACCATTATGCTTGGAAGAGCTGAAGCTAAAAGAGCAAGAGGACAGCGAGCAACAAGATGGATGGATACTGTCAGAGGAATCATGAACCAGCCATTCAGAAGCCAAACAGAAGACAGGATATTCTGGAGAAACACTAAAACAGTGCTGAGGAAAGAGTATGCTCCTTTCCTCACAAATGTACTCGTCTGAAAACGCACAGAAAAAGGACAAGCCCATTAAAATCGTACTTTAGGACACTGAACTCTAGCTATTTAACTTGCAAAGCAGCAGCATCCCTAAAGTGAGTAATGCAAAGGTGCTTCGACCTGTCAGGCTTCATCAAGCTAAAACCTCCTCACAACGACCAACACATCATCTGCCGAGTGCGAGCAGACTTTTGTACAGCTCTTCAGTTCTAAAAATCGATACTGTCAAGGTTCACCAGGAGCCCTGCCTGCTTTCCTTGCACTTGCAAAGACACTATATTAGCATGTTGGCTAACTAACTCACTTCTTCAACAGAGCTGCCCAGATCAGTACTGAGTGATGCTACAGCTAATGTGTACAAGCATCATGTCAAACCACGCTGCTCATTACAGACCAACCTCTCCGTGCTGAACATCATGACTAAGGCCTGCACGCCCGATATGCAGCAGGAAACAACTTAAATGTGCCATAAGAGTAGCATAAAAGTGTCATTTTGGAGCTGAGTGGACCTGCACTCCTGACCGGCTGCAGCCTGCTGCCGAGCCCGAGGATGCGCAGGCCCAGCGGGCCTACTGCGAGGAAAAACAGGAGCAAAGAAACTCTAAAATAACACTCCCCCCGACCCCAAGAGCTACTTACCATCGAGCTGAGGTGGCCGGGCGGATCCCGAGGCCTCTTCGGCCATGGTTTCCCCGGGGGCAGAGGTTTAATTCGCCGGCTGTGTGGCAAAAAAAGCTGTGAGGAGGATCCAAATAAAACAGGGCTACGGCCGACTGGGCGACGTCATGGTGAAGACAGCGTGGAGCGCGCATGCGCAGAGCGGATGATGGATTTAGTATGCCACTTCACGGACAATTTGGTCTTTTATTTGATGTATATGTGTGAGAAAAGAATACGATTTTACCCCTTTTCAGTTATATAAGTAAAATTTGGATGGAGTTTTATCAAATACTTTTACTTTTACTCAAGTAGCCGAGAGACCACCGGAGACCACCTTTAGATCCCTTTAGGAAACCATCAAATGCATTAAGAATCAGATTTGGTCACCTATTAAACCAGTAGGGTCCTTTTCACTGTGATATCAGCCCATTAAATAAGCCAAAAAACCAATCCACGTGTTTAGCATATATCAGTTTCCTATAAGGACCTTGGTTAAGCCTCATCCATTTGTATTGAAGTTTTAAGGAATGTTTCAGCCAAAACTGCTTTTTGAATGGTACACAATACAGGGCCGCCAATCAGAACAGAGGTCATTTACATATAGCAAATGTCTTACAGGTACAGTAACAAAAAACAGTCTGTTTAATTTTGAGGGATAATTAGAGGCTGGAAAATGTACAAAAAAGAAAAGAGTAAAGACACACAACGACACAAATATCATACAGCCAGGTTCATAAATATTTGGACATTGACAATGTTTATTCTTATTTTTGCTCTCAACTGCAGCATATTGGAGCTGAATTTAAATAATTAATATGAGCTTGAAATGCTTTACTTTGACGGTGTGTACATCCAAATTGAGTGAAATTTCTAGAAATTACAGTTATTTTTATACATATCCCTCCATTTGTAGGGGCTCAAAATAACTGAATAATTAGCTGCTCAGCAGTTCCATGGTCATGGTGTGTTATTCCCTCATTATTTTACTTACAATTAAGCAGATAAAAGGTGTGGAGCTGACTTCAAGTGTGACATTTGCCTTTGGAATCTTGCTGTTAACTCTCAATATGAAGTCCAAAGAGGTTCACTGCCAGCAAAGAAAGCCATCACTAGGCTGAAAAATCAAAACAAACCTATCAGAGAGATAGCAAAAACATAGAAAAGTGTGGCCAAATCAACTAACAGGTACATTCTTAAAAAGAAAGAATGCACTGGTGAGTTCAGAAACACCAAAAGACCCCACCACAGGAGACCACAGAGAACAACTGTGGTGGATGACAGAAGAATTCTTCACAATAGTTGGTCAGATCAAGAACACCATCCAGGAGGTTGGCGTATCTGTGTCAAAGTCAACAATCAAGTACAGACTTCACCAGAGTAAAAAACAGAAGGTTTACCACATGATGTAAGCCACTGGTAAGCCTCAAAAACAGGAAGGCCAGATTAGAGGATCAAAATAGAGTTTGCCAAAAATCATTTGAAAACTGTACAGTTCTGTAACAACATCTTATAGACAGATGAGGCAAAGATCAACTGTACCAGAATGATGGGAAGAGAAGAGTCTGGAAAGGAACTGCTCATGATCCAAAGCACCCCACCTCATCTGTGAAGCATGGTGGAGGTAGTGTTATGGCATGGCCATGTATGGCAGCCAATGGAACAGTTCCCTTGTGTCTATTGATGATGTGACTGCTGACAAAAACAGCAGAATTCTGAAGTGTCTAAATGAACGATGACTTAAAAACTACTGCAAAAGCAATCCAAGACTTTTTTAAGGCAAAAAAGTGGAATGGCCAAGTCAATCACCTGACATCAATCCAATCAGCATGAATTTCACTTACTGAGGCAAAACTGAAGATAAAACGCCCCAAGAACAAGCAGGAACTGAAGACAGGTGCAGTAAAGGCCTGGTAGACCACCACCAGGGAAAATCGAGCATATGGTGATGTCTAAGGGTTATGAAAATAAACTAAAACTATCACAAAAACAAAAATAGCAGTGAAAAAAATGTGCTAGGTAGGTTTTCAAAATCATGACAATGAACTCTAAATTTTACTGTAATAAAACAAAATAGAATTACAGGGAGAAAAACCTTTGTTTTCAGTTTTTCAGTGGATGAATGAGAGTTTAAAAGTGGATCCCTTCTGTCTTTGGCCATCTTTAAGGAAACCTGGAGCTGAGCGTTTTTATTCTACCCTCATCAAATACCTACTATCACTTCATCACACTAAAAACTAAAACTATTACTTTTCAGACAATAAAAACAAAGCTAAAACTACTAACTGAGACTAACTGAGATGAAACTGAAATTAAAGCCAAAAAATAAAAAAATTATCTTAAAAATAACAGTGACTGTATCAGCATCCAAATATTTATGCACCTGACTATATATCATCATAAGGGGGTTTTCTTAGTCTTTAAGCTGGAAAATCCCACTCTAGACATTACTGTGGCACCACAGTAGGGGGCGAGTAGGCATCATCACAGCATGTGGTCGTGTGTAAAAGTTTGGGCACCCCTGGTCGAATGACATGTTCTATTGCTAAGTGAAATTGGAGCACATGCTCTACAGGCAACATACTTAAATATGGCATTTTCTACACATTTTAGTGCACACTTTCTATTTGTTTTCTGAGTTTAACATATTGACCTAAAATCTAGAATATGCATACTTTGTAGAGGATGTGAACATGTCATTTGGCCAGGGGTGCCTAAACTACTTTTTCACTTCTGCATTTATTCAGTTTCATTTTTCATCTTTGTTAATAACACGGGACATAAAACTGAGGGTAAAATTGAAGAAAAAAAATAATACAAATATTTTTTAAATAAGTAAGTAATTAGGAAGATCTAAATAAAATACACAATCATAAAAGAGAAGTAAGAAGAAGAAAATAAAATATAATATTACCGTCATGCCCAAACCTTTGAGATGCATTTTTTTATTTTGTGCCCCTTTAGTGATCCCGTCAGTATATTACTTTGTAATATACTGAACAATGGCCAGTAATAACTTATGTCTTGCCAGGATCACTTTCTCTCCCCTGCTTCCCATCTTCTCACATTCATTCGATTCTCTCTTTCACAACCCCTTTTTTTTTAAGGTTCATTCTGCAGCATTATGTGTTATGACCTCCAGTGAATGAGCTGTGGCTGGCAGTGGCCGTGGGAGGGCCAGTGGGTGTTGAAGAAAAAGTGACAGGAAGCTTTTAGAGAACTGCATTTGCTGCTCTCTTTGATTCCTGAATCAGCCCGTCTGTCTCGCACGTATACGTGATTGTGGAGATATGTGATCGGAGCAGAAGATACAGGTAATAAAGATTTCATTTTTAACTCCTAGAATACCGTCTGACCATGTGGTGATAGTAATGTGTCGTCGTAGAAGCACACTGAAGTGAAACTGCTCGGTCTTTCTGGAATTCTCTTATTCTGATTAGCCATTACAATGACTACAATGTAAGCTCTAATCATTCATAGTCAACTACACTGTAATGTAGCCATTAACAATAAAGCTATAATATGTCTGCGTGGTTTATAAAATCAGTTGTCTAATGTTACTCATCAACGCTGTGAAAGGTTTAATACAGGATTATTAAATTGATTCAAGATAAAAAACTAAAGTCCTGCATGAAAATGACCTTGAGATTTATCTCCTCTAGAAAACATATTCATCTCACCGTATATTATACAGCTTTACTCAGAAGTGGTTCATCATTGTTCATGGGAAACAACAGTGTTTACTGGTTTGAGGTCTAGGGGTACATTCTAAACTAAAATACAGGCAAAAGTTTAAGCACCCCCAATGTTTTGTTGATTTTCTAAGTGAAAATAAGTTAACACAAACTTTACCGCACATTTTAATGCACAATTATTGTTTGTTTGCTGAACATATATAGAAAAAAGTGCAAAAGTTATGGCACAGTTTGTACTGTTTTTTGTTAGTGTGTTGAACTTGGCAAATAAGGAAATTGCCATATTTAAGGTTGTTCTCTATAGAGGATGTGATGACTTTTTCCACTTAGAAATTAAACAAAACATGTCATCTGACCAGAGGCGCCCAAACTTCTGCATATGAGCATATATATTGACATTCAAGTCATACTTACATCTAGATACAAAGTAAATTTGTTGCAAATGTGTATAAGGTGCTATAACTTACCGAAATCTTAGCTGTCTACACACTTGATGGTTCCTCAAGGGTTCTTTATTAAAGAAATGGTTCTATATGGAATCATAAACTCCTAAGAAACCCTTTGCATAATTAAAGGTAGCATTGCATTGTGAAAGGGTTCTTCAGACTGATAGAGCATGTGCTTTAGATGGTTCTACAAAACAACGGTTCTATATAGGGGTCTGAAAAGGGTTCTTCTATTATAGAAGATGCCATATAGAAGCCTTTTCAAAAAGGTTCTATATAGAACCATCTACAGCAAATTCTCTATCAATCTACAGAACCATTTCATGATGCGAAGAACCCTTTAATCACGCAGAGGGTTCTTTGAGTGTTCATGGCTCTATATAGAACCATTTTCTTTACTAAAGAACCCATTTTTAAGAGTGTAGATAGTTGTGTATTTGTTTAATAAGCCAACCTGCTGTACATTTGCTGCAAATGTGTGTAAGCTGCTTATGATTATTATAATTATGGTGCTGTTTTACTAGAATTTTAGTTGTTGTACACACAGTTGTTAGTTTATTTCGATTGTTGTGATGTGTTTGAGCAAAACATTCTGAAGGGGATGTAAAAAAAAATTCACTGTTCTGTTTAACTGAACTGATTTTTGATAAAATCTGGAAAAGTAACGGAAAAATCATTTAAAACTGGTTCCAGTCGAGGAATTTAGAGTGATTTTCATGTCTCTTAACTTGAAAATCTGAACATCTGGCATTTCTTTGGTCCATATGTTCTCTGAGCTTACACAAACCTGAAGAAAGATCTCTCAAATCAATCGAAACCAAATGGCTAAAAAGTATGTTTTTATTGCTCACCATTGAGAGGCCATTGGTTCATTTGACACAGATCCGTAATGTCACAGTGTCACATGGAATAAAATGCCTCTGTGTTTTAGCCACTTAGATGTTGTTGTCTGCCACACTTAAGGCAGATATAATGATGCTAGTTTTTCTATATTTACAGCTGGATTATTATACATAGACTGACTAGTGCAGTATTTGAACAGATTTAAAGTAAATTAAGTATTCAAAAAACACACTATTAGCTATTGAGACAAGAATGAGTTAAAAAAGTCTGTATTGGTGAGACAAAGTATAGCATAAATAATGGATGGATGGAGTGCATGCTGTGATAACTGCATGAAGAGGTAAGTAGAAAGATATCTGTGCTAGCTTCAGAGTTACTGCTGCTGGTTTTGCAGAAAGAGAACTATTTTGAGAAAATGTTCATGATGCTGTCTCCTCCCAGGAAATACAGCTCATCGGACAAAATAAACCACAGTGCAGACTGTGTTCGCTGCTCGGCCGCTGAAAAGAAGAACTAATAGAAGCTGAGATAACAGTACATGGTGTTACTCAATATCAATGGAGATTGCTGCCTTTTAAGGATCATAAAGGTTCATTTAATGTGACAGAGTGTTGTGTTATAACAATGTCTGTAAATGCATTGTTTATGTGTTGTTCTTCATTGTAACTGCTTGTTTTTTTCTTATCACCAGCATGGCAGACTCGCAGAATTTCCTGTGGCTGGTTCTAGTGGGGGTAATTGTGATAACATTGACAATAGTGCTCATATTCATCCTCATCAACGTGTGTATTAGTAAACAAGGTAAGTGGTGTCGACCAGTACAGCAACTTTTATTTATATTCTAGAAGCTTCGTATACTCAAAAAATGCCTGTCGTACCATATATAGAGTACTGTGCAACGTCTGAGACCACTCTTCATGAATTACACTTCCACCAGAAACTGCTATCGAGTGTGTTATTCATTTTTTCAGGAGATATTTCTGAGAAGATTAGATATAAATAATCCACTTGCATAAGAAACAGAATAGTCAAAGCAAAATAAGTGGAAAAAATAGGAGTTTCCAAATGTTGTTTTCAAAAGATACAGAGAAAATGGGACCCCTAACAAACGTGCAAGACCTAGTAGACCACCAAAACTGTCCCTTCAGATAAACAGCACGTAAAGCTTTCTTCTTTGAGAGAGAAGAGAAAATCAAGCTCCACTCTTGCTTCAAATCTGAAGAAATCCACTTGTGTTTCTGTTCATCCTTCCACTGTGAGAAGACAACTCAACACTAGGGGTCTAAAAGGATGTATAGCTGTCAAGAAGCTGTTACTGAGAAAAGGAAATATAGGTAGAACATTTTCTCTAGAACACCACAGCTGGATAATGTAGATGTGGAGTTCTCTGGACTGAGGAGTCTCAATTTGCAACTGGGATTACTTGGATTGTAAGAAGTAGAAATGCAACCAACCTCTAAGACTGAACTTTGGAGGTGTGGAGAAATATCCCTGCAGATTTCTAGGAAAAACTGAAAGCAAGCCTCCTAAACAGAACTGAAGCTGTAATGAAGGCAAAAAGAAAATCTATATTATATTTGGTTATTGCAGTATAATTTTCTGTTAAATATGTGTTTATGTGTTTAATATGTTGACAAATGAATGAAGTGTATTTAATTGCTATGAAGGGTGGTCTCTGACTTTTGCACAGTACTGTATGTAATATATACTTACTTTATGTATAATACATTTGTGCATTTGCCAGCTTTTCCATGGGCTTGCACAATATGAACAAAACACTTAGTACTGCAGTTATTATTGATACATATTGCTAATGAATCCCACCTTGCAGTACACTGAAAATGCATTGGGGAATCAATAATGTAACAGTTAATTTTATATTGACCAAAATATTTTTTAAATGAATACTTCAGTTCATCAAAACAGTCACAGAAACACTTACACAGAACTGTGATTGGTGTATCTGTGTCTGTATTGCGAAAGGTAGTATTGCAATAACAGTGAACAGATATACAGGCCTAGGAGGTGTACATAACAGACAGCCATATATGACTGTTTTTTTGTTGTAATGTACTATTCTATATAGGATCTTCTAAAATGATCATGTAAAAATCATCATGACTGTTTTTGATTTATAAAACTACATATGTGGATCTCTGGGGAAAATAAAATGGAAAAAAATGTGAATATAAGTGATAAAGTACTGCAGTACTGATCAGCAATAGAGTTTATTATTCTCCTTTTTTGGAATTGTTTTTGGTCTAAAATTATAAACATTGAAGCTTGAAAGTGAAAAGCAAAATCTACAAATATTAATAAATACGCACATGTTCCTCATAGCTAAAACGTAATGCATGACGCTTGCACAGTTCAGATGGAATGCAGGATATTCTTTTTTTTTGCAGAGTCAGTCAGTTGTGGTCATCTTGTTAGAAGAGACACTTTAAAGCGATAACAAATTCACACGGGTTGCCACTTATCACAAATCTAGTCAATCAGTCAAGAGGTGTCTGAAGCTTGTTTCTTTAGTTTTCACTGGAGCTATGAGGCTAATGTGGCTAACAAGTGATGGTAGCATAAAACGGTGTATAGGTAATAACTTGCTTATGTGGTTTCTGACTTCGGCATACAGTCACACATAGAACTGTAATAAAGGGCAAGATATAGACATATGACATATAGATATATGACTCCTGAATTTGCATTTTATCCAGCTTACATTTGTCACATATGGACATGTATATGACATATATGCCAAGTTATTCAAAATGGGCCATTTTTAAATATGAAACATATATTTCAGCCATATATAAAAATATACAAACATATATGTGTAACAATAACATTGTTTGTATATGGATGGCACATATTTCTTATATATCGCTGTTGTCGGAAGAAAACCTCATATCTCCAAAATGGTAAATTTACAGGAAAAGGAAAAAACACACTTTACTTTTAATGTAAGTCAATGGAACCAGAAGTAATATTGGGTCATTTCTTTTGGTCCATTCATCATGAAATTTATACACAATATAAAGGGCAACAGGTATTTTCAAATTATATCAAAATCTGAAAAATGTCAAAAATGGAGATACAAGGTTTTCTTCCGTTAACAGCGATATGCAAGCTTCATGTTATAAAACTATTTTTGCATCTGCTTTTTTTCTTTCATGTTTCCTAATGAAGTGAAAGTTAGTAGAATAGCTACATAACTAAACTCTTAAAACATGGACATTATAAGCTATGCAAAGTATAAAATAAAACAAAATATAATAAAACATGAAATTAAAATATTGTTCCCTGACACATTTAAATAATTTCATATTTAAAAGCCCATAGATAACATAGTAACAATGATAATTGTACTGGGATGTATTCACTCACCTAGCACACATATATGTATGAGCCAGATGTATTGCATATGTCCAATATTTGATGTTTACGTGTATGTACACCACACATATGTACATATATTTTGAAATATATGCCTGACACTTTAAGATAAATGTACATATATGGCCATGTATCAGGTTTTCATATGGAGTTATCTATAAAAATGGCCTAAACTATGTTGCAGAGCTAGAAACAGTAGTAGCAGCTATCTTGAAGCCTGAACTGTGTTTGTACTTTTGTTAAAGAAAACTTAAAAAATGCTTTCTAGAGTTCTGTGTGTATTTATGCAAAGCGTTGAGGTTGAATCTACGGTACCTGTAGTTAGAAACAGGTTGGCCTTTGAAGAGAGCAGTTAATACTTCTACATATGACATGTTTTCGTAAAAGTTAATCTTGTGCACTGCAAAAAGTGGTCTGATTTGGTTACATTTTTTCAAGTACACCACTTCCTCATGAATGACTAAAATATGCTGCATTAACACACTTTTGTCTTTCAGTTTACTTTCGGTAATAGTTGTTTTATTCATGTGGAAATGATCTATAGATTCATTTATGTACAGAGAAAAATAATCTAATGATGCTATTTGGAGGCCCCTTAGCTACATGTACCAGGTAGACATCAGTGTTGGTAGTAACAGAATAACTGATATTACATATTCAGAATACAAATAAAAGATATTCAGTTATTGGAAAAGGACTAATCAGATAAAAATAGAGTGACCAGCATGATTCCATAATTGCTGCGTTATTGAAGATGGCTGGCCGTGAAGGGTGGCCTTCATTCTAGCTTGGCACTGACCACCCCGGCCACCTCGGCCACCCCTTGGCTACGCCTCTGAACTTTCGCCAACCACACAAACTTACTCAACACTGTTGATGAATGTCACAAGGATTAACTCGCTGTCTGCTTCGTCACATATGGCGATAGAACTTCCAAAAGCAGCTAAAAATAAGCTACCATGATGTTTCAGCCCCTGAATGAGTTGGTGAAGCTTTCTGTTCTCCTTCCGCTTTTCAAAAATGGAAAGTAGCCTGCCTGCGGGCACCTCTTGCCCGTTTTGTAAGAAGCATTTGAAGACATTTGTCTATTCCCTTTTTTTTTCTTTCCAACCCTGCAAAATAAAACAAAAAAACCTTTGCGTCCGGTATGCATGGCTTTGGTGTGCGAAAAACTGCTTTAGAATATTTCAAACGCTAACTCTTAGTAAAAGAAAAAGTTCAGACATGACTTATTTACCCTTTTTATTCCAGCCTAATTTGAATATCTGATTAACTTAGACGTAGCACACATATACACACAAAATATACATAGCACACATAAAGCACAATTATGTCACCTATAACGTGTCAGTTTTATAAAACAGTGCCTTTTTTAGAGAAATCTTGTTGAAATTAGTTTTAACATGTCTGTATATAAAGCTGTTCCATGCTCTATGATTTTGTTAAAACTGAAAGAAATAGCATCTGGGTCGAAGTTTAGGTCTGTAACGCTAAACTGACGTTATGCTGATGAAGATATGATGACAACAGTAGATATTTCACTCACAATACTTGGAAGACACATCCTTCACTAAGTAAGAGTTCTCTGTGAATAATCTTTCAATGTTCATAATCATCAGATTCATCCGTTCAGGGAAGGGTTCTGAAGCACAACCGACATTACAAAATGTTCTTCCAAGCGTTACGAACATATTTTCACACATGAGGTCTTGAAATCCCCAAAACTTAATTGGTGTAACTTTAATCATACACTAGATGGCCAGAAGTATGTGGACACACCTCTTTTCAGCCACACCCGTTGCTAACAAGTGTATAATATCAAGCACACAGCCATGCAATCTCTATAGACAAGCTCTGCCCTGGTCAACTGTAAGTGCTATCACTGTAAAATGGAAGCATCTTGGAGCAACAACAGATCATATAAGTATGATGGTTAGATGTCCACATATTTTTGGCCATATAGTGTATGACTTTAAAAAGACATGTAATCTAAACATAATGGAAAGTAATCAGATTATGTTACTTTAATATAGTAATGCTTTGGAAAACATTACAGATTACATTTTGAAGAGGTAATTAGTAATATGCACCAGAATACGTTTCAAAGTAACCCTTTCAACACTGGTAGACATTCATAGCATTGCTCGCCATTCAGCAGGGACACCCAACTTTTTATCTTGAGGGGCCAAAGTGCAATGTTTAATGTGACTCCATATTTAGTTACTAAAATACTTTAAATACAATTTTAGAAGGAAAATTACATTTTAATAAGTTTTATATAGTAGAAAACTGTGTTTGTGCTCTTACTGGGTAAGGGGGTGTGGTTAAGAAGACTTTCTGGTGGGCCAGTTCTGTGGGCCACACTTTAGGCAGCCCTGCTGTAGATTATCTGGTGATATTTGAGTCATTCTCTACCCCCTTTTCAGTGGTCAGGTTCTGACCACATAGCTGCTCTTGGTTGGATATTTTTGGGTGATGAAGCACTCTCATTGTACCAGCGACACTGATGTGTGAAAACCCCAGCTGTGCCTGATTACCATGCCTGATACGCCCACTGTACCAGTACCTACCATGTCAGTGCCACTACAGTGCTGAGAACGGACCACCACCCAAACATATCTGCTCCAAGCTCCTGTGGTCAGAAACTGACCAATGATGGAAAGAGGTCACTGACAAATTGTGCATGAAAACATCTGAGCAAAAGTCTGTACCTTTACTTGTACATACCTTTATACATGTACCTTAATATATGTATATAAATACATATTTACATTAGTATTTAATTGGAAAAAAGAGGTCCTGTTTAGTAAAATTGGGTGTTTTTATTCAGGACTGCATGATTTATCTTATTTTTGTCTTTCTTTTTCTTCCCCTTTTAGCTGCCAAGCGACGCGCTCAGATATCAAAAACAAAACAGACTAATTCAAGTGATGAAAAGTAAGTCCACAAAGGCTATGTGTTGGTACTATGGAGAGGAATTTGCTCCAGATTTTTTTTTTGTAGTTACATACAGAGTATGCACCAAAATGTAAAGTAAAACATCAAATGAATGAAAGGATGAATTGGAATTGAATACAATGCACCTTGAAATGTAATCAATGCACAGGATGCTGCTTTCCACTGGGCAGTACTTTAGGTGTACACACTTCATTGAAATGCAACCAAACAGTGAAAAAAGTGAAAGGCCAAAAATGTAAAAGTAAAAAAATTATTACATTGATTTAGCGTTGTTTCCAGTACTGTACAGTATAAAGCAATCTAGCTGTGCATTGATTACATTCCATGGTGGACTGTATTCTTGCACTAAGTATTTCGTTTTATAAATTCAAATGATCACGTATTGTTTTAGTAAAGAGGAAAAGCAGTATGAATACAATATAATAGAGGTTTCGCTTTTCATTTTGGTACATATGCTGTAGGCCACTATAGGAAAGTAATGACGTGTGTATTGCATTACACATTCTTCCACTGAAGTGATTGTGTTAATAGAACATATAATAACTGCAGTTTCTAATAAGTGTTCTAGATATATTGTTTTATCTGATTACTTATCTGATTATTTATCTGATTTTGAAATGCCTGTTTTATTCTTCTGGGGCTGTATTACAGAAACATCCTGAATCTCATCTATTTAGTCACCATGACAATAACAGAGTATTCCTATTTAGATTGAATTTCCTATATACTGTCCTAACTTCTGGTTCAACCTGCTATTTCAACTGTCAGCTGCTCTGTTGAATAGGTAACATCACTACTCTTAGAAAACCGTTACAGACAGGATAACAAATTTACTATAACTAGCATAATCATATTACATTTCTTCTCCTATAACTTTTGAGCTAGAACCACGAACCCTTGTGAGATTGCAGAGCCTCTACCTGAATAGGTTGCTTGTGCTTTTTTTAAACGAATTGACTTATGGTGCTCGTCACCAATTGTTCAAACACCAGTTGTTTTTCCATGAATGTTTCCATGAATGAATGATTTATTTCACTTATATAATATATAATGCTTATACTTCTACCTCTTAATCCACCACAGTCAGTATACATTCTGTAGCCAAATGTTTTTTAAAACTCCTCTTATGTCACCATCATACAAATATGCTAGCAAACCTTAACAACCACCTGGGATAGTATAACAAAAGTCTAGCAAAACCATAACAACCACCTGGGATAGTATAACAATGGCCTAGCAAAACCTTACCAACCACGTGGGATAGTATAACAATGGCCTAGCAAAACCTTAACAACCACCTGGGATAGTATAACAATGGCCTAGCAAACCTTAGCAACCACCTGGGATAGCACAACAATGGCCTAGTAGACCTTAGCAACCACCTGGGATAGTATAACAATGGCCTAGCAAACCTTAGCAACCACCTGGAATAGCATAACAATGGCCTAGCAAAACCTCAACAACCACCGAGGATAGTATAGCACTGGCCCAGCAACAAACAACTGCTTGAGATACCATAGCAATGGCCTAGCAACAAATTAGCAACCAATTAAGCTTCAGATAATAAGTTGACAGAATGTAAAACACAATTTATTGTTAGCAACTTAGCAACCAAGAAACAATCAACAAGCAACACCCTGACAACAGGCCGGAATACCATAGCAATCTTATGGTGTGTCAACTCAGTTGACTGATGTTGCTCTGAGATCTAGAATGATTAAATAGATTTTGAGAAGTTTGTTGAGTTTAGTTTGTGATTTAAACTGAACATTCAATGAACATAAAAATAGAAAAATCATTTTTACATTATTACATGTTTTTAAGGAGGCCCACAATTTGCTGCAAGTCAGAATCAGTTTTTATAGAGTATTGGTTAAGAAACCACTTTCCTGATCCTCTTAAGAGATGATGAAAACACGTGAAATATCCTTTCTTTACTCCCAGGAACGACCTGTTTACAGCACATATAGATGATGAGAAGCCTCCTCCGCTGCCTTCAAGGGATCAGTTCCTCGACGCAGACTCCAGTAAGGATCCACATTTACATTATCCTGCGGTTGAATTGATGGAGATCAAGCCCGCATGAAACTAGCATTTCACTGCTGGTTTTAACTGAAACTCCACTTGCTGTCTGTGCAGAATCACGTTAAAGTGACAATTCAGTGAATAATCAAAATTTGCACAATTCTCCATGTAAAAGTTTTTGCACAACTGGTCAAATTCCATGTTGTGTTCATTTTCTAAGTGAAAATAAGTTTACACATCCTCTATAGAGAACACACTGTTCATCTGAATTTAACATGTGAACATGAAAACTGGCCTGTGCAAAAGTTATGGCACCTGTTAGATTTTTACAGTTTTATTTTCTCCCCAATATATTAAACTTAGCTAATAAACAGTGATATAATGTCATATTAAATGTCATATTTAGGTGTGTTTCCTGTAAATAATGTGTTTTCACTTAGAAAATCAGCAAAACTGGTTATTTGACCAGGGGCACCAATGGCTATAAATCTGCTGATTCAGCCCACTCACACTAAAGTTATGAGTGTTTCAGCTTTGAGTGCTTTTTGAATGAGGCTCAGTACAGGGCTGCCAATCGGAACAGTGCCCATTTACATATGTCAGTCTTAAAGGCACAAAAAAACAGCCTGTTAAATTCTAAAGGACAAAGAGAGACTGGAAAATGGTCATGTACAATAAAAGTTCTGACAATTTATGGTCTTAAAAACAAAGAACTGTAAGTGGATCTCAGGGCAAATAAAATACGAAAGAAAGATGTAGAAGTTCAAGTTAGGTTTTCATGAAGTTATTGCTACAGCTTGTTCTGGGAACTCAGACTGAATGTAAAACAGTTCTGAAAGTGGAACTGATCTCATTCTATTTGTTCAGTTGGACTTCTTGAAAGGACTATGAGTTCCTGAACAGACTCTAAGAACAGTAATAATAATAATCCTTAATTTACCTTAATACATTATTATTATTATTATCATTATGAGAACATCAAAACACCAATACCACTACTAATAATATACTACTAATAACCCTTAATTATTATTATTAATAATAATAATAATAATAATAATAATAATATTGAGTATATAAGTCTGAGTTCCCAGAAAATGCTGTTGCAATAGCCTCATCAAATTGTATTATTGTTATTATTATTACTACTTTTATTGTTATTATATTGTGGATTAAGGAAATATTAAGGATAGTAATTATTTTTAGTAATGATTGTGATAATACAAGCAATAATAACAATAATAATAATAATTATTATTTATCTTATTATTAGTATTGTTGTATGAGAACAGCAAAATGGCAATACTATTACTAATAAAAGTAATCCTTCATTTTTCTTCGGTTCATTGTTATAACAGTTCATTATTATTATCATGATTTAACTATGTTATAACAACCATCATCTTTGCTATTATGACAACACTGATAATAATAACAACAATAATAACAACAACAATACTACTAATATTAAGGTATTTATTAACCCAGTGTGATTTTCCAGGGTCCCACAGTTATGAGGAGATGGACGCCTGTGTGGAACCTGTAAAAGCAGAAGTTCAAACGTCAGCTCCACCACAACCAGCGTTCATCCAGCACTGCGAGACTCAGCCCGACTTAGAGGACGGCAAGAGTGTGTCTGAAAGCTACGACGACGTTGAGCAACTCGACCAAGACGGTGAGGATGAATGTTGTTTGTAGAACGCTCTTTGATCTGTCAGAGAAAGTATCCAGGACAGCCCCTCTGTTGAAAGAGTCTTTCCTCACAGTTCTAAGAATCAAACTGAAACACATTCTGCTTCATTCAGTCTAGATTAGTCACACCCTTATACATTCATTTATGTTTTCGGCATCAGAGAAGTTAATGGAAAATGCATATATAACAGAAATCAGGATGTGCAGCTGTCACGGCGCTGTTACTGAGAAAAGGAAATGAGCAGAAAAGAAGAACACTGGACTGATGAGTCTCTATTTGTAATTGGGATTTTTAGATTGTGAGAAAAGAGAACGCAACCAACTTCTTAGACCTGAAAAATAGCCCTGCAGATTTCTTTCAAAAAAGGAAAGCAAGTTGCTTAAAAGAATATAAAAATATAACGTAATAAAGGCAAATACTGAAAAATATTTAGCTGTTGAGTCTTCTGTGTAATTTTCTGTTGAGTGTTTTCTGCTTTTTTGACACTGAAACATTAATAACTTTTAGACCACAAGGTAGACAGTTTTGACTGGAAACTGAATAAATGAAGGGCGCTCTCTGACTTTCGCTCAGTGCTGCACGAGTCAACTGTGTCAAACACTCACACGATACACCATGTTGCTGTCTTAGTCTAAGAACAGTGCTGATGTCACACATTTGCAACTTGTGGATTCAAAGCACTTTTTTGTTTTTTAGTCTATCACTTAACTGACCAATGGTGTGACAGTATTGATATACGCCGGTATTTCTCACTTTTTGGAGGAAATGTCTTGCTCACCTCACAGGACGCCATGCTAACCTCACAGGACGTCTTGCTAACCTCACAGGATAGCCACCATACAGTGAACTATACTCAAATAAATTTGAAGACTGCACTCTCAGAAATGATGGCTTTGCAAGGGTTCTTTAGTAAAGAAAGTGATTCTATATAGAACCATGAACTCTCAAAGAATCCTCTGCATGGTTAAAGGGTTCTTTGCATGGTGAAAGTGTTCTTCAGACTCATGAAGAATGTGTTTTTTATGGTTCTATATAGAACCTTTTTGCTAAGGGTTCTATACAATTTCAGGCTAGAAACTGCAACAATAGAGGAACCATCTACAGCACATTCTACGTCAATCTGAAAAACCATTTAGCAATGCAAAGAACCCTTTAATTATGCACAGGGTTCTTTGAGTGTTGATGGTTCTATATAGAACCATTTTCTTTACTAAAGAACCCTTGAAGAACCATCATTTTTAAGAGTGTACTTATGAACTAAAATTCTCAAATAGCACTGTATTTGGTCATAATGGAAAAATAAACAACAAAACAATAAACAATAGATTTTTTTTAGATAACAGGAAAACACCAGCTGCCCTTGACATTGTACACAAAAAGTACAATAAAAAAAGAATACAAATTTAAATATTCATGTTAAAATAGTAAAACTATTTGGAAAAATCATACTGCTCTCTAAAATCTTTTAATGGCATGGAAATGGAAGATTATAGGCGACCAGTTACCATTGAGCAAGTAATCCCAAATTGACTTAGGCCGAATGCCTTCCTACTCCCTACTCCCTATTTAGGGCACTATGTAGGTCATGAAATAACAGCTTCTGTCTAAGTAGTGCCTTATATGTCTAATAGAAAGTCATTTGTATTCAGCCATGAGCTCCACAACTCCTTATCTAAAATTCAGTGCTCAACTTGGGTGTAGAAGCCACAGTTTCATGTCCTACGCAGTGCACTATATAGGGAGCCATTTGAGATTCAGCCTTACTTTTGTGGTTTCTCACACTGTAAAAAGGATCTGTAAGAAGATACAAACAAAAAAATATTTTATAGGGATGTAACGATACATATTTTCAGGTATGATACGATTTTCAATCCCAAAGTCTGGATGCAGTTGAATTTTGGGTACTTTGTGTGTGAAATTCTTTATTTTTCTATTCAAGGGAAAGAAAAGTGCACCCAATTAATGAATCCTGCCACACTTGGGAGCATTTTTAATTAATATTGGTTCATTCTTTTTTTTAGTGGGCCAGAGTTACGAGGACGTCGCGTCTCTGCCGGATTATGTGGAGCTCGAAGAAGAGCCCCCTGCCTTACAGCAGGAGCCAGAATTCCACAACGCCCAAACAGACAGTCGAGAAAGCCTCGCTAGCTACGACGACATTGATGTAATCGACGTTGCCAGTGAGGACTATGACGACGTGGGATGAGGGAGGAGATTTCCAGCACTTTTGTATAAAAAATCTGCACAACTGAGAATTCAAATCCATTTTAAGATCTTGCACAGAACTTTGACTCGCCACTTGTCGTTCCCTGATTCGTGTTTGTGATGGAGCAGCACCATGTGCAGCGTGAATATTAATGAAATCACAGGTCTGATCCATCGGGTATCACCATCAAGAGGTGAACACTTCTCAGCTAGAAGACATTTTTGAAGAAGAGCTGAAAATCTATTTGTTATTTCACATTATGTTACTTCCAAAGAGGATGCATGAAGATTGATCAGGATTATCTGGATCACGTATATATATATATGAGATCCTGCAGATACTGAATTATTGCACTTAATATGTTATTTATTGATGATTCCAGCCTCTTCACCACCCTTCATATTTTTAAAACCAGACTGGAAATGCCTTAATGTCAAAAACACTGACATTACACTCAATTGAAAGGCAATAATATATTAAGTTGGCAATTTTAAGTGTACATTGTAGCTATTGGCAGTATTGGACATTTACTGGACTGACATGAGAGTCAGTTCTGCTAATTTACCAAATAACCACATAACGTGTGTTGAGACCAGATTTATCTGTCTTCTTCCTTCTTCCTTCAAATCAGCCTGCTTCTCAATACTACAATTATATTGTTAGCAAACTAAGTCATAACTACAACAGTATCTATTAATCTACATTCAACAACAAATATGCTTTGTATTACTAGCATACAGCCTTACAGTTATGCAGAGCAACTATATAAAACCCATAAGATGATCAGCATCACAACCTTGCTCTTTTTGGGCTCACTTAAGTAATCATTAACTTCTTTTCTGCAATTTGCACTTAAATGTCATGGCTTAAATGATTAATTGGTAGAACAGCTCCCCCAGTGGTGGCCAAGCTTTACTGCACTATGAGGCTGTTTCACTATGGGTTTGTGCTATTTCTTGTGGCATGTTTACATGCATAATGACAAATTTGGTCTGGAAAAATACATTTTTAAAGCAACAACACAACTTCGTGACAAATGTGTATGTGTAATGATTCCAGTTGATACATTATAATGCCTTCATGAAACCCTAATAATAATAATAATAATAATATTCTTTGGAGTGATGCAATAGCACAGAGGTCTTCAAATCTGGACTCTGAACCCATCTTCCAGTCCTGGATTTCGTCAGCACCTGTAGTTAACTGAACTGTTGACGTAACTGACTGGACACCTAGTATCGTACCTACTTGTGCTTACAAAAGCCAGGACTGGAAACCGGTCCAGAACTGAAGTCCTCTGCAGTAGAGGAACCTTTAATTCCCTAAAGAACTTTTCAATGGATGGTTGTAAATGAAATACGCAAGTGTAAAAAACCTCAAAGAGGCTCCATATAATGTGTAGGTTCTCTATAAATGCCATGTTTTTGTGTACCTCCAAGCTAAGAACCATTTAGGAACCTTAATTTTTGAGAATGAACATTTTACCAGAAAAAAAAAACAAACAAAACACAAAGCAACAGTCTGGAATACTTGCACATTTTATATACATTTATTATTATTTTCTTAAAAAAGTAAAAGTACACTTGCCCTGGCTTCAGTCAACCCAGCTCTTTTTTGCAGTAGCTCCACATTAGTGATCACTGTTGCACAACACGACGAAAAAAAGGGCAAGAGCAACAGCGCTGAAAGTTCAGTCCTGCATCAAATCCCATATCCACAGTCCGAGCATCAGTCCGGGTGTTGCAAGCAGCCGGAGGGGGGAACAATGAACCTGCATACGCTGCAGGAGTTCCAGTCTTTTCTTACAGCACAAGAGAAATGAGTCGAAAATAATTCCTCCCCCCCTACCTTTTGCTCTCAGAGTATGTGTCCATGGAGAAGGGGTATGAAGCTTAGCCCCCAAGCCGCTGGCCCTCGCCCCAGGCAAATCCACCTGGACGTTCCTCAGGGAGGGGGTTGTAGTTTGGATCTTCCTCTGGCGTGTCAAAGAGCATTTTACTGTAGAGAGAATAAGGGTGGAGGTTGAGAAGACTAGGCAGCCAAAGTTAAAAAAGTTTTTTCTTTCCATAAAGATTAGTTAAAAGCTTGGGGACATTTCAAAATGTTTTTTTAACAAATGAGCATGTTTTCCATGCCGGTTTGCAAGAACTTAATATATTAAATAGAAAGCTGTTCTTGCCATTTTTGTTTTGCTTAAACTGCAGTACAGGATTTCAAAGCACTACCATGAGAATAATTCAAATCCCTGTTCATTTTATTCCTTTCTTGTGATAAAAGCACTCAAACCTTCTAAGCATTTGAACCACCTTTGGGCCAAAAAAGTTCCAATATGCGCTTTTAACAATAGTTTAGAAAAGAAAAAGCCGTCAAATTAATATTTAGGCCAAATCTGCTCTTCATAGCAATGAAGCAGATTGTTGAAAATAACTGATGTATAATTAAATAGCAATTTCAAACATTTATCAAATAATTACACAATGATGATAGAGAAAAAAAAACATTATTCATATGCTCTTAATACTTCACTCAAATATCTGGTCCAAGGACCTATGATGGCTGATAAATTGTGCATCAATGGGTTACAGATGAGATACAGCCAGTAATTAGAACTCAAAGTGCACCCATATGGTATGTGTTTCTGATAAAATGGCCAATGATACTAGGTACAAAGGTGGTGTAAATGAATGAATGAATGAATGAATGAATGGCTATTATGTGTAGTGTAATCCTATTCAGTGATGGAACACAACTTACAGAAAGGAAGGAGTCCTTAGCCATCTGCCACCACCTGGCTGGTTGGGAAATACATCCTCCAAGAAGAAATACACATGTCCCACTGCGATGCCTATACACATAAGGATGGAATATTAGAAACAATAAACAGCACAAAACTAGTAGCAGTTTACTCGAATACCAGACTATAATATTTCACCCCAAAATTCAACTCTGGCTAGTGGTGACCACTTTCAATGATCTCATTTAAAGAGTGTTAGCAAATATTTATGAAGTTGTTGCTAGTTTGTCGTAGCTTTACCAGTACAACAAGTTTAAAGTAACAGCATTAAGATGCTACACTAAATAGAACATATACCTAAAAGGTCCACGATGATGGAGTTGCCCAGCAGCAGCGAGAATCCCATGAGCACCCATGGCAGGAAAGGGGCTTGGAAGTTGAGAAGGCCAAAGAAATTCATGCGTACGTTGGGGTTGCGTCTGCTCCATACATACACAAGCATGATAGTGAAAGCCTGGCCCAGGAACACAAGGCTCACAAACATGCCAAATATCTACACATTTGTTAAGAAACAAAATCTTAGACATTGTTTGGACAAACTCACTGGCAAAAAGAAACAAGACAGAAAGGAATAAGCTCCACTGGTGGCTCAGATATGTAACAGTGTTTTTGCCAATCCACTTACTTGGCCTAAAACTCAAAGTCATAGTTAAGCAGGGCAGTTAGTTCCGGTCCTGTGGAGCCAGAGTTCAACACAGTTTTGTGATTTCCCATGCTCAAACACACCTGATAAACCTGGGAACAATTAGTGTTTTCCCACCGCACATTCAAAAAACAAAAACTGACCCAAACAGGAATCAACAGAACCTACAGTTTTATTTCTAGCGCAATTTCCACATGCTTGAGACAGCTAGAACTGTCATGATTAACTGCAATTAACTTTTTAATTGTCTTTTGGTCATTTTATACCACTTGAAAGCATCACTATTCTGAGCTTTTGCACTTACAAGAATGCTACAATGACAAAGAAATGTGTAGAATCAAGCAAAGGTTATATTTGTCTCTGTGTGAAAACATGAGCAAAAACACTTGTTCTGTGGAGGCCCATGTTGGCTGTGACCATTATGTGGAGAAAGCATAAGCAAAAAAATTGAAAGTGGTCATTTGTCATGTCATACACAACACTTTGTCTCACCGGCAGTGCTTTGAAAAGGTCAGCGGAAAACTAGGGTTAAAGTTCAATTGAATGTACACATGGTCACTAGAGGTCTGCCATTCCATTCCACTCCCTCAGATGAATGCCACAGTGCAGGGGTGCCCAATCCTGGTCCCGGAGATCTATCACCCTGGAGAGATTAGATCCAGCACAACTGGCTCTAATACTCAGATGCCCCCTGAAAGCCTTATCTACCTGGATCAGGTGTGTTAAATTAGGGCTCAAGCTCAACTCTGCAGGGTGGTAGATCTCCAGGACCAGGACTGGGCACCCCTGCCACAGTGGATAATATCACTGCCACAAGCAAAGACGAGACTGAAGATTTTATTGGCTGTCCAGACAGGAACACCACTGCTTTACTATAAAGAGTGTTTGAGGAATGCCTCCTAATGATACTTTCACCTGCCACTGAATGTAGCTCTGCAGGTCAGATAAATATCACAAAATATTTACATTAAAATATAATAGGTATAGATTTATAGATATAGATTACAATAATTGCCATGTATAATTTAGCTGTTTTATGGCTTTATAAAATCCATCAATGATTCCTTGTCAGATTTTAATGAGTCTTACACTAACTGCCCTTCATTTATGGATTGTGGCATTAACGTCATTAATCTGTTATTGATATCGGTATTGGCTACAACATGGAATTTATTATAGGTCACTGTATCCCAGAAATCCCATTTTGGTACATCCTTACTGATCCCTTCTGGGAAATCAACAAATTGCGCTGGACTCCAGCCACCCAGGACTGGAGCTTAACACATCTTCAGTATAATAAGCCCGATTTAAGCACCAAAAAGGTTAGCCCACATCACTTCCGATAGGAGAACATAAAGGATACAGTCATGAGAAGGCCACCGAAGAGGAACATGAAGACAAAGTCAGCGGTTCTGCCTCTGAAAGAGCCTTCCTCCAGCATTCGACAATATCTGTATCTGTGAGGAACAGTCAAGGACTTTGGCACATATCAACACCTGAAAAAGAATTTAATTAACAACGGAACCGGAAGTTCACATGAAAAAGATCATAACGGCAATAATTCAGTTTGAATAGTTTTTGAAGGATACAAAAATATCATATTGAATAAGAAATTGAAGCCAACTGGACCAAAAAACAGAAAATTGGTCACAAGCCGCCATACCTGCAAAGAAACGTAGAAGAAAGTGCATATTGATTTACCTAAGTTAACATCAACTTCAAAACAAAACTGAATCTGTGGAAACAGAGGCTATAACACTCACCTGGTAGTGCTTTAATATCAAATCTGGATTGAAGTATAGCTGGAAAGGTGTAATAAGTTCTAATTGCTGTGGTGGGAAAGGGAGGTAAACAATCAGATGTGAGTAATCTAAACCCATACTTGAGTTAAAAGGATTGCAACCTAATAAAATGACTCAAGCAGAGGTTAGAAGGCCCCTCCAAAATAATAACTTGAGTAGAAGTACAAAATAAAACAGGTTAAAAGCTACTTAAGTGCTGAGTAACTTCTCAGTACATCCAGTAACTATCAGGATATGAACTGATGTTTGTTAGGCTCTCTTAGCAACAGCAAAGCAGTTCAGGAGGTGACCCAACAGAACAGAATGACATTAAACCCAAACATATATCAGAAACTAATGACCACAATGTAACTCGGTAAAAACGCACACATTTAGTTTTAGTATAACTAGCATTATCATTCACTGAAAATACTCAGGAAAGCACAAATCCATATAAAATATACTCGAGCAACTACATGTAGCTGAGGAAATGTAACGTAGGTTAATTAACTAGCTAACATTTAGTTGCTACCAACCACAAGAAGTTCAATAACAGTCATATTTGAACTGACAGAAGCTTCCAGCAGTTTCTGACAGGTAATTCTCACTCTTAATGATTTGGAAACCCTCAGAATTACTGACAGCGCCGATACTGTCTATTTCTAAACTCCAGAATCAGCCTCAAACAGCTGTCTGTCACAAATTTCTAGTCAAACTTTACCATATATACACTAAATTTGCCCGCTTACAGTCATTATGTCAAGAGGAACAGCTGGCTAACACACTGACTTTATATCTTTAGCTATTTTCGCTATTTTTCGACCACTTTTCCACACAAAAACGTCTCTCTTAGCATAAAACTAAACAGATGAAACCGGTGATTTATATAATCGACTGTCAGTCGCTGTTCTGTTGTAGCTAACTTACAGCTAACTCAGCTAACTGCTGAGCTGCGAGCTAACGACGAAGCTGAAGTATGCTTCTTGTTTGAATTTTCCGTTCCACCTTAAACGCTGCAGCAGTTACTACGGCTCCATTTAAGGTGGAACGGGAAACTCGAATCAGAAGCTGGCCAACGTCTGACTCGCTAGCTAGCTAGCACTGCTAAACTGACTAGAAACGTCAAGTTGCAGTGAGACCGAATGTCAGAAATATCACTACAGCTGGCTTTTTACTCACAACAGCCGCGGTGGTGAGCACACAGGCGGTCGTATATGTCCGTGTAACTACAGGAATCTGTAAATATTCCTGCTGGAATGTCTGGTAAGCCATTTTTGGACCGACTCTTGAAAGGCTTCCGGGACTGTGTCGACACGTCTTTACACAGAGAGGCGCAGAACAGCATCACAGCCTGGTTAAACACTGTAAGTGTCCAAATCTGATTCGCCCTGCTGTTGTGAAGGATGGCATGATGCTATTGGTCCGCGTACACCTTGAAATAGGGAAATTTTGTCAACAGGAAAATGTGGGTCTTGGTGTGTTCTGATGAAAACTCATGTTTATAACAGGTTGGGAGAATCGCCGGGGCGCGTCTCAATTCTCAATTCGACCCCTTTTTCTAGGGTGCTCCAGTCTGAGCCCCATTCCAGAATTACGGAGTTGCCTTAAAGGGGAAGTCCACTGATTTTTAAAATGTTCTGCATAATTTAGTCGTTGTGATGTAAAAACGAAGTCATCCAGAGATTTTTGATGTGAAGTGGTTCATTTGTGGTGAAACTTGCGGACTCAGTGGTGGTGATAGGAACCAGGAGTCACAATGTCTACAACACAAATACAGCACATTTTATTTGCTATCTAACACGTCCAGAAAACCTACAGTTGTCTGAGTTTTTATATGTAATGTTGATGATGGTAAAATTGTGGTAGGTTCATATTCATAATCATTTCATTCTATGAGGGAGCATTTGGAGGCATTCAACTGCTCAGACATCTGGTTCCTCTCACCACCTCTGTGAACAATTCTGACTCGATAAGTTTCTGTAGAACAAAGCATTTTACACCAAACCACTCTGAATGAACTTTGTTTGTATCTTAACCAATCAATTAAAATCAGCGGAGTCCCACTTTAAAGCGAAAGTCGATTGATTTTTAAAATGTTCTGCATAATTCAATCGTTGTGATGTAAACAAAGCTATTTAGATGTGAAATGGTGCAATTATACTGGGGCAGTTTCAACACAGTAATAATAATAATTTTTGTTTTTCACTTTCAGTTTTAAAAATGCATTGAACCTTATTGTCAGTCTCATGTGAAATAATAAATAAATAAATAAATGAATAAATAAATTCAAGGTCAAAATACTGTGAAAGACCCTGTTTAAACTATTTAATTATGCAGAAATGTAGAAAAATTGATTCACACTAGAGCCGGATGATATATCATCCATATATTACTGATGCTGATGCACTGTGATATTTATTTTCAATTGAAACTATGTAGCAATATTTAGCAATATTGATAATGATGTCTCTGTTGCCAAGCGGTTTGCTTTTATTTTTTTATTTCTATTTTGTACACTTTATTAAAGATAACCAGGACCTGACAGTTAATGGCAATGTATGTAATTTTCAGAGTGCTTTAGACTGTCTTTAAAAAGACATTTCAAATCTATGAAAATATAAACAATATTGGTAATGTGATTTGTGTCTGGTAAACGTTTACAATACTGAAGGTGCAGTGTGTAAGATTTGGGGGGATCTATTTGCAGTAATGGAATATAGTATACAAAACCATGTTTTCATTAGTGTACAATCACCTGTAACTACGAATCACTGTGTTTTCGTTATCTTAGAATGAGCCCTTCAGATCTGCTTAGGGAGCAGTTCCTCTTCCAACAGAGGCCGCCTTGTTGCACCGCCATTTTTCTACAGTAGCCCAGAGAGGACAAACTGAACACTGGCTCTAGAGAGTGCCTTTCGTGCCTTCATGCTGGAGCAGCACCCAAATTTGGACACATGGAGGATCATACTTAATTATTTAAACAGTAAACAGCAGGGGAGGGTGAATCCTCGTCATCAAAGAAGTGAAAACATGAAGATGCAAAACAATAGACAAAAGCAGAAAACCTGACGGCCACTGTTGGTACTACACGCTTGGAAAGGAAGGGGTGAGGGAGGAGTATTTAGCCGTCTGCAATATCACCACTAGATGGCACTAAATCTTATACACTTGTCCTTTAAAATTACACTTCATGTAAAACGATTGAGATTGTGTTTCTAAGAAGAAAAAAGATCAAGCCAATCGACAAGGAAAACAAAATTTGAAACATCAGCAGACTTTCCAGCCACTTTAACACATTTAACAGAGGCGACTATTCCAGGATGTGTCTCAAACTGCAACCCCTAGAAACTCAGTTAATTTATCGGCCTACCCACTGCAGAAATGATTGCTCTAGGAACGGCCATCTTCGCCTCCTTCATTTTTTAAAAAAAAATCTCATGTTTAAAAAAAAAATTGACACACGGTACAGAACGTGTACAGAACGTGTTTTGCCGTCAAACATTGTACCGTGTGTCAGTACGAGTAGCAGTAAGAGTAACTGTACATTTATGTGTAAACCTGTCCTGTTACCGTCGTAGGTTAGCTCAGCTATGTTAAACCCAGCACTCCGCCCACTGCACAATATCTCCTCATGTAAACAAGCAGACAACGGCGCACACTCCTGATTTTACAAGCCCAAACTCGGTTTTCCCTGTGCTGAATATCTTCACCCTGGAAGGAGTTTTGCAAAAGGTCAGTTTTTCAGTGACCTAACACGCAGTTTGCGCGTGGACAGAAGACCAAAACGCATAGAAAAAGCCATATTTTAATAAATACCCGTCTACGTGTGCACAAGGCCTCAGAGACCGCACTAAGGCTACTGTAGCTATAGTTACTTCTGCTCTTTATCTAGTAGCTGCCCAACACCAACAACCTGAAACAGCTGGATTGCTGGATTAGCTGCATTACTGAATCTCGGACCTACTTAGTGCCCTACAGAGGGATCAGGGAGTCATTAGGGGCGCAACCCGGCACATTTAGAGTAGTGAACCCCCCACCAGTAGAGGGAGCTGTGCTGGAGGATTTGAAGTGAGAGGAAGAAGAAAAAAAAACAACATTTGCGCGCGGGCTTTGGAGATGACTGAGAGCGGAGAAAACAACGATAATGGTGAGAAACTTTACGGTTTCAATGTTTATATGTGTTTTTCCGTGTCTGTGTCAGGAAACAGCTGTTAAATATGAAACGCCTTTGGTCTCTCCTGTCGGCAGTCCGCAGGTTTCTGGAGAAGCTCGGTCTCCGAGCGAACTTCACTCGGTTCACTGTGGAGTTACAGCTTTGGGCGGGTATTGAGTGCGAAAAGATCCGAGACCCGTCTGACTGTTTAACTTCGGAGCTGCGGCTATTCCACTGTGTCTTTAAAAACACAGTGCAGAGGAGAAAGGTTTCAGACTTTTTAGTCAACGACACCTTTTAACATCCGATATTTGTATCATTCTCGGTACTATTCTGGGATATTTAGTGTCAGGAATTAACGTTAAATGATCTCTCTCTCTCTCTCTGTCTCTCTCTCTCTGTCTCTCTCTCTCTCTCTCTCTCTCTCTCTCTCTCTCTCTCTCTCTCTCTCTCTCTGTCTCTGTTTGTCTCTCTGTCTCTCTCTCTCTCTCTCTCTCTCTCTCTCTCTCTCTTTCTCTGTCTCTGTTTCTCTCTCTCTCTCTCTCTCTCTCTCTGTGTGTGTGTGTGTGTGTGTGTGTGTGTGTGCGTGCGTGTGTGAGTGTGTGTGTGTGTGTGAATATAGGATCTAAACTCATGTCCTTCAGTAAAAGGGCTCCGCACTGCTCTCTCTAGTGGGATCATGGCTAAGGAGAACAGGTTGTCTATAATGGGTTTAATTTTAGTGACGTGGGACCCTAAAACAGTTTTGTTCCATAGAAAAATTGCACATTTGAAACTCACACTGTGTTTCCAAAAAGTATACAGCCCCCTCTTCTAATTAGTTACTGAGATAACACAGCTGTTCAATTGCAGGCCCGCAGCTTTTATAATCTCCACAGAAAAGCATTGCCAATGGAATGGGATGCTCTGGAGCAGCTGGACAGGATCCTAAAGTCACCATGCATGATGTTAAGCGTCAGCTAGAGGGGATTGAAACCCCCCAGCATTGAGCTGTGGTGCAGTGGAAACATGTTCTCTGGAGTGATGGAGCTCGATCCAGTGCCTTAGGGATGAGTTGGAGTGGTGTTTGTGATCCAGAACTAATTCAGGACTACCGAACTAACTAATGCTTGTGGGGCTAAATGCCATCAAAATCTCATAGCAGTGTTCCAGCTTATTGTGTAATGCCTTCCCAGAAGAGTAGAGGCTGTTACTGTAGCAAGGAGGGACAAGCTTCCTATTAATACCAGAGCAGGTGTCCACAAACATTTGGACATTTAATGTAAAATAACTCTGTAGTTCAGTAGTAGTGCTGTTGGTACATGTAGGTTTATGGCTGTTAAATCTCTGATTGTTCAGCTGAACATTTTGAATAAAAATATCAGTATTGGGTGCCAATGTGACAATTAGTCAATCAAACATTAAAAAGGCTGTATCAGTATTTTTTCCTGAGGACAATTCTAAATGTTTGTGTGGGCTTATGCACTAAAAATCAGTCATAATTCCTTTTTTATATGACTATTTTCCAACCACTCTTCATCCTTTAGAATTACACAGGCTGTTTTTGTTTTTGCCTTTAAGTCTGATGAGTCACTCCCCATAACTTCAGCATGGGGTCAAACTACTGTAGGCTGAATATCTGGATAAATGTAAATGCATTGTGTTTTTTGGACATCACAAATGCAATGAATTGAAAAGTAGCTGTTTTGTCAGCTTAGTGTCTGTATATAAACTACGGCCTGGGGAGTAAATTATATGTTTTGGAACAACAGTGTTGATGTACTATATTAAACAGGTATTTTGTTTTGATATATTGTAGTCTGGATTTCTTTGATCAAACAGTCTATATGCAAAATGTGTTGGCAAGTGAGTTATATTTCTCTTCTCCTTTCTTTCACAGTGGGGTCCTTCACCTCGGAGTCCCTCAAGCTGTATGAGGCGCAGTTCTTTGGGTTCACCCCACAGACCTGCATGATGAGGGTGAATAGCGCCTTCCAGGACTGCTTGTACGAGATGCTGGTGGTCGTGGAGTCTGTGTTCGTGCGGAAACTGTCCCAAGGGAAAGATCCACCGGAGGAGCTTCAGCTCAAAACCCGAGAATGCACCCAGAAACTGCTCCGCTTCCTGCAGGAGCGCTTTAGGAAGCTGTCGAGTCGCATGGAAACTCTGCTGGTGAATAGCGTGCTCTCGATCCCTGAAAACGTCCTGCTGCCTGAAGACGAGCCCCACCGGAAGTATCCACAAAGCCAGGAACAGCTTTTGAAGCTGGAAAGTTCGATTGCCGACCTGCAGCGGTCTTACCAGGCAGAAGCGTGCGCCAAACAAGCACTCCTGGCTGAACTGGAGGAGCAAAGAGAGACTCAGGAACAGCTGGAGGAGGTGCTGAGATGGATTGAGGAGCTGCGGCTGTCTTGGAAGCGTGAAGGCATGGGCAACGTCCATGACAGTTTCCGGCATATGATTGAGACTGTGAACCAGCTGCAGAGTGTTATGGGGAAGATCAGAAAGAAGAGCAAATCACTAGATGAAGTGTGAGAGTTCACTGTGAAGGGCTGTCAAAATCATGAAATTTTATCTAATGATAAATCTACATATAAATAGTTGCAATTAACAGTGTAATTGTATGTGAAATGGTTATGAATACACCGCCTGATGTCCAAAACATTGTTTTACAATAGGTTTGTGGTACAGTTTTGGCTTAAAATGTTTTTGCGTCCATTTATTTTAATCCGTTCACAGTGGAGGGATACATGCAGGGCGTTGTAAGGCAATATAGTCAGCAAAAAACCCTTATTTTTAGATTTATGACCACCATCATCAACGTTACATATAAAAAGTCAAAAGACACATGTAGGTTCACTGGTGCTTTTGGAAAGTAAATAGAATGGCTGTATTTGTGTTGTAGACATAGTGACCCCTGGTTCCTATCACCACCACTGTGAAGAAATCTGAGTTTCTCTGCAGTGAACCGTTTCACATCAAACTACTCTGGATGATTTGCATTTCAAGGACTGAATAATTCAGAAATTTTGATCTGCTTCTTGTGCAACGACACTGTCCATCCACAAGAGGGAGCCCTGGTGCCCAGTCTATTTTTGCCACTTCTTCAGACAGGAAATCGTACTTGGGAACGCAATGAGCTGTCAGTGTCAAAGTATTGCATTTGTAAGCAAGGACGTTCCTCGCTGACATCTGAAATGCGGTCAAGCAATATTGCCCAATCCGCCCCCCCAACATTCATTGGTTATTCCGAGGCCATGCTCGCTGTGGAATCTGTTACTTTGATGTTTGGTGCAATGAGATCTGCACCAGATGAGAGTGAATTTCCCACAGACCCAAACCTATGGGCTTTCTTTTTTGTTCACAGTCAGAGGGCTCAAGGTCTGAATATGGGCCAGTTCTATTTGACTATTCTTTTCCCTGTAGCCTGAGGGAAAGCATTTTGTAATGCAACTGTAGATACTTTTATTGGATGTGCTTGTTAACTGACGATTTAGCTTTGGTAAAATCACACTCCAATTTTTAAATTGTCAGTTTCAGTTAGGAATGAAAGATTAATCATTTTTTATCGAAATCGCAAATTGAAACAGTAAAATTTTTTTCATCGTCTACTATCAACAATGATGATATGTTGCAAGTTTTAATTAAGGAAGTTTAACGTAACGTGGAGCTTGTGAACTGCTTTTAGATGAATTTGACTAATTAAAAGCAACCACACATCCATGTGCTGTGACATCACAGCCACAAATAACTGGCAGGCTGGCACACTATGTTAAACATTCAAGCCTCAAGCCAGAAAAAGTATGATTTGATTGGCCAAAAAAAGCCCATACCTCAATTTATAGAAAACGTTCGCAATTAAATCGCAGTGTTGGTTTAGAGAAATCGCAAGTAGATATTTTGCCAAAATTGTTCAGCCCTGGTTTCAGTGACTGTTCTAAACTCAATAAATTGCTTATCAAATTTAATTGTTACTTTTTCTCACTTTTTTCCTACTTCCTGTACTCTGTAAACATTCTTAAAGTTTAAAAACATGCTGTGCACTCTCCAGTCAATTTAATACATATTAGAAAACTAAGCTGCCAACAGCTAGTTTGCTTTGTTTTTGTGATACCATGAAAACCAATGCAGTTACAGATATCCATCTATTCAGCTACAGCAGCTGAGCCTCAGCCATTAACACTGATGTTATAAGGAGTGTTTCATCCTGAACTGCATTTTGTGCAGAGGGACATTACAAGGCAGCCAATCAGAACAGAGTCATTTCCATATATCTGTCTTAAAGGCACAGTAACGAAAACTTCCTGTTTATTTCCATTGAGATAAAGAGGGGTTGAAAACGGTCATGGAAAAATTAGTTAAAATGAGATAAAATATAGAAAAAATGTATCATTAGAGCCTTTCAAAGATATAAGTAGAAGCCAAAGGGCAGATGCTGAAGCAGCATTTCGACTTTATGGATTTTCTGTTTTCTGTTTTATCATGTACAGGGAAAAACAACGGTGTTATTGTCTATGATAACTAACCATACAAGACAGATGCAGCAAATAGAGATGAAGGTGAAAGATTCTAGGGTATTCTTTTAAGCTATTGTGAAAAGATTTAAGGAATTCAAAGTTATTATAGTATAATTCTTGTAATTGGAGATGGTACTGTAATACTAATCAGAATATTCATCAAAATTATTAACTGCTCAATGATTCTGTACCTAGTAACTCAGAAATAAATCCATGCGCTACACATAAGGACAAGAAAAGATTTGTGGCCGGTATGTCTTTACATCAAGGCTGGATACAAACAGAATGAATAACACCATGATCAATGAAACTGTAAGACGGAGAGCAGTGGATTTGGACTTGCTGGGCTTGCTTAGAGAGATCGAGGGAAGGAGGGGGTGGGCGCAGTAAGGGGCCGGGTGGAGCGAACGACAGAAGCCCCCCCCAGTTAGCAGCCTGGCTGTCTGTCTTTCTCTTTCATCTCTCTCATTAAAGACCCAGCCAGAGCAGCAGGGGCTTGCTCGCTACCAGCTTTTTTGGATAGAGGTGTCGCAGTTCGGACAGCTTGCCAAACACACAAAACGCACACAAACTGCCACCACCTTCAGTCAGATTATCAGGTCCACTGATAAAAAATCCTTATCTTCACACGCAGTCACATCACTAGTGGGCTACAAGTGAGGGGCTCAGGTTGAGCTTAAAAATAGCATGGCTGGTGATGAGAGAATGGAGATGGAGGTGACAGAAGATAGAGATAATGTGGCTACATTTAGTGTCTGGTGATTAAAGTAATAGCTTGGTGAAAGATTATCGCAGCTTTTCCTTTATCAAGACATATTTGGTGTCCCAAGTTTGTTTCTTTTAGTTTTGCATTGGAGCTGCGAGGCTAATGTAGCTAACAACTAATTCAAGCTAATAGTCACCAATTAGCATTGTACTGCCTGCATACCTACGTCACAAACACTTGCCTCAAACTGTGTCGAGTTGATAAGCAAGTCTATTTGAGATTACTTATGTGGTTTCTGATACTCTATAACATACTGTTATCTATCAAAATGGACAAAAGTCAGTCCCACGACTAAAACTAGTACTAGCAGTCATCTTGAAGTCTGAATTTTGTCCATTTCTGTAGAATTTTGTTGTTCCGTTACTTGTTAGCTAGCCTCATAGCTCCAGTCTAACCAAATAAGAGATATTATAAAGGAGGAGGATACAATTTGCTGGGTGGAAAATTAATAGGATAGGTCATTACATTTAACATGGCAGCTATGTTGTGGGACATCCTGCATTTCTGTAAAAAAATAAATTAATTAATAAAAAAAAAGGTTGTCAGTAAAAGCATAACCTAGAAGAGCTGTTCTTTGTTAGAAATCTGCTGTCAAAAAAAAAAAATTATCTCTATTTTTGTTAATTTTTTATCTTTCTACATCGTTTAAACACAGCACATCCTTCTTATTGGGTGGAACTTTGATAGTGAATGGACCAACAGAAATGCAACAGAAGAAAAACTATTTACATTAAATTAAAGGTTACAAATGTTGAAAAAGAGAAAAGTTACTATTTTAGAGAGGCGTGGGTTGTGGATTTTTTTTGCTTTTTTTTTTGGACAGTGACAGTATGTGAGATGTGCATCTGTAGCAACCGGAAAAATCCGAAAAAATAAATAAATAAACAAAAAAAGAGAGCTTTCAGTTTCAAGCTTGCAGGCCTCTCTCCATTCAAATAGATAGCAGTCTGGTATCATATGACCGGAAGTAACTGCCCGGGGATGTTGCCAACATAGCAGTTGAGTGAATAGATGTTCCTATAATAGATGTTCCTCTACTTTGACTAAACAAAACTAAAGAAACAAACCTCAGAGGGCAAACTTTTCTTGGCTACATTTGGGGTGAGGGGGTATAAATTTTACTTTTGGGGTCAAACTATTCCTTTAAGGTCAAGAGAGATTGGCATGCAGCAGAACCCACATAAGATATCACACTCACATATGGTGGTTTTTGCCTCATAGACTGCATTTTGGCATCTTACCCTGGACAAGTAGGAAAGACATCATGTTTGACTTTCAGGGTCACCCCAGTCTTTCTGTTTCCACCCATAATTCATAAAAATGCTATCAAAATTCAAACTGTAGTCCACTGACTGCTATCGATTGCTGTTGCTTGAAACTTGGTTAGTACTGCTAAATACAACTCGTATTCATGAAATTTAGAGGAAACACATGGAGCATGAGATAAATTAGCCTACTCTGACACTTTTGGAACAAATCACTTGTATTAAGTAGCTGTGCTACACTCATTTGGTTCAGCCTACTATAAGCCACTTGCTATGGGTGATAAATAAAATATGCCCCACTGCCTTGAGAACCATCAACTCTGCCTGTGCAAGACCATCCAAGAGCGTAAGATGTTAGTTCAAAGCCTTCAGCAATTTTTTATTCTCTGTACTGGAGATGCAGCGTCTGAGAGAGAACGGACTGCGTTCCTGGGCAAATCTCAAAGCACAGGAAGAGATATTCCTCAGCAATTATGACTTGAAGTTGCTCTTTAGTTTCTCTGATTCAATAAAATAGTGACTTAAGATAAATTCGGAATGTCAGAGACCAGTCGTCAAATGTCACATCTTACGATCAATATGGACTCTTGAAGCATCACGCGGCTATTTTATAGTGGCGCCATATGTAGCCAGACTCAATCAATAATGCATATAGATTTTGTGTGTATTTTAAGTAGGGTCCGGATGGCCATAATTAAGGCATGGAACAAACCTGTTGATACCAGTGCAATCTGTTCTTCATAGCCGTGTTTTCAGTTGCTGCCTCATCAGTATTGAAAAAGGAACTCGGAGTTTAGGAGTTGCTGGAATGGTTCAAAAGAGGAGGTCTTGAGGTTTTGGATACTCAGATCGGTTAGGAAATATAGTGATGGCATGATACTATACCACACCGATACTAAAACCTTGAGTATCGACTGATACCAATACCTATCTGATAACTTTTTTCTTTAAAACTACTAAGCTTTAAAGCAGGCATGTCAGACTTGGGACCTTCTGGGCCAAAGTGCTGCAGTGATTAGCGTTTACCCTCATCTAAAACTCTGAATTCAGTTCATGAAGGCCTTGCTAATTAGCTGAATCAGGTGTGTTTAATGAGGCAGTGTGCTGAAGTCTGCAGTGATTTGGCCTGCGAGGACTGGAGGCTGACACACATGCTTTAAAGGGCCATTCCAGCCTAAAACTAGTATGTAGTATAAGTTGAGGTATGTAATATTCTGTAGCGCCGCATTACATCCCTTCAACACAATTTAGCAGAATGTATGATTTTATATCTATTTTGTTTTTGTCCAGCATTGTGTCACTATAATTCCCAGCATGCATTACACAAATACGGCATACAACAACAGGAAATCCCCCCCCCATTGGTAATAACATTAACTTGACTGCTAGCATAGCCACTAATGTAGAGATTAATAAATACATGTGATATTTTGTTAGCAGAAACATTAGTTTGTAGTTTTCCAAAGTTCCACCCACCTTCAAGATGCATCATCTGAAGAGGGTTTTCCTGGTCTTTAAATGGGATAATTCTGGCACTGCTGTGAGATGCTAGTAAGCATGTTTACAACAGTGGTTGAATTTTTCATTTTAAAGTGCATTGCCAACAACACAACCTTGTCTTTAAGTACTAGTTTCCTAGACATGAATTAAGCCTAATCTTGATCTTGCGCTGTACTATATTATTTTATTTGTAGTCAAAACAGCCAGTAAGTAATACCATTCTGTGAGGTTAGCAAGATGTTTCCTCCAGAACGTGAGAATTACCATCACGTGTCATTACCGTCACACCATTGGTTACAGAAGTGATAGACTGAACACAAAAAGTGCATTGAATTCACAAGTGTCAAATGTGTGACATCAACACTGTTCTTAGACTAAAACAGCAGCGTGTTGGATTGTGAATGTTTCACACAACTGAATCATGTACAGTATTGTGCGAAAGTCAGAGTGTGCTTCATTACATTTACAGTCAAAACTGTTGAGTATGAGTTATTAATGCTTCAGTGTCAAAAAAGGAAAAAACACGTATTTAATAGAAAATTACACAGAAGCCTCAACAACTAAATGAATATCTTTTTTCAGTGTGTAGTGTGTCCACTCTTTGCCTTCCATTCTTTTCAGGACACTCGCTTTCAGTTTTTCAAAGAAATCAGCAGGGACACAAACTGTGCAGCAACAGATGAGCTATCATCCCTGACTTTACCTCCACAAGGTGGACCAACAGGATAGGAGTGTCTAATATAGTGGACAGTGAGTGTGTTTAAAACTCCAGTAGCACTGCTGTGTGCACTAACATGCCACCACCACGTCAGTGTCACTGCATTGCTGAGAATGATCCACCACCCAAATAATACCTGCTCTGTGGTGGTCCTGTGGGGCACCTGACCATTGAAGAACAGCGTAAAAGGGGGTTAACATAGTAAAAACAGGTGGACTACAGTCTGTAATTGTAGAACTGCAGTGTGCACCTATATGGTAAGTGGAGTTGATAAAATAGGCATTAAACGTAGATACAAGGAGATGTTCCTAATAAGCGTTCAGGCAGTGTATGTACAAGCAATTCTGTGGTATTTCAGGCTGGATTTGTAACAGAATCCAATTAGATTCATACTTTTTCCCCTTCAATATCCAAAGCAGCATTTTCTGCTCGTCCCAATAGCAACACTGAGTGTCAGTTTGGTGCCATCTCTATAGAAATGTACTCCTCAGGCTTTTAGCTCCTTGGAGGAACTTGCAAACCTCTCAGTGATTGACAATACAGCCCCGAACCCGAAGACATTTCTAGGTTCAGGGGATTTGAAACATCCATTGGCAGAACCGATAAAAGAAAACATGAGCAGCTCTATTCACGTGCTTTTTACATTATCGATTTCCACAAAGAACACACCCTCCGCAGCTCCCGCGCTAAAGATATCCAGAGTGCCTTTTCAGTAATGAAACACTTCTCGGTGTCTATTGAGGATCCTTTTTTTGTGGCTGCCTGATCAGAGGTCTTTGTTCAGTGGCACTTGGCCTTTGAGATCAAGCTGTGAGCTTTGATTGGCCTGACCAAGCGCTCCTCTCCAGGGTGCATAAGAGGATACTGGTGTGCTGCTAATGATTCTACTGGGATGTGAAGCACGGTGGAGGTTAAGAGTGTGGTTCCAAATGCACACTTTAGTCGACTATTGAGAACAGAATGGAGAATTCTAGTTTTAACAATCTGATAATTGATGCAATATTTAAAATGAAGCGGAAAGGATTCATCAGACAGGCATAGAAGAACTTCTTTTGGTACCGTAAAAAACCTCTCAGTGGATGCTTCTTTGAAGAACCAGTTTTTTTAAAATGAGATATGACTGTAAAGAGCCTTTTTAAAGTTCAAAGAACTTCTGTATAATATAAAGGTTCTATATCAAATAATGATTTTTCCTAGAACCATATGTTCAAGCCAAGAACCATTTGGGAACCTTTATTTTATATATGCATATGTATGCATGTGATGGCACACATTAACTGAATTCTATGTTAAAATTCTGCATTTTAAGAAGTTATTAAAAACCATTGCGCTGTTCATGGAGTAATCTTTCACAGTAATTGGCACCCAGTATACTGTAAATGAATTACAATGCTTGGTATTTATTGCAATTTAATCACTCATTGCTTTATGCTCATATTCTTGGGGATTGACATGAAGAAGTTTGCGCACACCAGAAACCTCTTAAACCCATACAAATGTGAATTCCTTGGGAAACTCTTTCCCTGTGCTATGAAAACCTTTGTTCAGTTTCTTAGCTATTAGAGAGTAAGAAAAACACATTCGTGGAATGTACTTTCTCCCAAATGGCCTCATCATTTCTATCATCAAGACACCATTCCTCAATCAGAAATATTCCCGGCACCTCGAGCATCCTTATTAACATAAATCTCGGAATGTAGATGAGTTCATAGAAGCATTTCCACTATGCGCCCATCCCCTGGTCCTCTGGGCATGAGCAACAAGAACTCTTTGGGGGAGGGGAACCAGTCTTGGCATGGCGTTGGGGACAGCTGGTGACAGACTGTTTGTTCTTCTTTGGGATGGCAGCCCAGCACAGTCAGGGAGAGGTCACCTTCTCTTTAGCCGGAGCTCTTCAAGAGCCTCAGAATCCTTTGTGTACCTACAGCAGTGGATTCGCAACTGCTAGCATCTTTGCATTAGCCGCTTATGAATTGCTTTATAATCTTTTTGGAAAATAGCAGAAAATAGTGGATATATTCTGTCATATTTACCTCAGTGGTGTGTATGTACAGTGTTCGATAAAATGGAAAATTACTTGAATGTTGTTTATCAAATCCCACTAGCAATTGTTAGCAACTGAACAGGACTGCATGATAAGAATTCTTTGTGTACCTTCAGCAGTGGGTTTACAACTGCTAGCATATTTGTATTAGCCGCTCAAGAATTTTTCATTTACTTATTTTGGGAGCTAGTGGAAACAAAAAATAAATATATAAAAATTTATGTCAGTATTGTACATGTTCGATGTTCAATAAAATGGAAATGAACAGAGTTGTATAAATCAAATTGCATTAGCAACATCGCTAACAATCTGTGTGATTCTTTGTATACCTACAGCAGTGAGTTCTCAACTGCTAGCATCAGCTGCTTATGGTGTCATTTTTTGTGTATATATTCTATTTCAGTTACGTCAGTATCACACGTGCACACACATCTTCTAAGCCGCTTATCCTTCTGGGTTACGGGGGGAGTTGGAGCCTATCCCAGCAGTCATTGGATGGAAGGCAGAATACACCCTGAACAGGTCACCAGTCGATCGCAGTCAGGCACACTCACACTCACACCTAGGGGCAGTTTAGCGTGTCCAACTGGCCTGACTGCAAGTCTTTGGACTGTGGGAGGAAACCCACGTAGACACGGGGAGAACATGCAAACTACACAGAAAGGACCCTGGTCACCCGGCCAGGGAATCGAAACCAGGCTCTTTTCGCTGTGGTGCGACAGCGCTACCCACTGCGACACAGTACCGCCCTCATATGTGCACAGTGTTGGATAAAATTGCTAGCATCAGAACAAGATGCATTCATGGTGCAAGCCAGATTTTTGCACATATAATCACAGAAATGTAATCTATATGTGTAAAATATCACAAATATGTGAAATTGACTGTTGTTGAGGACGCTACTGTGATCATAATTTCTCAAGAGAAATGCAAAAACACAGAAAGCAAAGCCGGTCATCAGACAGTATCTCAAAAAGTCAAAAGTTTCTTGAAAGCTAATAGGACTTGCACCAGTTCAATGACCTGTTGTGCCAGCTTGCAAAAACAAAGGTGTAATCAGAGGCCACATAAAGGTCATCCCCCTATAGCCCGGATAATGACTGTGATGACAATCCAGTAGGGCTACTGTACATAAGGCCCAAAACAATACCGTTTGAAAGGGCTGTATTGTAACCTGCTTATGGGATGTATAGACCAAATGAATGCGTTTAGATAAAAAGCCCAGCTTTATTGTCTTTCCCTGTGCAATCTATTCTAATGTCTTGTGGAGACTGAGTCATGTGGAAATTTAATGAATACATCGCAGCTGCGCATAGGCCTCAGTACATGTTGCCCGGTCAGGGATTTTTTCACAATAGGTGGCACATATGCATTGGGTTTTGGCCAGGTATAAAAGTAAGGGTTAATCCATGCACAGTGTGAGTTCGCCAGCTGGAAGCTGTTCTGACCTACCAAAACCAACAATCATGATGGGCAAGGTAAGCACCACAGAAGAGGCACGAATAGAATCTTTGAAAAACGTGAACAAACACTATTGCAAATGCACTGTTCACTGTGGCTAACACTTTTTGCCCCTCGCAGATCATCTTCTACGAGGACAGGAACTTCCAGGGACGTTCCTATGAGTGCAGCAGCGACTGCTCCGATATGTCCCCCTACCTGAGCTGCTGCCACTCCTGCAGGGTGGAGAGCGGCTGCTTCATGGTCTATGACCGCCCCAACTACATGGGCAACCAGTACTTCATCAGGAGGGGTGACTACAATGACTACATGAATACATGGGGAATGAGTGATTGGATCAGATCTTGCCGCATGATCCCTATGGTATGATAAATATGCTCTGCCATAGCATAAAACAGTGGTTCTTAATCCTAGTCCTAGTGTAGTCCTGTCCTGTACTTTTGAATGTATTTCTTGCTCTAACATAAGCACTTCAATCTAGGACGGGCTTGTTAATGATCTAATTAGTCTGTATTGAAGCCATCAGCCCCTTATCCCAAATGTAGTCAATCAGCCAAAACATGTTTGGGATCTGAAATCTGCTTCATGCATTTTGTACTAGTGCTACCAGGCTAGTAGCTAACAAGCAATGGAAGCTTTCACATGAATAGCCAAATGTTATCACTGTGCAAACTGCATGCCTAAATCATCATACGCTTGCCTCAAATGTGTGAAGTTACTTTTATCTTGTTTCTGACACTGCATGACATACTGTTAGCTATAAAATGGGCTTCAAGATGCAACTGTTTTAGCAATGCTACATACTTTTGTCTGTTCATATAGACAACAGTAAGTTATACGCTGCCAGAAACCACATAATCAATCCTATTTGAGATTACTAAACATCTGAGTGTGGTTTGAGGGAAGTGTATGATGATTTAGACAGTTTACTCAACGCTCAACTGGTGGCTATAAACTTTCATTGCTTCTCAGCTATGTTAGCCTTGTAGCTCCAGAACTGAAGAAGCGAATTTCAAACATCAAAAATGTTTTGTCTGGTTGTGTAAAATTTTTGGCTGGACCATTTCTTCAAAACAGGGAAAACAGCATTTTCACTGCCAAAAAAAAGCAAAAAAAAGACCATGTTGTTACTTCAAAACTGATTCTTCATGTGTCTTCCTACAACAGTACAGAGGATCCTACAGAATCAGGATCTACGAGCGGGAGAACTTCTTGGGTCAGATGATGGAGTTGACCGATGACTGCGACTCCATCATGGACCGCTACAACTGGTCCAACGGCTGCATGTCCTGCCATGTGATGGAGGGGCACTGGCTCATGTATGAGGAGGCCCACTACAGAGGCAGGATGTGGTACTTCAGGCCTGGAGAGTACAGGAGCTTCAGGGAGATAGGCATGCCTGGCATGAGGTTTATGAGCATGAGGCGTATCCTGGATTCCTGGTATTAAAAAATCATCTAGTTAACATCTGTACATAGAGAGGCAAATATTGAATAAAACCTGCCTAAAATCATCACATTGTATTTGTCTTCTTGGAAAACCTGTAAAAAAAAAGCAGTGCTTTTTTTATCTATTTAGCCTACAACAGTTTTAGCCTCACCCATTCATGCTCAGAACAGATCAGAACAGAGGTCATTTAGATGTATCAGTCTTAAAGTCACAGTGACAAAAACAGTCCTGTTTCATTCTAAGGGAAAAGTTGGAAGATAGTCATGCAAAAACAAAGTATGACTGTTTATGGTACATAAATCACATAAACACAAATATATATACATACATACATACATACATATATATAATAGAGATTTATTTAGTATTAATATTATTATAAATATTCTTTTTTATTGTTCATTGGTTAGATTAAGATGAAAATTAACTAAGATTAACTATTCGATTTAAAGAATGATAAATATACAGTTGGGTCCATAAGTGTTTGGACAGTGACACAATATTTGTGATTTTGAATTTTGCCTCTGTATACCACCACAATAGATTTGAAATTAAGCAGTCAAGATGTGAGTGAAGTGTAGATTTGCAGCTTTTATTCAAGGGGTTTAACAAAAATATTGCATTAACTATTTAGGAATTATTTGCCAGGACTATATTGTAGCCACCTTCAGTTGATACTTTTTTGTGGGTCACATTTAAGAACATTCAATTTCTTTGCCTTAAGAAGCTCTTGGGTTGCTTTCGTGATATGTTTCGGCATCATTATCCATTTGTACTGTGAATTTTCAGAATTCGTCCTGCTACTTCTATCAGCAGTCATGTCATCAATAAACACCAGTGACCCAATTCCACTGGAAGCCATACATGCCATGTCATAATACTACCTCCACCATGTTTGACAGATGATGTGATATGCTTTGGATCACAAGCCCTACTTTCCTTCTCCATGCTCTTCTTTCTTGGTTTCATTTGATCAAAGAATCTTGTTCCAGAACTGGGCAGGCTTTTTTAGATGTTTTCTAGCAAAATCTAATCTGGCCTTTCTGTTCTTGAGTGTTACCGGTGGTTTGCATCTTGAGGTAAATCCTCTGTATTTATATTCATGAAGGCATTTCTTGGTTGTAGACTCTGACATGATATGCCAACCTCCTCTATATAGACCATTATGATGGGTCTTCACCATGGAAAGAATTCTGTTATCATCTACTTCAGTTGTCTTCCATGGTCTTCCAGGCCTTTTGGTGTTGCTGAGCTCACCAGTGAGTTCCTTCAACCAAATTGTTGATTTGGCTACTCCTAAAGTTTCTGCTTTCTGATAGGTCTGTTTAGTTTTTTCTGTCACATGTATCAACACCTCATTGGAATGCAAATTGAGCTCCCATGACTGCTACTAAATGCACATCCAACACTGCTTATGAGTCTGTCCAATTACTTTTGAATCTGTGAAAGTGGAGGGACTATGTAAAAAATGGCTGTAATTCCTAATCAGTTAATGCAATATTTTTGTTAAACCCCTTGAATTAAAGCTGAAAGTCTACACTTTAATCACTTATTGATTGCTTCATTTCAAATCCACCGTGGTGGTGTACAGAAGCAAAATTATGTCACTGTCCAAATACTTATGGAACTTATTATAGGTACCGTGTTTTATGGTATAAAGTGACGAGTGTTTTAAACTTGGTCTTGAAATCTGAAGTTTTCCGTTACGCTTGTTGATGTTGCAATTACATTTTTTTTATAGTTTTCGTCTATGGTCATTATCACAGAGACATCAAAAGGCTTTACTGCACCACTTTACCTGAATTCACACTTCATTAAGCTAACATCTATGGCCAGTTTTAGCTTACGGTGGCTATTTATATGCAGTTCATTTCTTTGCTTCAGGCTTAATAATGATTTGGTGCCACTGGCCAAATCCTCAAAGCCGATGCGCTTCTCCTGTCCCAGATGAAAATCGAAAATCCTCTTTTTTAAAATTTATATATTATTTTTTTTGCCTGCTCTCCTCAGCATGTCTGCATTCTTCTCATTCAGGCCTGTTCCTGTCTGGGATGTTGCTTTGGTGCTCTATAGGCGCACCTCTACCCTTCCCCAACAATAGAACAGCGGGACTGGCGCTCAGAGCAGCTGTCAGGAACAGCTCTTATGTGCCACAGACCCTTTCTCCTATCTGCCACTCACTGCGGATGGTCCGGAGCGACGTCCCGCTGCCCAATTAGCCCCCCCTTCAGATGTAACAAAAGACCCCTTAATGGCAACTCTCTTGGCCCTGTTCCAAATGCGATCGTACAATGCGGTGCAAGGCTAAAAACAGGGGTCTTCACAAATGTCTACTCAGGAAAGGGCCTCCTACGTGTTCAAAGCCACTTACCTAGAATGGGGAAAATTAGTACAGGATGAATGGCACAAAGCAAGTGCAATTTTTGGGCAAGGTGGGGTGCAGGGGGGGATTCAAATGACCAGAGAAAAATCATAATTACCCAATTTTCCCCTCTTACCCGAAATGTAGTCGATCAACACAGACAAGTTTGCTGTCTGAAGCTTCTTTAGTTTTGCTACTGCAAAGATGTTATTAAGGAATGTAGCAGGGTGTTCAGTAATCTAACATAGACTTACTTCTGTGGTTTCTGACATACTCGTAGGTTTACAGATGGACAAAAATATGTTGCATGGCTAAAAATAGTCTTAGTTCATAAAGTTCATTTTAGGCTTCGAGAATCTTTAAAATTGTACTTTTTCCCTTGATTTTTTTTTGACAAAAAACCTTCAGAAAGTGTTATTTTCCCACCTCAGTTTGTCAAATTAGACACTAACTGGATATTTTTTTGTGAAATGTACAGCATTTTCTGCAACCCTGTTACCAAATATTTGAGAGATGTATAAATGGCATTTAAAAGCCATTAAATGTTAATTGAACTCTCTTTCTTGCAAGAAATGCAGATCGTAATTAAATGCTTTTGGAACCTTTCAAATAAATAATCAAAATCCAAAGTTTTCTTGTGTTTTCCATATGTTTGTATTTATTACTTCAAAGCCTTTACAGTTTTTTTATTACTAAACAAAAATAGCACAATTTTTCTTGTATTAGTAATAGACAAGAATACTTACTTGTCTGATGGTCATTCATCAGAAAACAACAAGATGATGTCCTGTTTATATCATAATAAATGGAATGTTCCATTTTTTTATGGGGAAAAAGAAGGTTTGGGTAACAGGGTTGAGGGACACAGGCTAAAATGACTTTTTAAAATGAAATTTGTTCGATGACCAAGGTGAGTTAATGCAAGCGTGGTTGTATTTATAGCCTGTAGATTAGTGGCTAGGCTAGCAGTCATGATTGGTTGACACCGCTGGGATTCCCTATGGTTGTGTGAGGTATTTGCGTAACACATGCTGGGTACTGTTGTGAGAAAACACTGATGAACAGGAACATGAATGTGATATGTAAAATTGTGAATTCTATCTAACTGATTGCCAAAGACTATAAGGCGCCACAAAATACTGCAATGACAAAAAACACATAAAACTCTACTTTTAGGCCAGAATTCCACTTTAAGAACAAACAATGAGTACAGTGTTTTTTTAATAATCAAACAACTGAAGTAAGTCGTTACTGTAAAACTTACAGTAGCAAACCTTAAAAACAATAAAAAAAGCTTTTCTCCAGAGAAAATCTTTTAAATAAATAATCTTACTTAGTGAAAAACAATAAACAGAGTTTAATCTTAAAACCCAGCTGTTAAATGAACCGAAATGGTTTAATTAGTTTGTTTTCATTGCTTCCTTTGATTATTATTGCAATTTGCACAGCTGAATTAAGGGGCAATTCTAAATTATTACACCAGTTGAATCATTTCAGTAAACAACAACTGTAATTTAGAAATAATGTGCTTAAAAATGAAGGGCGGAATGTTGTTATCCTCACTGTTTTCTGACCAGGTACGTGATCTATTGTTGTTGGGTCCACTATTGCATTTATTTATAGGCTGGCTTGTTGTAGAACATCAAAACCAAATGTGTCTCTCCAGGTCTTCTGCTAAAGTAATTGAAACACTCCAGTGGAGCATGGGCGGTCGAGGCCTGAGGTGGTACAGGGGTTTGGAACAGGGGTTCGATTTGCATAATTCAGCTTCATTTTGCAAATTTTCTTTGAGACTCAGCAAGTCCCGCATTGCAGATTTCGAGGAATGAGGTATGTAGCTTATTGCATTTAAATACAGAAAATTGCTGACTTCAATAGAATTCATTTAAACCTCTGCGCAGACTGTTTTTGGGGTAAGGGCTCGTTTTGAAGAAGCAATGGTGAAGCCTCGATCCACCCAAAGCAAAATCTGGCTAAAGTGGATCGAATGATGACTTTTCTTAATTGAATCTAGGATGCGTGCTTTCAGCATCAAACGAGAAGAAACACTATCATTTTCCAGTCACACTTAGGAAGCAAGCAAGGCAGGGCTATGGAAATCGCATTATCATCATCATTATCACCATGACATGTTGACAAATTAAGCATAATAGATTGATGACTGTGTGCCTGTCAGTTACCCACAGCAGTGGTCGTTAGCACCAATATTGCATGAATGCATCTTGAGGTCGCAGTTCATAACACATCCATCATTTTGATTCGTGTCCACAAACAATAAAAAAGGCCTGAAATGTCAGTGGCGCAGTGCCTCAGGGCTAACACCATCTGCAGCACAGAACTGTGACATTTCGAGTCTAATGATAGCCTATCTGTTTGGAGAAATGTGCTTTATAAAGAAATGCTCCTAGGCTAGGAGTGTTTGATTACTGGATCGTAGACTCGCATCACAAACAACAAGTAACGAAATTTGATACACAAGACAAACAATAAAGTGACTCATAGTCAGCAATGTACAAGATTCTGTAGTCAGTAATAGTCAGTAGTCAGTCACATAGAAGAGATGCGGGTATTACTCATACAGTACAAGCATGCTAGAGTGCACATTAGCTTTCCAAACTTCTACAAATCAAGCTTCTAC